AATACTAAGTGAAACACTATATATTTTTTGCATAAATAATATTTAATACGTACACTAAGTAGTAAGGTTTAATTTATTTGAATATTCTTATTTGATAAAATGGATATTCCCTTGAAAATAGTTTTTAGCATCCGGTACTACCTATATGAATTCCTTCTATACTTATAAAAGATCTATATTTGATATAATATATACAGTATTAAAAACAAGATAAAATCTTATTGTTTTTTGTCCATAATATGATACAAATAGAAATATATTTTCTCTAAAGATTTGTACAATCATTGACAAACAGACAAGCCCAACATTTAAACAAAAAGGGGCTATTCATGTTGTGTTTGTATGAAAGTCTTGTTGTAAGTTTTGCTTAGAATAATATTACTAAATATCATAATTATGATATAAGCTAATAAATATATTATTTTATGTTATTAATTACATCACCATTAAGTATTTAATTAAATGATTTTATTCGGTAAATAAATCAGCTTACTAAATCATAGTCTAATCGTTTTGTATTCTATCTAGTATTCCCTTAGCTAAAGTCTTAATATAATCGTTTATTACACTGCAAGAAGCACGTTGAAATACATATGTTATAACTGTGTTAATTATTTTTATATTCATAAAATACATTTGTGAAATAAAAATCTGAATTAAAGTAAAACTAAACGAGCTTGGATTCAATCGTTTTAAAGTTGTTATGAAGTTGTAATGAAAATCATAAACTATGTAGTTTATTTCAATAAAGGCCTGAAAAAGAACAAATTGTCTATTGATCAACGAGATATATTTATTAAATTAACTTATTATACCGTATTGTTTCAAAATAAATAAAAATTATTACATTACAAAAATACAAAAAATGTACATTTCAGCTTGAACATAAACTGAAGATATTAAATGCAAACTATAGAAATAAAGAAGCCAATATATAATCAATTGAAATATTAATGTATGTGGTTCAATACATTTTACTATTTAGATTGTTTTTGCACGATATATGGCTTCCATTGTACACCCTACAGTTATCTATGGCGCACAAATGGAAGAGTACGTATGTTTTTCTGATAACATTTCATTAATTTCGTTGTCTCTTGCTCGATTTATAAAAGTCTGGTATTTCCCACAAGGGACGTATTTCTGGATCTTCTCGTTGTGTTTGATTAAATAGAAATTTTTGGATCATCGACTACGTAGTTGAAGCGTAAAGTTAAAATTGTCTTTTATATAACGTAAATATGTTAATTTTATTATTATAATGTTTTCTTTAAAAAAAATTCTTTAAAAAGTTTTCTTTAAAAAAATACTGAAACAAGTTAAAAATCAGAATTTAATGTTCTAGACGTATATTTAATTAAATCAATGTTTATCATCATTAAATCATTTAAATGTTAATATATTAATACTTATTAAAATATTTATTTTTATTTATAACATTTTGAAATCTTTTCTCATTTTGCTTACATATATTCTTACTTACTATGTTTTAATGTTTACATATATGTAGTATGTAAACAGTTTATACACATATCAGTTAAAACAATATATTCACAATTACATAATTGTATTTAAATTGACGTAAAGATATACGATACTTTCCATTAACGATAAATATAGAGTTACGTTAGAAAAATAAATTGTATATTCCTTAATTACCCATATTTTTTGAAGGTCGACGCCCTTATTACTTGTACAACCAACGAAAACAATCACGGTTTACGAGTTTGTCCATCCGGGCTTAATGTGTTACGATAGTACATCCAAACAGTTTAAACCATTTCTTATCCAACCTTATTTCTTATATTAATATTTTAAAAGATAAAACTTATGTTTTGATATAATTTTACTTTAAATTATCTTTTACATTACGGAAAAACTAAACTGGTATATATTTTTGCTTCTGTCATAATTACGATATCAAATATTGACTAAACAAAAGATTATAGTGTATTTTACATTCAAATTCAGACATTTTAAGCAGTGAACCCTTTAAATCAAATTAGCGATACCGAGTAATTTCTTGTTTGTGTTCGATTTAAATTAGTTTTAATGAACTCAGTGAAATCTTGACGGGACGGTTAGATAATGTAAAACAAACACTTAAGAAATTATCTCAATAATTAACTGCGACTTAATTTGAATAGGGTCCACGATAAATTATATTTTGAATGCTTTTTATATAAAAAAATTCTACTTATTCTAAATGCTTTTGTGAAACTCAAATCTATTTCTTTAATACTATCGTGCTAAATATATTTAGTAAAGGATTGATGATAAAATTGGAGTTATATTTTGTTGAGTTATTATATAATAATCAAAGATTATCTATATTGATTCGTTCCTAAATTATGTTTTTATAATAATCGAATGAAATAATTACTAAGAGTCCTAATAAGGTTTTGTTCATAGTTGTAAAAATCAAAATCAATTTGCATTTTCAAATAACAAACTCATAATATTTGTCTTATTTCTCTTACTACACTTATCGTTAACCAAGCCTACAGTTTAAAGGTAATTTATTAAAAAGTCTTAATATAAAAGAAATTGCCCATTCTCAATACAAATGCGTGTTTTGTATGTATGTTTCGTAACGATAAAACCTATAAACCGATGAAAAATAAATGAGTCACTTCGCTTTTTATTTGAAATTGAGTTTTTTGTAATCTGATTGTCTATAATCCTAAATTGAAACCTCTCTATCTTACCGTGTTTTGTTGATAAAAGTCTTTTATTTCTATCCAATAATCACATCAACCTTCCCAAATCTTAGCGTAATTCGTATCCCATTTTTCAGAAACTCAATTCATATAATCGTTTTGAAGCCGCCATATTTAGAAAGCTGACTGAAAACCGGAGATTCATTATAAACATGCGCGTATTCAATAGTTTCTTATGATAACATTCTTTTCATCTTATTTTTAGTTTAAATATAAACAATAATTCATAAACTATGTAAGCAAGTTTCGTTTTTTTTCGATATTATAAATATAATATGTTGCAAGTTCTTTATTATTTGATACATTAACATGGTAATTGTCTAAAGTTGATAGTACAAACCCTATAACTAGGTGAACAATTTTCGTGTCCAAAAAATAAATTGGAAAATTTTAAGTAACCAAAGATAGTTTAAAAAGTTAATAAGTTTAAAAAATATTTTAATGATTTGTTTATCTTATTTTTCATTTCTCTTATCAACTTATTAGAATATAAATGAACATTATCATATACATATGGTCTAATATATAAATTAAGTGTTATATTTCAAACAACAAATGAAACAAAACTTTTACGAGAGAAGTATCGTGCGCTAGAAACTTCTACAAGGTTAAAAGAGTTTAACTCTTTTTTTTTCTTAATAAAAGAAAATAAAAGGTCAGCTGTTCAATCTAGTCTTTCGTCTAGACACTATTAAAGTTGGAAGTAACAAAGTTCATATGTACATTCATTTTAAATGTATCTTATATTTGTTTAAGAGGTACACATTAATCACTGTGCTCTGATTTACAAGACTACGGTGGTAAAAAGAGGAGGATTAGATTTTTAAGACGTTATTTCAGTGTATTGAATAGAGTGCTAAGTAAATATTCACTGGTAATTAATTAACAAAACACTTTTAACTGTTTTAAATAGGTAAGACATTATTGAAGATTTTCGAAAGACAAATAACTCCACGTTCGCGTTTTTAACTTAAGGGACATTGATAAATTATAGAAAATTAAACAATGCCATAAATAAAGGAAGAACTCCTATAGTGAATCTACTTTTAGTACTTATCAATATTCAGACAACAATCAGATATTAAATATTAGTTTTTTTTTATGATTGCAATAATCATTCTTCGTAATTAAATATTCTTAATTTCATATGACATTCAATTAAAATTCAAACACTACTTAGAATTATTACTCAATATCAAAAAAGAAACCAAACATCAATGGCGATTAATTTGTTTCGTATTAAAAGTGTTACAAATATTTCAACATTTGCTTTTGTGCCACTGCTCACATAATTGAATATTAATTTAACATTAAATCAAGCTAACGTAAGAAAAATATTCTATTTAATAAATTTACTATGTAAAGATTTATTTAATACTTAAATATAAGTCTTTCGTGTATAGAAAATAAAATATCTATATCTATTTCCAACGTCGAATCAAAGAGAATAGTCTCAAGCATGTGACACATAACGAACTGTGAGTAATGTCTTATTTACATTTTGGCTTTGCAATTGCAGCGAGCCCATGCACAGACCACGCATGCATTCATGCATGTTACAGAAACAGCTGTAATAGTTAACTAGCTTGTAGTGAGCTATTTTGAGTAGGTGGGTATGACTGAGACATGATGCTATGGATTTCGCCGAATATTTGATTCATTAATTAATTAAATACAATTTAATATTTAAGAAGCTTTCAATAGCGAGATAAGTAGTCGGTATTTTATTAATATAATTTATTACTAGCCTTTTGTCTTTATCTGCTTTGTTTGAATGTATACTAAGGCATTATCCAAACTGCGTCTACGTTAAATTGTGTTATAACCGATTCTAGAATTTTGTTGTTAATATATAACAAGCACTATATTTATTTTTACGTTTATAATTTATATTATTAATAAGTATTTTGTGAATTATTGTTTACTGAATAATTTCAAGAACATCAACCGCCCAAGTTTTCTGACCGCGCTAAGGGCTTCTTTACGTACGAGCTAAAAGCATAACCCAATTTATTTTTACATGAAATGTAAACACGTACGTTCGCGTATCGCTAATTTATGGCGACCTCGTAATGCTGTTCCAGCGTGATTCACGGCAGCACCGGATTTAACGATCGCTTTTTATCACGCATGGAAAAGCAGAGTATTCTCTCCGACGACAGAACCGCTTTGGTTAAATAGAGAATCGCAAAACAAAATCGGCCCATTGCCAAGTTTCTGCTTCAAATCGAAAAACTTTCAAGTTTATATATAGAAGAGGTGAACGAACGTAGCACTGACCTCCTTTCTGCGTTGTGTTGAAGGTTCGTAGTCTATAGGAGTCTTCGTCAGGTTCTTCCTCAGGCTGATGAGTGGTTCTGGGGACGTCGAGGAAGGCATTGGAGCGTCGTGGCTGGCTGTGTTGAGCGGTCGGTGGGCGACGTCTTGCGGACGCCTGTCTCCTCACTTGAGGTGGTGTCTCCGCCTCAGCCAACCTCGGCTCTGAACTGTACCGTGCTCGTGTTTCGCGGTCCAACTGTTGCTGCTGCGCCTGTCGCCTGTGTCTCACAGACCTCCCACCCGTTATCCTGGCAGACTGCGACCTTGTGGCTGGTCTGCGCCGAGGAGCTGGTGTCGTCTCCATCGGTGCGGCGAGAGCTTCCATACTCGCGGAGGCTGGCGCGCATATCGATTGCGAACGCTTTGTACGTCCGTCCGAGGCCATGATCGCGGTGATACTGGCGCTCCGCGGCTCTCTTTTCAGTACTTGTTGCACCGTATTATAAGATTAGACATTTGTAAATGTCAGTAATTCATGAGCTTTTGTTTAGGCGGGCTTGTAGTATTGCCTTAACCCTTTAATCACTTATTTATTACAATAGCAAAGTTTCAATTGTGTTTATATCAGATTTGTTGAGTGACACACATATATTTATAGAAATTAATATGTAGATTAAACTTATTTTGAAAAAAATTGCCTATTGAATACTTTGAAACAGAAATTTTAAATACCACTTTTTTGTATAAATATCCTTACATCAGATACAACGATTTTATCGTGAACACGTTCGTAGTAACTTCAGAACATGTATCAAAATGTTGTAAGATAAATAACAAGTCTGTTAGTTAGTTCTGGAAGTTTGCGAGATATAAATCTTATAAGAACTTTATTTGTGATTAATAAGTGTTATAGAAATACGACGTCGGTGAAATTTCCGTGGAAAACTTGGCACAAACTTTGTTTATTATTTGTTCGTTCTTTGCGATTATATTATATTAATTTTGATCGGAATTGAAGGGACAATTGTGATTTAAAATTCAATTTTAAGTACCTATCTGTACATACATATTTATAATCAAAATATTTTTTATAAAATCAAAACTTTTAGTTATAGATATATTAAAATGGGACTACATCAAAGCGGTTCTATTAATGTTATACAAAAACATGTATACAAAAAAACTAATACATTTTATTTCACAAGTCTCGTATAGTTTTTTTAACACATATCAAACACCGCTGAAAGAGCTACAACACAAGAATTCATAAATGTTATGTAATTTTGTCACTTCCTACATTTGAGTCTACGAAATACAAACTTCATAGTAATTCTCTCCATTATAATAATCGTCTCATAATTCATTAAAATAACTAGGTGACGTCGTTAAAATACTTTATGAAGTTTGACACCGTTCTTCAAAAGGCACAAAGAGAGATAATTTGTTTTAGATATAACAAAAATATTCTTTATATTTCCGTACACTAAAAAACCTATAATGGAGATGACAAAATGTATAACTATTTGTCATAGCAGTTATCAAATTGATTCTTTCTTTTTTCCTTTTCTTTTGTGTCATTTTGGATCGTGTCAAATATTTATATTAGTAGATGTTTCCGTAGGTTTTCCTTAAAAATAATATCTTTATGAATCCAAGTGCAGTTTATTTAGTTTTTATTGTGTGAAGTAGTTGTTAATCGAGCCTGTAAATCGAGTTTTTATATAACAATTGTTATTGCAAAAAATGTAGCTTCTTAAATTTATTATTATATTTAAAACGAAACTATTAAAAAAAAATGGCATAATTTAAACTGTCCACACACAAGAGAACTCCAAAATTATACGTACATAAAAAAAAATAGAATTTAATGCATTGAAATATTTGTTTATTTACCTTGAATTCAATATAAAAATATAAGGCGTAAAGGAATATGAACATATAGAAGATGACAACAAAGTTTGTTTTAAACGAAATTAATTAGTAATAAAATCTATATCTACTGTCTAAGATTCTCACTAGTACACAGTACTTAGTAGTAATTGTTTTAATGCTACTATTGGAAAGCAATCATACATATTATCTCTCTTTGTTTTCTACACTTTATTGTGTGACGACCCCACCTTAAAATATATATTTTAAACCCATACGTTATTTCCATCTTGATACTTAGAATAAAATAATATTCAGAATTTTAATTTATGTATTGAATTTACTATACTGATGGAAACATATGAGAAACAATATTAAATCCCAAAGGATTTAAGTGCGTCGGCGTCTAGTCCAGATATATTTTTGTATTCGTAAATTTTAAAGATCGTCGTAATAGATATAGATAGAACTTACAATTCCTTGGGAAACCAAAATCCCCAAAGATCATGCCATCAAAGTCAACAAGTACTACGAGCTAACTATCCAAACTCACCAAGAATAGGATGATCGTTTTGTACGCGTTGGAAGTGGGAGCGAGAGGTAAATCGATTAATATCTCTAAACCTTCTAAAAGACTTGGGCCTGTTCAGAACTAACATCAATTCATTCTCTGAACGTACTTAAAAGGCAGCCCTAATGCGTTCGTTTTGAATTTGATTTCATAGAGAGGAGTTTGGAGGTTGGAGGAGAGCATGTTTTATAAGGGTCCTATAAACCAATACCTGGGTCGCAGGTCCTAGGTACTACTACTAAAGCGCCAATCTCTGCAACGCAATACAGCCGGCACCTGTACGGTGAATCCATGAAATGCAGAGAAGTTTTTGTCTCATAAAATAATTAATTTCATAACAATTATTAATTATAATTACACACTGTGTTTGCCACGGCAACGTTTTAAACAATTCAGTAGGTATATGTCATTATTATGAGGCGGTGCCAATTTAAATCATCGTTTGTTTTGGCTTCGTGCTAATTAATATATTTCTAAGAACTTCAAATGATTGAAGTGGTGACAAAGGAAAATACTTAATGTATATACATACATATGTATCAATCACTTCACTATATTACAAGCACTAGTTCTTGTTCTATAAAATAGCTACAAAATGTATACTTAAAAAATTGTTATTTTTTTTAGAAATAAAATATGAAATTGAGGTTATAAGCAAATGTCAACAAGAAAATTATTTACTTGTCACTTACATTCAATGTTTTATACTCGTTCATTTAATATATGTTTTACTATGAAATCATATTTCTATTTGTTATTGTCCGAAGCCTCGTATTAATGACGGTATAAAAGCTAACGTTTCTTTTTCAAACGAATGGTTTGAATTACATGAAGTCCCAAAATGTGTAATTTCGTTGTGATTGGAAAAAAAACAGTACTGTTAGCATTGCTTTGCACATTTAGCTTATTCTCAAGACATACCTTTGTAAATTATTCGCGAAAAAATGTAAGAGTACCATTTAATGACTTTTCTGCAGATCTTACTATTTGATGATATATTTTGTATCACACTGCTTCTCAATTGTACTGTTTGTAAGTTGTAATGAGTTATTAATTAGGTGACAAAAATTGTACACTATAGATAGATTTTATGTATCTAATATTATTTTAGGTGCCTATAAATTAAGCGGGCATTACTACAATGATTTCTTTTAATAAGCCATACAACTATATGTATTTTTATTAACAATGATTTTAATAGGTATAATTTTAATTTGATTGTAATTTCTGTGTCACATTTATATTATTTTTCATAATACAACTATGTTGACGAAAATCTTTTCTCATAGATCTTCACTTGTACTTATATAACGGAATATTTTTACTTTTTTTAAACTTCACAGCATTTAACATATGAAAATGAAAGAAGTTTTCTCAAAATTCAATATTTCTACATTCATAAAAAGTATACATACATAGATGTGTCTATTTAATGTACGTAACATGTCACGGCCAGACGACCGTACTCTCTTTATTTAAAATTTCCCAAACGCAAGGGTTCTCTAATGAGATAAGGAAGTCAGGAAATAAGACAACCTTCACTATGTCACGACTTCATTTTATTGGATTCAAAACGTTTACTTTATTTGTGTTGTTTTATCATCGTTACTTCAAAGTCTAAGTCAAAAATAAGAAACAAATTTTAGCTTTTTCTGAAATATATGTAATCACGTGGAATCGGAAACCTATGCAGTATTAATAATTACAAGAGAACAAGTCGTCGTCTAACAATAGTCTCTGGAATCTCCCGAAGCTAAAACAAGGTAACCGTAACCCTTAATTCATTGATAATACACATTTTTATTTATTTATGGATATACTGGTGAGATGGAAATATCTCAGCCTTCGAAGTACGTCCTAGAATGAATTGATGTTAGTTCTAGACAGACCTAAGTCTTTTAGTAGAGAGATTTAGCTGTTATACCTCTCGCTCCTACTTCTAGTGCGGACAAATTTACGACGAACCTATTCTTAGTGAGTTCATTAGTGAGCTCGTAATACTTGTTAGCCTTGTGGGCATGGTCTTTGGGGATGTTTATTTCCCAAGGACCTGTAAGATTTACTTGCACAATGCGCTTTAAAATTCGCTAATACAGAAATATATCTGGTCTTAAAGTCAACGCACAAATATCCTCTGGCATTTTATACTGTCTCTCATACTTATTCATTATTATAGTCCAATCAGGACACGCTATTAAGTTACCTTACTTTTTTAGTTTGAACGTAATAAACAACCATATTTATTTGCCTCATAAATATAAAATAGATTGAGAACAATTTAACTCAATCTGAACGTAAATAGTGTCTTTCTTACATATTTTACAACTATAAATCAGGATTTTAAAAGCCTCTAAACAACATACAAATTTTATATCATAAATGGAATAAATCCTATAACTGAAAATTCTACCATAAGGAATAAAAGCTTCAAGCGACCAGCGTTGGTATCCTATGACTTATAGGTATTTCAATATATAAGAAATGTATTGGGACGTTACGCCATATGTATAGGATAAAATACTATTAAAATATATAAGAACACCATTGTTACAATATCATAAATAAATTAAATAACAAAACTGTTTTCCTGCGTAAAATCCATACCATTTATACTCGTATTTGCTTCGTCATTTTGTTTAAAAATATATTTATATCTGATTTAATATAATTCATAAAAAATTATAGCGTCGCTTTGACGTTTTTACATAATATTAAAAAGGAGATGTTCACCCAAAGGCCGGTGCTCGAAACCTACGACATTTTGATATATATGCAAATTGAGCCCTAATTCATAACTCATAAAAGTTTATATTCAATGAGTTTGTAATGCAAAGCAATGTTGGCAGACTTGAATTGCTTGAATGTTGGGAATATTGATTTTAGAGTTCCGTATACACTAAGTGGAATAAAACCACTTCTATAAAGGAAATAACGAAGACTTTGAATTGGGGATCGATAGGTTATAATAATTGTACATTTCAATTGATGCGAGTAACAAAAACTAATAACGATATTAAGTAGTAAATTAACTCAAAATACATATACGCTGAAAAAAATTATCAATATATAATACTACATATCTTGATTTACTTTTATATTTAAAATCTAGTGTTTTATATAGTTGGTCTGAAAGATTAAAAAAAAAATTTTTGTACTCCATGAATCTTTAACATTTTATTTTTACGTATTAAAATTTTTGTACTCCATGAATCTTTAACATTTTATTTTTACGTATTATCGTTTCAAACTTAAAAAGGTTATGTTTTATTAGAATAGAAATATAAAGAATTAAGGTTAAATTTAACTATTTCAGATAATTATAACTGAAACATGATCGAGGCTTGGTACATTGCTTTGATATTCGTCTTATTCTATTTTGAGTAAATTTAATTTGATTCTACAAAAGTAAAATTATTTATAAAATATATTTAATATAATTTATATAAACAGTGTATCTTAAATATGTATTATTCTAGACTTCAATATTAATCACAATACTTTTTAAAATATGATTTTAGCTCAATAAATCTTATTTCACATTTTTATTATTATAGCGTGAAGTGCGCCATTCTTCCTCACATTTAATTCAGTCAATATATTTTTAATCTCTTCAATATTTTACAAGTATCTGAACTTGTAATCGCTATTTATATATCCTATTAGAGCCTACTCCTGAGCAAAGGCCTCTTTCTCTCATGGAGAAGGTTTGAGGATTAATCACCACGCTTGCCCAAGACGGGTTGGTGATTTCAAAGTTATAGTTGTGAAATTATAAGTCCAGGTTTCCTCACGATGTTTTCCTTCACCGTCTGTCAGTAGTGTCTAAATACTCTTAGAAAGTACATATGACTCGGAAAAATCACATTGACACTTGCCAGGATCAAACCCGCGCCCTCGGCAACGAGAGGCGGGCCCTTTTACCACTAGGCCACCACTGACATTATATGTATAATCGCTATATCCTTCTTAAAATCCATGAAATCTATATAATTATTACTATACCGATATGATCTGTAAGTTCAATTTGTTTATATTTACATTTTTAAGTTACCTACATCTTTGATATATTAATTGAGAAACGAGTAAATCTTTAATCTTTAATCGTTATGTAAAACTATTTTTTTACTGTGAACTGTCGAAGATTTAATACGCAAGCCTGCGATAATACAAAAAATTTAATGAAAATAGTATATTTTTGCAATAAAGTTCTATTCTGTTTTCATATTATAAGGAAATCAAATATTAAAGAAGGAATAATTTTTGCCTGTTCATTCATATGTCTAACTTTAATTTGTAGATTTTTATAAAACCGGTGGACGTTTAAAAAGAAAACTAAAATAACAAAAATAGAATAATTTTAGTCTTAATTAAAAAAAGATATTGCTATATTCATTATTTTATTTATATAGCTATAACACATATATATTGAATTATCAGTTTTTCGTTGTAGTCAATTAGACTTTCAAGAATTTTCTTACAAAATTTCATCACTTAAACAAAAGCAATTCAATTTACTCAATTTAGTATAATAACAGTAATTTGACATACATCTTAATTTCAATAAAAATCTAAATTACAATATCTTATTCTATGTAGTTGAATGTTTAATTAAATAATATATGCAACGGTTGGAAAAATTAACTTATCTTAAGGAAAAACATTACGTATATGATTAAAACGAGACAGCAATAAAACTAACGATGGGACCGGTAAAACCGGCGGTCAGCGGTGAACCATAGACTTTGAATATACAGACATGAAGTGGAAATAGAAATATTTATATTGTAAATAAAAAATTCTAACTAAATAAAAAAAAATAGTATATTAGATCTTTTGTGTTTCTCTTTTAAAACACTCCTACTTATCTAAAAAAATTTTGAAGTCGGCAAAATATGGAACGAAAATAAATTAATTTTCATGAAAAGGGATATAAAAATAAACGCTAAATTTAGAAAAAATAGACCTTAAAAATTTATCATTTTTCTTGACGTGTCTAAACTCTTATTTTACCAAAGCAATATATGTAATATAAATAAACAGTCCTCCCCCTACATTGATTATAAAGAATTTTAGCACAATGTATATAAATAAATGATAAACAACGCAAAGTCTATTCATTGCAACTCTCTTTAGATGCGCACGCGCCGATAAAGCAACTTGACATCTAAGAAATCCGTCAGTCTGCCTTCAATCTCGTCTGAAGGCGGACGTCATGGAGAAATTATATTATGTTGCTGTTTTGGCTGCGTTCTGCCTCGTCCAGGCTAATGGATACAAGGTACCTGATGCCAAGCTAGAAGCAATTTATCCCAAAGGCCTTAGAGTTTCAGTACCGGGTAAGCCATTACATATTTCGCTAGTACGTTTTTTAATGCTTGCACTCACAATAATAACACTTAAAACGGTATATGTAATCATTTAATATGATACCATAATAAGTACGCTTCAATATTTTTGTCATTCATTTTTTGTTTTGTTATTTATATACAGCAAAATATTTATTTAAAGGTCAATGTTTCGATGTATACTGAATTAAGTAGATGTAGGAACACTCAAAGTTATCGATAGTAATAAATGTAATTTATTCTTTATAATATAAAAGTTATGTGATGACGTAGTTTGTCTTAAAAGTGTGTGTGAGCATGGAAATTGCGTATGTTTCATTTTATGTGTATTAACTTGTATGAACTTGTGGGATCTTGTATGAGCGTCTGTTTTCATACTTATGAAGATGTCACTTAATAAACGATTTTTTTTTATTGGATTGATTATGCTCAAATAACTATAGTAATTTATTATTTGTTAAAATAAAACAAATATTAAAATTATTAAAGATACTTTGCTTTATTTGCTTTTTCTATAATGTTATTGGTGAATAAGTTTAAAATAGTAACCACCATATATCGACGAATACTAACCACCATATATCTATAGTTTGTCTTAAAAGTGTGTGTTAACATGGAAATTGTGTATGTTTCATTTTATGTGTGTGAACTTGTATGAACTTGTTTGAGCGTCTATTTTCATAGTTATGAAGATGACACTTAATAAACGATTATTATTTTTATGAAGTATGATTAAAATTTTACTAATTTTGCTCAAATAACTATTGTAGTTTATTGTTTTGTTAAGATAAAACCAACATTAAAATTATTAAAGGTACTTTGCTTTATGTGCTTTTTCTATAACGCTATTGGTGAATAAGTTTAAAATAGTAACCATCATATATCGACGTTCGATCGCTCTTCATTGAGAGAGGAGTCCATAAAGGTCTTATTAGAATTTTATTGCTATCTTCATAAAAATAGATGATCCTATTATGATGGAAATTTAAGGTTATAGTAAGTTTTATATCGTGCTAATGTTCTATTTTATTATCTCTCGTTTAATCTTCCACTTAATCCCTAAACTCATGTATAGTTACATTAGTGAGAAAAAATATTTACATGTATGTATTGCAAAAATTAAATTACAATTGAAATTTATAAAATACGCATCCAAAAAGAATTGACCGTTAGAACCATTATTTATTTTTTTTATAAGTATCCGATGTCACTAAAAACTGCGAAAAGATGTCTTAAAAAATTCTCTTCATTTTCCATGAATTCTTACATTCGAAATTGAAAGTGTTTTAATCATTTCATTTTCTCAATATCTTTTACGTGTAAATTTTGAGGTCATAAACTATTACTTATATGAAAAATATTATCAAAGAACGAATATTGTTATGAACGTCGGGCATCTATAAATAATAAATCTCAATCAGAACTCGATAAATCATACGAGAAAACTGACAATTAATTATTATTATCATCAATAAATATTTTTTGCAAAGCTCCGTTCGACGTATTACTTACTTATGTAGAAAAACAAAACTCGTAAAAGCTATATATTTTATTATTTTATTAGTTTATTAATAAATCGAATGGATTTTAGCTTCTTTTCATTAAAAACCTATCTTCCGATAATTCGACGTCACTTAGTAGTTACCGACTTCCCTTAATCTTTATTGTTGTTTTATTAAAACGCTAAACGAAGTTATACAAAACCTTATAATCATAAATATATTTCAGGCGATATAATATTAAATATAAAGGAATATGTCAAAGCCATACTTGAGTGTAAAAGACAAAACATCATCCATGTATAATGTATACCCATAACAAGATAAATGAAAGCATCAATTTACTAATTTGACACATGTAGTCGTAAAAAGGACTGTATTTTTGTTCAGACATAATAAGTAAACAGTAATTTCTATTTAAAATTATTGTAATTCAGATAAAAGAATTTCTCTTTTTGAAATTGAAGAAACTGAACAAAAATAGTACAAGTACTCGTATTCACATTAAAAAATTGCATCTTTTACCTGTTATAATTTACTGTATTCTCATAGTTGATCTTAGTACATATAAAAATACATCGATCAAGGATCAAATAAATAAAAATTCGTTTAAAAAACCCGGTTTTATTCTTAAGGAAAATATTTATTTTCCTTGCCATAACTATTCACATACCTGCTTTATGAGTTTTATTTATCACGATATACATACATGCAAAAAATGAGATCGCAGAAAAAAAATATTATTATAATCAGTTAGAGAGGAAAATATGGTAATCAAATTGAAAATAGATCTGTAATACTTAAAAATACATTCGTAAAGAATTAAAAAAAACATATATTGCAAAAATTTCTTAAAAAAAATATACCAATCAATAATGAAGTATTTGAAGTGGAGATGAAATAAAAAAATATAGACTGTATTAATCTGGTGGAACATTTTGTTACTTAGCAAAAGGTTATTGCCTTAACTTTTTTCGAAACTGTTGATACTATTCGCTTAAAACTTGTTCGAGTTGATATGAAAAAAATGTATCGATATCATGATTACGTTCTTCTTTGAGCTGGTTTAATTTTACGATCGTTATTATAAATAGATTCCTATCCATTATATTTTTGCTAGTTTTTTTGTATGTATAAATACATTTTTATGATCGTGAGTACAAGAAACTAGGATGACCGGTTCTATAATGAATTATTATTTCATAATTACTTCATGTAAACAAAACTTAATAGTTAGTGAAGCTCATGTAAGATATATTATTTTTATTAGAAAGTAAAATATGAAAATAAATTTAACAAGATGCAGTCTTAAGGACTTATCTATTGAAGTGTAGCTTTGCATAAAGTAATTAATAAAATTATTTATAGACGATGGCTTCACCTTAATGGCATTCCATGGTAATCTGAATCAGGAGATGGAAGGTCTGGAAGCTGGACAGTGGGCTCGTGACATCACCAAGCCCAAAAACGGCCAGTGGATCTTCAGAGACAGAAATGCACAGTTGAAAATTGGGGATAAGATCTACTTTTGGACCTACGTCATCAAAAATGGCTTAGGCTACAGACAGGATAATGGAGAATGGACTGTTACTCGTAAGCATTCATTTTATTTTTGTCCCTTTTTTTAGTGCTAATAGAATTTCTTCCATGCAAAAAAATACACAAATAGTATAATATATCTTAAAATTCTAAAATCTAAAACGTCGTAATACAATAGAATGGAAATAATTTTCAGATTTCGTAACTGAAGAGGGAATACCGATCAATGAAACCAATCCGGACCCTATGCCAGTTCCAATTCCTGACAGTAGCACGTCATCACCACCGCCAATCGCTTGTGAGGTTTCTCCAACAGTCGTTCAAGGTTATCGTTCCCTGTGCAAGGGAGTGCTCATCTTCACCGAAGATTTCAAAAAACCAAATGTCAAGAGCCTTACCTCATGGGATCCAGAAATTATGTTCCCTCAAGAACCGGTCAGTCATTAGAAAGTTTTAGTAACTGAAACAGTACAAGAATTAAAAAGAGTTTTAGGTTCCGAGCAATGCTCATAATCATGGAATTTGTTTATAAGAGAAAAACGTCGATTTTGATAACTATATTTTACTCTTGACGTCAGAAACATTCTAAAAAATAACTTTCTATTACATACTTTAGTTCGTAAAAACATCAAAGAGGATTTTAAAATGAATTATACCTACTTAACTACCTAAATTCGAAAATTAAGAGAAATTTTATAAATTTTCGTGTCCCTGATTAATAAATTGAAATAAACAAAATTGTAACTGTATTCATAGCACAAACTCTCAAGTAATCTTTGCAATGTTGAGGTGACTAATCTAAAGAAAACTCAATGTTATATATATATATATATATAATTGTTATTATCTAAAAATTAAACCATAACGTGCCTATTATACAGAATCTGCGTCTTTAATTATCTTTGCTGCAAACTAAACAGTGATAACAGCATTTAATGCTTTAGATGTTTATTCTAAATCCATATCTTATATTAATGTCTTCTTGATTGACACTCATTGGTTTAAATGTATAGATACGCAAATAGGAATAAAATGGCTTATTAATCCATTAGAAATGAAGGTAGGAGTCTTAAAATAAAGAGATAGTTCAAATTTTTATTATTATTGTCCACAATTTACAGGACTATCCCTTCAACGCATATTTGGCGGATGCCGTGAGCATAGACAACGGTGCCTTGAAGATTAAACCTGAACTAACTGAATCTCGCTACCACGAAGGTTACCTTCATGAACAATGGGACCTATCAAACATGTGAGTATATTGTGAACTTGTTAATTCACGAGTAAAAAGACCAAAGGTCTGCATCTTTTAAACGGTCCTTTTATTATTTTCTTAATTTCTTAAGGTTTTATTTTTAATATGTCTTGCTACTTAAACATTGTGGTTTGCACGAAACGTTATTAAAATTGGTTTCAAAAGAAGGAATATCACTCATTATTGACGAAATATTAAGCCATATCAATCTATTGCTCTTTTCTATCGGCAAGAAAAATATGTAATTTTATTTGAATATTTTAAACATACACATAACATCAGGATAGATTCAGTATAAATATCATTTTCAATATAAAAATACCAACCATTAAACCTTTCATAAGATGTCCCAGATAATAACGTCCCTTAGGTCATTAACAACTAATCTATAGAAAGGCTTTGTGTTTTTTACATATATATGATAAACAAACAATCCATCATGTATATTGATTACTGGTATAAAGAAATATATCTCTAATTTTTTTTTGATGCCGCAACAAAATTTTCTGGTTTACCATAAGTCAACGAATGGTGATTTAAATGAGCGGGTCCTATTATTAGAACCGATCTTTACGATAGTCCCTATTCTACTTTAACGAATTTAGAATTTCAAGTTATTTCCTTATTTTGAGAAGTGACATACCAACTAACATACTTTATAACGTTTTCTCGAATAGGAAAATATTTCCAAATATTAAATTAAAATTTAGAAACTATTTATTTAAAATGTTAATTTTTTTAAAGATTATTATTGAATAAAAACCAGTTTATTTGAATGACATGCCTTAACAGTGTTATACTCTTTTTTTTAAAAAACAAGCAACAAATAGTGTATCTAAGTGGGGGCCACAAGATTTAAATATTTAAATTATAAAAAAATACTCTTTCTAATGAATAACTTAAATTATTTCTTTATGTTTTCTGTAAATTTTACTTAATTTCGAAACTTAAAATTTCAAAACTTTTTTCAGTACAAAACCAAACAATTTGGTTTTTTTTTAACTATTTTTAATATTACAAATTATTAAAATATTTTGAAACAGTTACCATTTCTGAGTTTATTTAATTACACTAAGTAAGGTTAGGATTTTTTGGCTGGATTGCGTGGGGTTTTTCTTTTCATAAAAACTAGATTCAGTTAGAACTTCAGTCCCTCAAATGGACCAAATTTATGAATTCAAATAAATATATAGAAAATATTAACATTTACTCTTTTGAAAACATTTTTTTAAAGTTGCTAATTTGTATTAATTTCTTATGATCAAAGTGTAAAAATTCTTAAAATATTTCCAGACGTTCTGTTAAATTAGTAAGTCAAGCAGTATATTTCCAGTACCTAAAACTAAAAAATGTTGTCAAAATTCAGAACACGTCAGGTGATAAAAACACACACAAACTACACGAATGACTTTAATAATTACATAAATAAACAACCTTACGGAAAGTTAGATATTGAGCACTAACTCATTATTTAAATTTTAAAAAAAGATATTGCTTATAAAACTTACATTATATTCTATTAGCCATTTTATCTAAAAGTAAATTGAAACCAGTTTTAAGATTTGCAATGGTCTTGATATACATTATTCAAACAGACAAAATGATTTACCTATTTATAATGGAAGTGTCAAAAGTATAGTTGTATTTGTTTCTGATTGTAACATACCTGTGTCAATTATGACGATCTTTTACAAATTTATATATGTATATGAACAAAAAAATACTTTAGAAATGAATAAACGAATACATTGATTTTTTCTCTATTTGTGAATATACATATTTCAATCTTTGCTAATATTATTTTTATAACGAAAATTTCAGTTGCACGGGACAGGTAGGAACGAGGGAGTGCAGTCTTGTAGCAAATGGTGCGCAAATCCTTCCCCCTGTCATAAGTGGAAAAATTACGACTCGCAACAAATTCAACTTCAAGTACGGTAGGATAGAAGTGCGCGCTAAATTACCAGCAGGAAGTTGGCTTTTACCAGGTAATTGTTCTTTTCAATCGTATTCATAGAATTCTTAATTACGGTACCCCAATTTTTTTGTACACAATTTAATAAAATTCACTAAGTTTTCCGAAAAAAAAAATCATGACATAAATGTAATATATAAAATTCGTGAACCATAAAATTTATAACCTTTTCTGATGAATCGTATTTGATATTTCGGCAGAAATATTTTAAAATAATTATTATATATTGTATGTATACAGGGTGACTGGTGAATTACTATCGATACTTGAGGACGTGATATTTGACGATCATATATGACAAAATAAAAATTAATATAACATAAATATTAATAAACTTCTAAGTAAAGTTAACCAAAAGTTATGTAATTAATTACGCGTCATGTGAACACCCTACAGTTTCACACATACGCGTGCGGCGGCGTGGTGTTGTATCACAACGCCGCCGCACGCGTCCACACTTGGAACACTTGGAACGTGTCAACACTTTATTTATTTATACGGAAATTTTGTCAAAAATTAAGTGCCTATTTTTTTAACATAATTCGAATGAGAATCATGTACGAGTATTCTCCTTAAATATTGATACTAATTCACCAGTCACCCTGTATATCAAAATTTTAACGCTCATACAACAAATATCTTAACACACATAATTTAATTTAATTCCAAATAATTAATTTATTCACAGAAATATTATTGGAGCCACGTGACAACGTATATGGAAAACAGCGGTATGAATCTGGTATTATGAAAATTGCGTTTGTGAAAGGGAATGCTGCATTCGCAAAGAAGTTATACGGAGGTCCAGTTCTATCAGACACAGAACCTTACAGAACATTCCTTCTGAAAGAGAAACTTGGTTTCGATAATTTCAACAAAGATTTTCATAACTACAGTCTGGTTTGGAAGCCTGGTAAATATATGTTTGGATTTAATCTAAAAATCTATTCATTACAATTACCTCTTTTATTTCTTGCCAATGACCAACGTCCTTCTCGTGATTCTCTTTATCAGTGACTTAATTCACTCCCTTGTCTAATTTTCTTTGTCATATTATAAACTACATACCCTATATGATCAAATTATGATAAAATTTGTTTGACAGATGGCATCCAGATGTATGTAGATGGAGAACAATATGGGGACGTGACACCTGGAGAAGGTTTCTACTTCAGTGCCAGAGACCACGCGGTCCCTCACGCCTCGATGTGGCTTAAAGGATCAATCATGGCACCACTGGATCAATTCGTAAGTTTGATAAGTGATTGTTAAGGTCCATTTTGATAATAGGAACTGGCCTGACTAACGCTCTTTAATAGTTTTCTTCCTTTACATACCTTTCTTTTCTTATGAATACATGAATGAAAATGCAGTTCACTATGTTTATGATTTCTTAAGAAGAAATTAATTCAAATATAATACAAACAAAGTTTCTATTTTTTTTAACATTAGAAATATATAATAATAATATATCACAAATTTACAGTTCTACATATCATTGGGAGTACGCGTTGGTGGTATCCATGATTTCGATGATGCGAGAGACAAACCCTGGATTAACAGACACACTAAGGCTCTCTACAAATTTTGGGAACATAAAGACTTATGGTACCCTACTTGGTACTCCCCGGAACTGACCGTAGAATCAATTAAAGTTTATGCTCTTTAATGAAATATATGTAATACTCATTTTATAAATTAAATTGACTCAAATAATGTATTCATGAGCATTGATTTAATATTCACTATCATTATTCAAACTATACCTATAAGTACCTACTCAGTTGCTACAGTCTGATTTTGATAGGGAACACATCTACAGGGCCTAGTTTATAATATATACATATATCAAAACTTCACATAAATTCTTATTTATTGTTTATATTTTTTGAATTTTTGTAGTAAAGTAAGCAATTATAAAAACTGAATGTTCTATAACCAAAAAAAAGAAATCAATGAATTTACACTTGATAAGTTGGTTATTTTATGAAAATAGAAGGTTTAAGAGTTTTGATTATTACTGGACTTATTCTACGCCCGTCTTTAAACTATTATTTTTAATACGAGAAACAACGAAAGACCTCATATGATGACCAATTTAAGGATGAATAACTTAATCTTTTAAAATATTTCGAATCAATTCTATAGCTGTTTTTTACTATGTAAATATAATATCTTTATAAGTATACCTCTCCTACTTCAACTCGATCAGTCAGCTGCGAATCGGAGAACGTGCGTCATTATGTCATCTGTCGAGTAGGTATGTATAAATTGGAGTGTGGAGTAAGACAGGGGGGATTAGTTCTCCTCGTCTCTTTAACTTATACATTAATCAGTTGCTTGTAGAGCTTAGCAACACACATGTCGGCTGCCATGTCAATGTTGTTTGTATAAATACTTTTAGCTAGATGATATGGTGTTGGTGAGCCCGACGATTAGTGCTCTTAGATAATCGATAAATGTATGTGTGAAATATTCGAAGACCCATGGACTGAAGTATAATTCTGTTAAGAGGGAAGTCTTAATATTTAAAGCCCGCACTAAGAGTTACTCAGTACCACCAGTCTTATTGAATGATACACCGCTTAAACGAGTAACGCAATTTAAATACTTGGGGCACTGGGTCACGGAAGATCTATGTGACAACTTAGATATCGAAAGAGAGCGCAGGGCGCTGTTTGTTCGATGCATTATGATAGCTAGAAGATTTGCAAGATGTACTGAACAAGTTAAGATAACGTTATTTAGAGCCTACTGTCAATCAGTTTATACTTACAATCTTTGGGTAAGTTAAACACAGAGGGTATACAGTGCGCTGCGTATCCAATATAATAATGCTTTCAGGGTGATATTGGGGCTGTCACCATTCTGTAGCGCTTCTGCGATGTTCTCGGAAGCAAGAGTTGACAGCTTCCACGCTTTAATAAGAAAGCGCGTCGTCTCTTTACTAAGCAGAACGCGAGCTAGCACCAATGGCATCCTGAGGGCATTGTACAATAGATGGGATTGTCCTATGTTGTTGCATTGGATCGGTCTCCATACATAACTATGGGTGAACGTATTTCCAGTGAATAGAAGTAAGATTTAGTATTTATTTATTTGTATTATATTAATTGATATGTTTCTTTTTATTTCAAATTTATTTAAACGTTGTATGATTGGTATGTATGTAATAATATAATTTCAAATTTTGAAATGGATGTAATATCTGAAATAAATAAATTTATTATTATTAAAAATGATGACGTAAGGATGAGAAAATACAACCATGACGTCAATCGTAAAACTTACGGAAATATGAAAAACATCAGTGGCGTCACATGATAAAGAAAAACCTTTTGATAAATAATAATTAATAAATAAAATGTTCGCTAAATAATTTTTGGATATATGTGCGATTATCGTACAATTAAACATTATTTATTAATTATTTTAGAATACTTTCTAAATTAAATCAAATGAAAACCGTAACTCATTATATTAACTACTATCCGAAATATTAGCTCGAGAGCCAGGTGCAAATTTGGTTAATTTTTCTTCTCGTTAGATAATTGGCGATACGCATCAGGCAACAGTATCATAAAGCCCTATGACCGTCGGCTGCGGCGCAGTTGGGGGGATGAGCAGTTGTAACCTCCCACGCTTGAAGAAAAAAAATAAATTCACTCATTTCCACTCCGCTAAAAGTTTATCAAGTTAAAGCTAACCCAATACCTCAACAAAAAAAAAGTCAGCTGCCTATAACATAGTGTATTGTACGTCCGCTAATGGCTAGATCATGGGAAAAAAAATCTTCACTTTCAGTGATATCCTCTCGGCTAAAAATTGACCAGATTGTAGTTTATATGTAACTATTGATAAATATATACGTCAGCTAGCTGTATCTCGGTGGAAAAATCGTCAGCTGGTACTTTGAAGGTCCTTACGTAGAAGTTAGCCAGAAACATTTACTAACTATTTAAAGGCATCAGCTGACCAGGTTTCCCTCGACTTATTACTAGCTGATTTTTTTTATTTATCACAGTATTATATGTATTTAAAATCAGCTCTCAAATTTTCGTGTGGGAGGAAATATATGGCTCCATACTGAACGGTTGAATGCAGCGCTAATTTGTTTATGCGATATAATTATCATCGTAATATTACTTTTTAAACACAGTTTCATTTTGTAGTTGTTTTCTATATAGCAGGTACTTTATTTGTTTTACGATAGTATTTAGTTTCACAATAATAACACTTTTTTTTAGTATATGCAGAAGTTCTTTAAAATAATTAAATTTACTGTAAAAATTATACAGATATAGTTTGGAACTCGAAAAAAAAACAGGTTTTATCCTGAAAATTCTGCGGGAACTCGACCATTCCGAAAATCCCGCAAGAATGGGAACTATGTGGGAAGAACTAAAAATCTGCCGGAAGTCACTATTCCACGCGGACGAAGTCGCGGGCAAAGGCTACTAATATACAGGGTGACTGGTGAATTACTATCAATATTTAAGGAGCATAGTCGGTACATGATTCTCATTCGAATTATGTAAAAAAAATAGGTACTTAATTTTTGAAAAAATTTCCGTATAAATAAATAAAGTGTTGACACGTTCCAAGTGTTCCTAGTGTGGACGCGTGCGGCGGCGTACTGATACAAAACCACGGCCCCGCCGCGTGTGTGTGAGTGTGTCTGTATACCTAATCTGTAGGGTGTTCATACGATGCGTAATTAATTACACAACTTTTGGTTAACTTTACTTAGAAGTTTATTAATATTTATGTTATATTAATTTTTATTCCGTCATATATGATCGTCAACTATCACGTCCTCAAATATCGATAGTAATTCACCAGTCACCCTGTATATTTTTAATACTTAACAGTCTACGTTTACTTTCTTGAACGTATTTTAGAATATTATATACACATGTTCCCATAAAAAATGTACATAATTAATAAGAGCTCTGTTGTAATAACAATAATATCACAAAAGATAACATCTCTGTGTTATCTTTGGCAACTGTTTTGAACTGAGCAAAAAATAAGAAGATAAGCCTATTATAATTAGGTTTATCCCAAGGCGGGGAAAACTTCATATATTTGTAACTAGCTGAACCGGTGAACTTTGTTCTGCCTTAATGGCAATAAATAAGCAGTTTTTTTTAATTGGAAAAAATCCTAAAAAAATTAAATACCCACGTCAATCATTCATAATTATTTCTGTATTTTAGTAAATAGGTTGCTCTTCATTTAAGTACTTTGTGATACACGACATTTTTTTGTTTTATTATCAGGCGCAAAAACAAACAACGCAGATGGTCTTCCGACTCGTAAACATGCCATGTATAATTGAGCATGGGAAAAACTGGAATGTTCTAGATTTAAACCACAAACTTTTAAGTGTATATGTAATTAAAAGAACATTCCCCTCTTTACATATGACACATTCATATTTATAATAAGTGCTTATTAAGCATCAAAAAAAGTCAGTGGTGGCCTAGTGGTTAAAGGGTCCGCCTCTCGTTGCCGAGGGCGCGGGTTCAAACCTGGCAAGTACCAATGTGATTTTTCGGAGTCATATGTACTTTCTGAGAGCATTTAGACACCACTGACATACGGTGAAGGAAAACATCGTGAGGAAAACCTGGACTTATAGTTTCACAATTATAAGTTTGAAATCACCAACCCGTCTTGAGCAAGCGTGGTGATTAATGCTCAAACCTTCTCCACGTGAGAAAGAGGCCTTGCTCAGCAGTGGACGTTAATAGGCTGATGACGAAAAAAAAGCATCTTGAGATGATAGTCAAGACAGTTTTAGTATAGCCTTTATACCGAAAATTGTTTCTGATAATTCAGAACGAAAAATGTGGTACACTGTGCTTTTAATAATTCGATGGGAAAAAAGAGAGGCATGAATCAAATTGTGCTTTACTTGCACAAGTAAATCACAGAAAATAACAAACCATTCCAACGAGACCATTTATAACTTACATATATTAATATTTCTACTTTTATGGATTATGCTGATTTGTAGGACACCTCAATCTTTAAAACTTGTAAGCTGCTATGTATGTATATCAGTATTGGGATAAGTTTCTTAACAAGCCGAGTTTCAAACAAGAGGTACTGCAGGATCCTTAACAAAACCTACAGTCAAATCTAGTGGATGTCTTCATAGGTCAATTTCTTCGGAGTGCTTTTGAATCGGAATAGTGGTACGGTGATAAAGGTGTTAGGTTATTTAAATCCATGAAATGAATGGAACTAAAATTCTTGTTAATGAATTGAGCAATCAAATTTTATCCGACACATTAAATTTTATACGAAGTTTCACAACTTTTTAATAAAATTATAATGTTTTGTTTTTGAACATTTAGATATTTTTGTTAAAAACGTATACTACTACTTGAATTTGTTTTTTAAAGTAGTCTATTTATTTTTAACTAAATTATTTGAGACTCATTGAGACATGAAAACTTATTTAGTAAATCGACAAAGTACCGATATCACAGAGTTGCAGGTCCAAATTTAATTTGCATCGAAACAATTTTTCATTATACCTATATGTAAATACATACATTTCAATTGGTGACTCGCCAATTAATATAATTTATAACAAAAATGTTCGCTGAAATACATATTGTTTGCAAAAATTTGCTTTTAAATTCAACAAGATGATTATTCAATCAGAACTTTAAGCGTAGATGCAAAAATAAATAAGTTTAATTCAAAATTATTAATTGATGGAAACCCTTACAGTACTTATAAAAATACTATACAGTATCTAAAAACATATTTATACATTTATTTAATATTTACAAGGTAAAATATTTGCAATAAAAAGAAACAGTTTTGATTTTAATATATCTTAAAAGTGTTCATTAAAAACATAATTATATATCGACGCCTTTAGCAGTAAGTATTTCCAATTCAATCGATTGCTCGGATAGTCTCCAATGGATGAAAACACGCATTGACCTCAAAGGAATTTATCAATCTTCTTCCATAACGTTGAGGGTTATATTCAAAACCGGACAGCGTTATCTCCTGTTTCCATTTGGACGTATACAAAGAAACAGCCAAGTGAAGGATACCATACCCCATATCGAACACGAGATCTCCAACCAATTACTTCGTTCACGTAGTTAGCAGCTACAGCTGCTTTGAATGATCACCCATACATAAAAGTAAACGGCTACCAACGTCATTATACAAATCTTCTTTGAGCCCAGCAAAATCTGCAAGAAGCAGATAGATATTAATGGCTTTATCCTAATAAATTAATTTCTAAACGTACCACCTTTTTATTTTACTAATTTTTACAAATGTACGGGTAGTTAATACATAAAAAATAATGTAAAAAACGTCGCCTTTATCACTGTTTATTCATTGATAAAGTAAATATATTTATTTTAGAGACAAAATATTCAGCACAGATATACATCATAATAAAAAACACTTAATCATGCCGTCTGCAACATAAAACTTTTTCGATATATCCGCTTTATTTATTATTTAAATTTCTATTCCATTCGTTTATAAATACTAATCCATCTTTTACAAATAACGTAAATTAATAACAACACTTACGAAGTTTTTTTTAAAGCGTATGGTATTTTTAAATACTTTATGGGTAATTTTTAAGGTTCCCACTAGTTTAGAAAAGAATGGCATGCTTTTAAGGAAACGATGGAATAATATTATTGACTGTATAATCCCTACTAATATTATATATGCGAAAGTAACTGTCTGTCTGTCTGTCTGTTACGCTTTCACGCCTAAACCACTGAACTGATTTTAATGAAATTTGGTACAGAGATAGAGTTGACCTTTTAGACTATTTTTATTATGGATCTGATTTAATGAATGCACTAATATTAAAACCGGTGCTTTGGTGATAATTTTAGTCTCATGATACGAATGGTGGAAAACAGTCATATGTTATGTGGCTTTGATAACTTAAAATGTATATAAAACTTGTGATAGGACTTTCTTTAGTATTTTCTGGGATAAAGATTATTGTGTGTTTTGAATTTGGAGAACCAGCAACTAAACAGGAAGATTTTTATCAAGGTTTTTTTTTTAATACTATTTTATTATAATGTCATATTATTATATAAATAACTAAAAAAAATGGATATAATTCTTAACATAACATTACTGTATACTATTACTGTATAATTTCAATAAAACGAAAACATACATATATATTTTTAGTGATAATTTACAAGTCACATATATAATATCGTATTTATAATTTTCAAAAGTAACATTTAGGTGAGGGTGGGTTATAATATTAGGCGCTAGTTCCCCTCATACGAGTTTCTATTAAATAATAAAACACTTAAAATTGTGCAAAACATGCTAAGGCTCTCATTATAAATTATAAAACCAATTGTTAAGTATTTGGGCATTAAAATTACTGTACAGAAATGTTATTAACATTAATTTACACTATTAAACCGAATATACAGATGGTGCTAGTCGACTATCATAAGAATTCCCAATAAATATTAGAATATAAATAACGTGAAGCTTAGAATTGTGAAGTAGACAAATATTTAAATCATTATAAATAATTATTACTAACAAAATCTATCAGACTGTGGAATAAACTTCTACTAGAAATAAGAAAGGCACCTACATGGGCAATTTTCAGGCGTCGTTTACAGGAACATTTTGCTCAGAATCTGTATTAAGTCTCTGTCTTTATTATTGTTTTTGGTATATAATGTATATCTATTGGTATGTGTGTATGTATATGTATGTGTATGTATATGTATCTATATATATGTGTATATATTATTTATATATCAATAGAAATTTATATGTATATTTTTACTTTTACATACTGCTACCGTCTTCATGTTTTTCTGCTTTGCCTAAGGTTTGACTGGCAGAGAATGCCTTCAGGCATTAAGTCCACTTTTTGTATCTACAATTGTTAGACAATAAAGTTTTTAAATAAATAAATAAACATGTACATATGTAACTTGTATCTTCATTAACATGGCTTCCAAATTAATTAACTGAGCTAACTTTATTTATGATTCAAATTAGACTTGTAATATTTGTTTCAATTTAAAGAATTTAGTTGATAAAAAAACATATTTATAAATTATTTATAAAATAACGAAGTTGTAATAATATATGCTATATTATTGGATACAATATATATTTTTGATGCCTATGACAAAATTTTTGGTGATAACGTGGTAGCACGTGTTTACTAATTATGATCAACAGAACAACCAATAATGATTACTTTGGAAAAATATATTTTACGTCCATAACAGATAACTAGACTACGTTAAACATTATTAACAATAAAATATTACTGAGTCACACAGATCGAATGGAGATTCTTTGAATAATTATTATTTTTCTTGACAGATGACGGCTTTTAGTCGAGAAATATAACAAAGACCAAAAATGGTTTTTGGAATTTTAGAGATAAGAAAGCAAAATTGAAAAATTATTTCAAAAATGTTCTTGGCTATAGACAAGATATTGGTGAATGGACGGTGACTGTTATGTATTTGAGACATGATGATATTAAAATTTCTTGAACATAAGGACCATTTTTGTTTTTCCTTTAAATATTTGAATAATAGTTACATTTATATATCTCGAAGGAAGGACCAATCTACCCTCTTTTTTTTTTGGACGTCGCAGGGAAACTCTTTTTACGTCCAACCGGCCTGGGTGGGGCCGCACCAACACACCCCTCCAACGACTTAATCGAATTTGCCCCCTGAGCAACCCCCTCCCCCCATCATACTCTCTATCTCCCATGATAAAAACTCTCTCAAAAAAAAACAACGAAAACAGTGAAAACAGTGTATACAGCGAAACAGCCTGAATGAAAAATTAACCTGACCTATTTCAACCAGGACCAACCTATCCATGTGAGCTATCACAGTCTCAAGTGTCCGTTCCGGGTTTTGTCTGTAAGGGTCAGCTGCTATTCATCGAAACTTTTAGTGAAGATATAGACGATGGGATGATTTGGACTCCGGAAATTAAATTTCCCGGAGAGCCGGTTTGTATTTAATGAGATAAATTCAACGACGTAATTGGTATAGATCACTGTTTATTTTTTAAGCAATATATAAAATTTCAGGATTACCCATTCAATATTTATTTGTACGACCAAAGTATCCAAGTCAAAGACGGTACATTGACCATCAAGCCAATGACATTAGAATCGCGGTATGGGGAAGGAGCAGTTCATACATTTTTGGATCTCGCTGATAGGTACGATAATATCTTTTCCTTCTAGTTTCTCTTGATTCAGATAATTATTATCCAAGTATTATAGATGTACTGGCGAAATTGGAACTAACGAATGCTATCGGAGAGCATTTGGTCCTCAAATCATTCCACCTATCATATCTGGCAAAGTGACCACGAAGCACAGCTTTGCTTTTAAATATGGTCGTATAGAAGTTGGCGCAAGGATGCCACTGGGGAAGTGGCTAATACCTGGTAATCATTTAATTTAGTAATGCATACAAAACATTTTGAAGGGTTGGTTTTAAGAATTCATTTAAATTCTCTCCTCCTAATTTTGTTTAAAATGTATACTTTTGACCTTATAACGTTCAATGACGAATAAAAATAATGTTGAAAATGTTATGAATTCAAAGATAAAATTGTAATACATCCCCATTTTTCCCCAAAAAGAAACACGTTCAATGTAATTGATAAGGTTATCAGAACTGAAACATCAATAAACCTTTTATGTTACTTGCAGAAATACAATTGGAACCTCGAGATAATGTGTATGGAACGAAAAGATACGCTTCTGGACTTTTACGTATAGCTTGCGTTAGGGGTAATAAGGAAAGTTCAAAAAATCTTTATGGAGGACCCATATTGTATGACTCAGAACCTCTTAGGTACATAATAATCAAAGAAATTTTGAGCCTCTCTGAAAACCATTTTTATTACATGTATTTTATTTCCAGATCAGCTTACTTGAAAGAAAAAGTTGGATTTGACCAGTGGAGTAAAATGTTCCACAACTATACTTTGGTATGGAGACCAGGTTTGTAACCACAGTAATATTTTTTATTTTATGAATATAAAATAATCTTTTTTTGAACTAAAATTCGAATTGAAAATAAAGAATCGGAAATTAATCCCTACGTTTCAAAAAATCATCAATCTGTCCACATCATACCCAGTTGCTTCGCGATATTCCGGACATTCAATGCTCGCAAGTTAATCGTATGGAATATTTTTTTTATAAATATATAAATTATTTATGATAAATATTATTTATATACAGAGTTTTATTTCGAGTATTAGTTCATCACGGCTGTAATTTCAAAACCATAATTATATGAAATGGATAAAGATATCATTGCCACATCGTTTTATAATATATTATTATTATTGATGACTTATTAATTATAAATCACTAATCTTTCCTGGTTTATGCTTACTACTTTACTACTGCCCAATTTATATTTTTGATTAAGCCTAAACAAAACAAAATAACACTAGACTTGGCTACGATTCTTGTAATATATCTAGTTATATTGTATTTTAAATACGTAATATGTATGTTTTATTATGAGCTTTAAATTGAGTTCACAATTTTTAGATGGCATTTCTCTTTACGTTGATGGAGAAAATTATGGTAACGTTGTACCTGGTGAAGGATTTGCAGAAGAAGCAATGAAGCATAACATAAAATCTGGTTCACAATGGCTGCGAGGAACCTTAATGGCACCTTTTGATCAAATGGTAATTTTAACAAAATATTAAATTGAATTAGAAGAAATCTAAATAATTGCAATGAAGATATTATACATCTTTTCGTAAAAATTGTTCCTCAAATATTTCCTACGGAGAATCAAATCAAGTCAAAAATTATTATTGGCATGTTACACTAACTGGTCTGGTTTAAAGTTATTTAATCTTCTTTATTTTTTTTCAGTTTTACATCTCTCTTGGTTTATCTGTGGGAGGAGTCCATGAGTTTCCCAACTGCCCTAATAAGCCCTGGACCAATGAGGGCGTTAAGGCTATGCTCGATTTTTGGAAAGCCAAAAACCAGTGGTTCTCCACTTGGTTTGATGATACGGATATGCTGCAAATCGATTTCGTTGCAGTCTTCGCTTTATAGAGATTAATGAATAATAAATACCTATTTCTGTTATAAGAAATTCTTTGATATCTTTATCATCAGTACCAACACTAGTCATTTCCTGATTAATATAGGCCTCTTCCACATTACGCCACGGCGTTTCATCTTTTGCTCTTCTCGTATAATGTCCTCCATTCCAGCTGCTTCCGTCTCATAATTTCTTCAATAAGGTGAAAGTTGGTAAAAGTTGGAGCATTTTCCCGAGGTACGTATCCTCGAAGACTTCCTTTTCATCGCAGTGCTTGCAAAATAGCGCAATATTGAAATACTTTTATGATATTAGTAATTTATGACTATTTTAAGTTCAATATCTTAAAAAACAAGTCAAATATTTTGATATATTCGTTCAAGAATCCCTTACTCCTTCTATATATATCCTATCTTTAGCTTCTGTATATGTCCTTTTGTCATAATATCTTACTATATCATACTGAATTATTAACCTCAGGGGAGACCACTCAAAATCTGCATCAAAACAATCGGACCTTGAAATTAAAATGTCGTCTTCAAATTGAAGACTTGGCCTCAAGAAAATGTGTAGCTGATAGGGCATCTTCATATTTATGGATTTCTTATTTCAATGTGACGGAGTATGGACATGAAAACGGAGCTCAAAATCGATATATCGCATTAATATGACACATAGAACGTTTATGGCTTCTTAGGAGAATTGCACGATCGGATGAACGTGGAAACGTCAAAGTTTAATGAGAGGAGAAGTTATCAAAGCTATAAAGATAAATATAAGTTTCAAAGCTATAAAGATAAATATAATAAAAAAATACATTACCTTATATAAAATAATCACTATACACACTTTTATAACTTTAACGCATATTAATTAAATCAAACCGTGAAGATTCTTCGTGTGTACCTAATGTGTGTGTAACAAAATGTCAAACAACGACAATTCTATTCTACAAATGAACTTGAAATAACCAATTCATTTTGTTCAACCGTTAGGTTATATCTATTTAAATAAATACTACGGAACAATTATCAATTTACAAAATTCATTTCATGATTTAAGACACGAGTATCCTTTTCTAATGTCAATGACAATTTGTTTTTTAAAACTTACTTCTTCAGGACTTAAGAACTATGAGAAGGTAAAAACTCATTTTCTTATTAATTTAACTGTTAATACATACATTACAATATAGCACTGAGAAAATAGCAGAGAAGACTTTAAAATCACACAAAACACTCAATAGTATATCGCTTCACAGATTTTGTTTAAGAATATACCCAAAGTAAATATTTTGAAATTATTTTTTATTCGTCGGTTATATTATTCGCTGTCTTTACTAAAACCATACTTAAAAGATATTTGAAAAACCACAAATAGAACATAAATTATTCTTTTTTTAACTATTCCTAGCTTTAATATATTTTTTTTTATTAAATGATTAAATGATTAGTCATAATCATACTCGTAACAACTAACAACTTGAGAAGCTACTGGTACTTCTCCGCAGATGGTAACATTTTTATCCGTCGAAAAATGTGAGAAATGAAGATATTATGATAATATTTATCTTTTGATGATAAAGTATTAATTAAGTATTAATTTCTCATGATCAATATCAAAGTGAAAAAATTCTTAACATATTTCATTAGTTATTCAAGTAATATATTTCCAGTGGTGGTCTAGTGGTCTCGTTGTCGAGGGCGTGGGTACCTGGCAAGTACCAATGTGATTTTTCGGAGTTACATGTACTTTCTGAGAGTATTTAGACACCACTAACGTACGGTGAAGGAAAAATTGTAAGGAAACCTGGACTTATAGTTTCACAATTATAAGTTTGAAATCACCAACCCGTCTTAAGCAAGCGTGGTGATTAATGCTCAAACCTTCTCCAAGTGAGAAAGAGGGCTTTGCTCAGCAGTGGGCTCTGATAGGCTGGTGATGATGATGATGATGATATATCCAGTTCCTAAAACTAAAAAAATGTGTTCAAAATTCAGAACACGTCAGGTGATAAAAACACACACAAACTACATGAATGACTTTAAATATTGCATAAATAAATAAGTCTTTACAACCTTACGGAAAGTTAGATATTGAACACTCATTCATTATTTAAGATTATAGAAAATATATTATTCTAATACTTTCATTTTATTCTATTAGCCATATTATTGCAGTCTTTCTGGTGTAAAAGCAAATTGAAACCATTTTTTAGATATGCAACGGTCTTGTTGCATATCTAAAAACTGGTTACCTGTGTAAATTACGACGACCTTTTACAAATTTATATATGATCAAATAAATACTTTAAACATCAATAAACGAATACATTGATTGTCTTCTCTATTTGTGAATATACTTAAATCTTTGCTAATATTATTTTTATAACAAAAATTTCAGTTGCACGGGACAGGTAGGAACGAGGGAGTGCAGTCTTGTAGCAAATGGTGCGCAAATCCTTCCCCCTGTCATAAGTGGAAAAATTACGACACGCAACAAATTCAACTTCAAGTACGGTAGGATAGAAGTATATACTTAATTACCAGCAGGAAGTTGGCTTTTACCAGGTTCTTTTAATCGTATTCATAGACGTCTTAATTACGGTACCGCAATTTTTTGGACACAATTAAATGAAATTCTCTAACTTTTCGGCAAAAGAATTTCATGACATTAATGTGAAATGTAAAATTAATGAACCGTAAAATTTATAACCTTTTCTGATGATTCATATATGATATTTCGGCAGAACTTATTTTAATTTAATTATTAAATATTGTATAGATATATCAAAATTATGTATAATGCTCATATAACAAATATCTTAACACACATAATTAAATTTCATCATCAGCCTGTCAGAGTCCACTGCTGAGCAAAGGCCTCTTTCTCACGTGGAAAAGGTTTGAGCGTTAATCACCATGCTTGCTCAAGACGGGTTGGTGATTTCAAACTTGTAATTGTAAAATTATAAGTCCAGGTTTCCTCACGATGTTTTCCTTCACCGTATGTCAGTCGTGTCTCAATACTCTTAGAAAGTACATATGACTGGGAAAAATCACATTGGTACTTGCCCGGGCCAGGATCGAACCCACACCCTCGGCAACGAGAGGCAGGCCCTTTAACCACTAAGCCACCACTGACTTAATTTAATTTAATTTTAGATAATTAATTTATTCACAGAAATATTATTGGAGCCACGTGATAACGTATATGGAAAGCAGCGGTATGAATCTGGTATTATGAAAATTGCGTTTGTGAAAGGGAATGCTGCATTCGCAAAGAAGTTATACGGAGGTCCAGTTCTATCAGACACAGAACCTTACAGAACATTCCCCCTGAAAGAGAAACTTGGTTTCGATAATTTCAACAAAGATTTACATAACTACAGCCTAGTTTGGAAGCCTGGTGAATATATGTCTGGATTTAATATAAAAATCTATTCATTACAATTACCTCTTTTATTTCTTGCCAATGACCAACGTCCTTCTCGTGATTCTCTTCATCAGTGAGTTAATTCACTCCCTTGTCTAATTTTGGGAATCAGCATTAATCAGTGATGTCTAAATATTCTTAGAAAGTACATATGACGCGGAAAAATCACATTGGTACTTACCCGGGCCAGGATCGAACCCGCGCCTTCGGCAACGAGAGGCGGGCCCTCTAACCACTAGGCCACCACTGACTTATACTTGATAAATTGGTTATTCCATGTAAATAAAACATTGAAGAGTTTTTTTATAATTACTGAATTGATCTATGTCCGTCTTTAAAATAGTATTTTTACAACAAGAAACAACGAAAGCCCCCATGGGATTACTAATTTATGGATGAGTAACTTTATCTTTTAAAATATTTCGAATCAATTCTATAGCTATGTTTTAATATGTAAATATAATATCTTTATAAGTATACCCCTCCTACTTCAACTCGGTCGGTCAGCTGCGAATCGGAGAACGTGCGTCATTAAAAATGATGACGTAAGGATGAGAAAATACAACCATGACGTCAATCGTTAAAACTTATGGAAATATGAAAAACATCAGTGGCGTCACATGATAAAGAAAAACCTTTTGATAAATAATAAATAAAATGTTCACTAAATAAGTTTTGGATATCATGTGCCCTTATCGTACAATTAAACGTTATTTATTAATTGTTTTAACATAATTTCTAAATTAAGTCAAAAGAAAATCGTTACTCATTATATGACCTACTATCCGAAACATCAAAAATAACGAATGGGTTTCACTTTAACCGTTTATAGAGCTAAGAGGGCATGACATAAAGTGGGCTTGCGGGGACTTTTCTTCAAAGCAAATGACGAAAATATGAGGATTACTTCTAAGAATTAAATTCCGTCAAGAACATATACCATAGCCTTTCACTGCGACCTTGAGGATATGGCAACGCACTATGTAGTAAAGTCCTTTAACACTAAAAATGGTTCGATTTCATATATTTAAATGAATTTATTAATCTTAACTTCAAATTCAAAAACAGACGAATCACTTATCAAGACCTAAAAATTTAAAAGTTTGTCCTGACAAAATCTCATTACTTTAGAGAAGTGCAAATAAGTCAACATATTTTTATATTCATCCTAAAACATAATTAATGTAGGAAAAACTAATCTTCTACGAGTATATATATAAAAATGGATTGCTGTTCCTTAGTCTCGCTAAAACTCGAGAACAGCTAAACGGATTTATCTTATCTAACCATAAAAACAGCCCTTTTCTATTTCCCATACAAACGTTTTTTTTGACATTAGATTTGACAACTAACTAATATGTCAATCATTCTGTCGCACTTCAAAACACCGAGATTTATGGCTTACAGGTAAACTCCAAAAATATAAATAAAAAAACGTAATAGATATTTCTTGATTATAGGGCGATACGAAGTTCGCCAGGTCTTCTAGTAATATATATTTTTAATACTTAACAGTGCACGTCTACTTTCTTGAATGTGTTTTAGAATATTATATACACCAGTATTAAAAATTGGAGTTCTTGCAAATATTATTTTTTTTCCGTTTCTTTCTACAAAGCACAGGTCTGATCATTTGAGAAGTATTATATTTTTAATACACATTATTAAAGTATAAGTTTTAATTTGAGTAGGAGCTGCTACATGGCCCTTCACGGCTTTGGACTCTAAAAAGAGACGTTCAAAAAGACTAATTGGTAACCATGATTTGATTAAAACTATTCTAAAATCCTTGAATACAGCTATGATTTAGCTAGTCTCTAGCTGTTTTCTATGACGTTGGTACTTGTGCAAGTAAAGCACAATTTCATTTGTTCCTCTCTTGTTTCCCATAGAATAATTAAAGGCACATTGTGTATTGTTTCTTCGTTCTTAATTATCAAAAACAAAGTTTCGGTATAAAAGCTATACTAAAACTGTCTTGACTGTCATCTCAAGAAATAAGAACTTATTATAAATAAGTATTAATTTGTCATATACAAAGGCGAAATGTTTTTTAACTACATGTACCTGTCTGTACAATGTCTTATTTTAATAACAAAAAATATTCTTAACAATGAATTAAACTGAAGTATTTAGATTGCAAATATAATTTGTGTCTTATTGATGACTTCATTATTTACAATTACAAAAATATCATACAATACAATATTTTCCTCGTCTGGGGATAAACCTAATTATAATAGGTTTATCTTCTTAGTTTTTGCTCAATTCAAAACAATTGCTTCGTATATAACAACGTCAAAGCCTACTAAATTGCCTCAAAACTTTATCTCTCACAATAGTACTGACATTAAAAGAGATGCTCACATTAAAAAGATCATTAACAAAACATCATCTTTCAACGAGATCAAGTATAGCTTACATATTTAAATATATCTACTTTTATGGATTATGTTGATTTGTAGGACACATCAATCTTTAGTAATTGCACTATGTATTGGGTAAAAGTTTTTTAACAAGCCGAATTTCATACAATAGGTACTCAAGATCCTTAACTAAACCTACAGTCAAATCTAGTGGATGTCGTCATAGGTCAATTTCGTCGGAGTTCTTTTGAAACGGAATGGATGTACGAAGACTTCTCGTTAATAAATTGAACAATCAAATTTTATCCGACATATTAAACCATAATAATAGAAGTTATTCAACTTTTTAATAAATGTAAAAAGTTCACTTACGATATAAAATAATACGTTGGGTTTTTGAGATTTCACTATTATTTTTTTTGTTAAAAACGTATACTACTACTTGAATTTGTTATTTAAGTATTCTATTTATTTTAAGCTACTTTATTTAAGAGTCATTGAGACATGAAAACTTATTTAAATCGACAAAGTACCGATATCACAGAGTTGCAGGTCCAAATTGTATTTGCATCGAGACAATTTTTCATCATACATTATATATAAATATATTTTAATTACTGACTCGACAATTATTATAGTCTATGACAAAAGTGTTTGCTGAAATTCATTTTTTTTCAATATCACCATTTTCCTTTTGAATTTAAGAAGATGAGTAGTCAATCAGAACTTTAAGTATAGATCAAAACCAAATAAGTTTAATTCAGAATTTTTTAACATGGCAAGTTTTTGAGTCTTTTGAAGTAATAAAACAAATACCTAAAACATCTTATTTCACTTCACTTAAATTATATTGGAATTGTGCTGATATCCCACTTGCATTACTAATTGACCCTTGCATTATATTATACAGTTTAATATCTTATAATATATATACATATGTATATTTATATTTCCAAGATAAAACATGTGCTATGCTAATACAAAGAAACAGTTTTGATTTAATCCCTACTAATATTATAAATGCGAAAGTAACTCTGTCTGTCTGTCTGTCTGTCTGTCTGTCTGCTACGCTTTCACGCCTAAACCACTGAACTGATTTTAATGAAATTCGGTACAGAGATAGAGTTGACCTTGAGAAAGAACATAGGATAGTTTTTATCCCAGACTTTTGAAAGGTTCTCTTGGAAACGCGATATAACCGAACTCCACGCGGCGAAGCTGCGGGCGGAAAGCTAGTAATATAATAATAGATCTACGTGTCAAACAGTTACCATCTAAAATAATTCGATTTTTCGAATTGAAAGAAGATAGTGACTTCAGAGGAATTTTAATTTAAAAACGTTAAATACGTATCTTTTGTCACTGTTTTTTATTTAGTAATATAAATATATTTATTTTAGAATAATCAGCACAGACATAAATCATAATAACAACGCTTAATCATACCGTCTGCAACATAATTTTTTTTCGATATACCCGCTTTATTTATTATTTAAATTTCTATTCCATTCGTTTATAAATATTAATCCATCTTTTACGGATAACGTAAATTAATTAAAACACAAAGTTTTTATAAAACGTTTGGTATTTTTAAAGACGTTACTTGTAATTTTTAATGTTCACACTAGTGTAGAAAAGAATGGCATACTTCTATGGAAACGATGGAATAATATTATTGACTGTATAATATTTCTATAAAACTTCATTATGTATTTTTTTATTATGGATCTGATTTAATGAATGCAGTAATATAAGAACCGGTGCTTTGGTAATAATTTTAGTCTCGTGATACGAATGGTGGAAAACAGTCTTATGTTATGTCGCTTTAATAACTTAAAATGTATATAAAACTTGTGATAGGACTTTCTTTCGTGATTTCTGTGATAAATATTAGTGTATGTTATGATGTACCAGCAGCTAAATTGGAAGCGATTTATCCTGTGGGACTAAGAGTGTCGATTCCAGGTTTTTTTTGTTTTATTTTATACTATTTCATTACAATGTCATCTTATTCTAGAAAAAAATGCATAGAATTCTTATCATAAGATCGCTGTATGCTATTAAAGTGTAATTAGAGAAAACGAAAATATATATTTTTAATCACAATGTGTTAATCACATATGTATTTTAATATAATTATTTTTAATTTAAATTATATAAATAATTAAATATTTTTTATAGAGTATCTCATCTTTCTTGTTTGACCTGTAATCCCACATTGGCACTATCTACATATTTATTTATATGACCGATGACAACATGATAACAAAACATTATTACATAACTTGTTTCTTCATTAACATGACTTCCAAATTAATTAACTGAGTTAACTTTAATTATGATTCAAATTAGACTTGTAATGTTTGTTTCAATTAAAATACTTCAGATGATAAAAAACATATTTATAAATTATTAATAAAATAACAAAGATGTAGTAATATATTTTGTATTATTACATACTTACAATCTATTTTGATGCTTATGACAAAATTTTTGGTGATAACACATTAAAGACCCGGAAAAACTCAGCTGTGGTAACACGTTTACTAATTATGATCAACAAAACAACCAATAATTATGTGATCTGCCTGATAGTAACAAATAATGATAACTTTGGAAAAAAATATTTCAAATCCATAACTTATAACTAGACTACGTTAAACAAATTATTAACAATAAAATGTTACTGAGTCACATAGAACGAAAATATATATTTTATTATCATTATTTTTAAATGAAATTCATATTTTTGGGATTAACTACGAGATTTTTTATTTTTGACTATAAACTATAAACTTTCAGACACTCACATCTCGTCTGCCCATGATCACGGTTGCTGAAAAGTAGCCGAAACGTCGGGAGTATGTAGTTTATAGCCAAAAATAAAAAATCGTGTAGTACATCCGAGAATATTAGTTTCATTTAAATGAATTCTCGCGAATGTCTTAGATCTCATTATTATTATTTTATTGACAGATGACGGATATTCTCTATTTGCCTTTCATGGCAAGCTCAATGAAGAAATGGAGGGTCTGGAAGCAGGACACTGGTCGAGAGATATAACAAAGGCTAAAAATGGTTTATGGATTTTTAGAGATAGGAAAGCAAAATTGAAAATAGGAGACAAAATTTATTTTTGGACGTACGTTCTCAAAAATGGTCTTGGCTATAGGCAAGATAATGGTGAATGGACTGTGACTGGTATGTATTTGAGACATGATGGTATTAAAATTTCTTGAACATAAGGACCATTTTTGTTTTTTCTTTAAATATTCGAATAATAGTTATATTTATATATTTCGCACTCGTTCGGTTTGTTGATTTATTTATTTATTTATTTATTTATTATTATTTAAAGGATACGTTGGCGAAGACGGGAATCCAATATCTGAAGGGGTTTCTCCTAATTCGACTTGCGTAACAAGCTCAACGGCAACTCCCAATTTGCAGCCACCAACTACTTCAAGTGGGGAAGGACCAACCTATCCATGTGAGCTATCACAGTCTCAAGTGTCCGTTCCGGGTTTTGTCTGTAAGGGTCAGCTGCTATTCGAAGATAATTTTAGTGAAGATATAGACAATGGGAAGATTTGGACTCCGGAAATTAAATTTCCCGCAGAGCCGGTTTGTATTAAATGAAATAAATTAAACGACTTAATTGGTATAGATCACTGTAATTTTTTAAATCATATATAAAATTTCAGGACTATCCATTCAATATTTATTTGTATGACCAAAATATCCAAGTCAAAGACGGTAAATTGACCATCAAGCCCATGACCTTAGAATCACGGTATGGGGAAGGAGCTGTTGATACATTTTTGGATCTCACTGATAGGTATGATAATATCTCTTTCTTCTAGTTTCTCTTAATTTAGATAATATTTATCCAAATATTATAGATGTACCGGCAAAATTGGAACTGACGAATGCTATCGGAGAGCATTTGGTCCTCAAATCATACCACCTATCATATCTGGCAAAGTGACCACGAAGCACAGCTTTGCTTTTAAATATGGTCGCATAGAAGTTGGCGCAAGGATGCCACTGGGGAAGTGGCTCATACCTGGTAATTATTTAATTTCAAATAGCCATCCATACAAAAGATTTTAAAGATCGATGAATTAATATTATATTTACCGACTTTAATGTAAATTGTTTAATCATTTTCTTAGCTTATTAAGTGACGAATAAGTATAATCTTGAAAATGTTATGAATTCAAAAATAAAGTTGTAGTACATACCCACTTTTGTCCCTAAAAGAAACACGTTAAAAAGAAATGACAAGGTTATCAGAACTGAAACTTCAATAAACCTTTTATATTACTTGCAGAAATACAATTGGAACCTCGAGATAATGTGTATGGAGCGAAAAGATACGCTTCTGGACTTTTACGTGTAGCTTGCGTTAGGGGTAATGTGGAATATTCTAAAAATCTTTATGGAGGACCCATATTGTATGACTCAGATCCTTTTAGGTACATAATAATCAAAGAAATTTTTAGCTTCACTGGAATACATTTTTATTAAATGTAATTTATTTCCAGATCAGCTTATTTGAAAGAAAAAGTTGGATTTGACCATTGGAGTAAAACTTTCCACAACTATACTTTGGTATGGAGACCAGGTTTGTAGCCAGAGTAATATTTTTAATGAACTTAATTGAAACTATTTCGAATTCAAATTCAAATAGAAAATAAAGAATCAAAAATTAATCTCTCCGTTACAAAAATTCATCAATCTGTCCACATCATACCCAGTTGCTTTGCGATATTCCGGACATTAAATGCTGGCATGTTACTCGTGTGGAACATTTTTTTTATTCTTCAAATAAAATATTTATAGTAAATCATTCTATATACATATAATCTTATTTCGAGTATTAGTTCATCACCTGTATAATTTCAAACCCATAGTTATATGAAATGGAGAAGGTTATCAATGCCACATCCTTATATAACATAACAATCATGACTAATGAATTATGAATTATAAATCTCTGATCTTTCCTGATTTATGTTTACTTTTTACTACTGCCTAATTAGGAATTATATTTCTTTTTGTTTAAACATAAACAAAACGAAGTTACAATAGATTTGGCTATGATTCTATCAATATATCGAGTTATATTCTATTTTAAATACCTAATATGTATGTTTTATTATGAGTTTTACAATGAGTTCACAATTTTTAGATGGCATTTCTCTTTACGTTGATGGAGAAAGTTATGGTAACGTTTTACCTGGTGAAGGATTTGCAGAAGAAGCAAGAAAGAATAACATAAAATCTGGTTCACAATGGCTGAAAGGAACTTTAATGGCACCTTTTGATCAAATGGTAATTTAAATAAAATACAAAATTAAATAAGAAGAAATCTAAATAATTGCAATGAAGATATTATACATCTTTTCGTAAAAATTGTTCCTCAAATATTTCCTACGGAGAATCAAATCAAGTCAAAAATTATTATTGGCATGTTACACTAACTGCTCTGGTTTAAAGTTATTTAATCTTTCTTTATTTTTTTTTCAGTTCTACATCTCTCTTGGTTTATCGGTGGGAGGAATCCATGAATTTCCCAACGGCCCTAATAAGCCCTGGACCAATGAGGGCGTTAAGGCTATGATCGATTTTTGGAAAGCCAAAGACCAGTGGTTCTCCACTTGGTTTGACGATACAGATATGCTGCGCATCGATTACGTTAGAGTCTACGCTTTATAGAGATTAATGAATAATAAATACCTATTTCTGTTATAAGAAATTCTTTCATCATTACCAGCGCTCGTCATTCACTGATAGAAGCCTCTTCCACATTACGCCACTGCGATCCATCTTTTGCTCTTCTCCTGCCATCTCCTCCATCCCAGCTGTTTCCGTCCCATAATCTCTTTAATGAGGTGAAAGTTGGAGCATTTTCACGAGGTACGTATCCTCGAAGACTTTTTTTCTTTTTTTTTTTGCAAAATAGATAATATTGAAATACTTTTTTGATGTTAATAATTTATGACTATTTTATGTTTAATATCTTAAAAAAAAATATTCGTTCAAGGATCCCTTACTCCTTCCTTATATATCCTATCTTTAGCTTTTGTATATGTCCTTTTGTCATATTAACATACTATATCATGCTGAGTTAATGCCATCACCGGAGACCATTCAAAATCTGCTCCGAAACAATCAGACCTTAACATTAAAATGTCGTCTTTAAATTAAAGACGACATTTAGCCTCAAGAAATTGGGTAGCTGATAGGCCATCTTCATATTTAAGGATTTTTAATTTCAATTTGTCAGAGTGTTAACTGCATTATTAATATGCCATGAAAATTGAGCTCAAAATCATTATATCGCATTAATATGTCACATAGAACGTTTATGGCTTTCTAGGAGAATTGCACGATCGGATGAACGTGGAAACGTCAAAGTTTATGGAGAAGAGAAGTTATCAAAGCTATTAAGATAAAAAAAAATACATCAAATTATATGTATAAGATAATCAATATGTGAGTTGTCAAACACAAACACGTTTGAAGGTTATGCGCTCGTAAAAGTAAATATTTTGTTGGGGATTCGGATCGTAATAAAGAGAAAACTAATGAAAGATATGTGTATTTTCTATTAGTTATCTATTGTATATTTACTAATCTATAAATTAAACTGAAATTCAAGCCTAAATACCTAGACTCAAAAAAATACCGCTAACCTAAGTCGAAAATGTATACAGAGGGAGAAATGGGCATTTGGGCATGCCCAATGCTTCCTCCTATTATGTTCAGTTTAGGAGGATTTTTAATATTAGAAGAAGACATCAAAACTAAATTGCCAGTACCAAAGACATGCAATAAAACCAAACGTGGTAGCTCTAAGTACACATTTGATAGTCCTCTATGGGTTATACCCAATCTCAGATAAGTTAAGATACTATTTAAGATGTTTTTATATTTTGTAAACTTTATTTTTATTTTCTGTTATTTTTATAGTTTAATAATAGTTTATTTGTTAACTAATATTTGAATTCCATTATGGATATAAAGTGATTTATAGGCTGTGCCCAAGCCTCCCACAGGGTATGCCCAAGTCTCCCTACCATAAGGAGCATTAGGCACTTTTTACTCAGTTTATAAAATATCTCGTAATGTAGAAACTGATTGTATTTTTTAAGAAAGCTCGTTAATCATAGTTATCAAATGTGTGGCTCAATAAGAAATGGCAATAAAAGTTGATTATCTATAAAATCAGATTTTTTATGCAATAAATAGTATAAAAGTGCCCATCCCTCCCCTACCTCCCCTATATATATTTTTTATTAAATGATCAGTCATAGTGATAACAACTAACAACTTGAGAAGCTATTTGTACTTCTCTGCAGATGGTAACATTTAGAAATGGGAGGAATGAAGATATCATATAATATTATAATATTTATCTTTTGATGAATAGTTCACAAACACAATACATTTTTAATAAGAATCTACTATATAAATGTATTATACAACTCAGTAATATAATGATCTCTTTAATTATGTCATCAAATGTTACCGTTAATTAGAAACGATTTTAAATAAATTGTAAATGAGTTAATCCACTGACAAGGAAAATCTTGCCGTCATAATAGTTGTAAATAACGAAATCACTGGTAAGTTATAAATGATGTTTTCAATATACATATATAGACAAGTTTAATTTACACAAGTAATAAACAACTGCCGAATATAGCAATGTTTTATCATTATGACAAAAGTACAAATAGATATATTTCTAACTAAACTGTATAGAGGATGATTCAAAACAGCATGAAAAGCTAAAATGTCAATTGTCTAATCTAAAATATATAATTGTTTAAAAATCTACCGACTATTCCGTTAAAATAAACTTCTTATAAGTCTGTAAAGTGGATGACTAAGTACTGAAAACAGTTCATGAAGAATGTACTTACTGACATTTATTTTAAATTTTACTTTTAAGTTCAAGACGAAGACAATCTATTACAGATATTTCAAATAAATACAGAAAAAATATGTTTAATTCACAACTATTATGAGATGACAACTATTTGAGTATCATACCAAATTAAAATAATACATACCCAGAAACATGTCATTTTACTTTAGTTGAATCAAAATTGAAATCACTGAAATCTCATTTAAACTTTTTAATATAACTTTAATATTTTTATGTTTAATACAATATATGATAAAAGTGCACTATTTCTATTTTCCTTTAGAGTTTAACAGAGATCACATCATTATATGATAAAAAAATTAACGACTGGGGAAAAGATAGAGTAGACAAGCTGTATAGGGTTGTGCCTTCCATTTAGATTTAGATTTTAGAAGAAACACAAAAATAAAGTAATGGTCCTTTTAATAAACATCTATTTGGGCTAGGCATTTCGAGGATACAAAACATACATAAAGACAAGATGAAACGGTTAATCAATTTTAAGTCAGTGGTGGCTCAGTGGTTAAAGGGCCCGCCTCTCGGCCTCTCGTCGCCGGGTTCGATCCTGGCCCGGGCAAGTACCAATGTGATTTTTCCGAATCATATGTACTTTCTAAGAGTATATAGACATCACTGATTAATGTTGATTCCCAAAAGAGGGTTGATGTCAGGCAGGCGGCCGGTCGTAAAAACAAATAGCCAAAAACTATTCATAACATGTAAGGCAGACCCTGGCTATAGCTGGGAAATTGCCAGGTAGAAGAAGAAGAAACGGTTAATCAATTTTATAATTTTCAATAAAATGGTCAAACATCGCACCGGAATGGCTCAATACATATCAAATTATATCTGAACCCTAGGCATCTCGATCAAGTCTTGAGCAAACGTGGTTATTAATACTCAAATCCTCTCCATGTGAGAAAGCCTTTGCTCAACAGCGGACTCTGATAGGCTGATGACAGACGTCTTTATAACTAATAATCATGTAGTGAATAATACTGCCTAGACTCGATGTAACGAAACAGAAGAGCATCCAATTATTGTCCGATTCCTGTTACCTTTTTACTCTTCATAACTATTACGTATATTTAATGTTCATTTCATGACACTTAAAAACAGTCACTTCACAGCGACCGACTAAATATTTTTCACCAAAAGTAAGAGTGAGGATTTCCTTAACTAATTATTGCAACAGAATCTGTTATGTGTATCCCAACAGTCAAAGATGAAAAAACTGCTTTCAATAGTACATTTTTCATTATGGTTAGTTTATATTCAACTTTTATTCAGGTATATAGCACCTTTAAAATTTTAAAATTTGTCAAAGAATTATAAAATTGTTAAAAGCTTTGTTTTTGAAAGGCTAGAAATAAAATTTCCTTGTTAAAAATAATAATATATATGTGTCCAAATTACATAAATATCATATATAAATAATTATTATTTGAACAACCTTGATTCAAAGGTTATCATCAGATGACCTTGTCCATTAAATAGATGAAAAGACGGCCCAAACAAAATTTTAATGTTGCTAGTAGGAAATATTAACAAAAATATTATATACAAAATATGTTTATGTTGAGATTATCCTTATTTTGCCAAAATATAAGGCTAGTGTCATTTGACGGTCATGATAAGTGGGGGAAAAAGTCACTTTGGCGGGGATTATTTATTGTGATTCCCTTGGTACAAAGGTAAAGCAATTGCAATGATAAATTTCAATTCTATAACGTTTTTTCTATTACTTCTTATATTCTCTCGAAGCATCGCAACACCTAGACCCTTTGAGAGATATTTGGACGCACCTTTTTTAAAAAGTGTGTCCGGGACTGTGCCAGCCGGCTTATTTATTGCGTGGAACGGAGTGAGACAACGTACAGATGACCCAGTTTTGGGATTTAAGGTATGTAGTTCCTCACAACAGAATAACTATACCTTACTAAGAACTCCTCAAAAAAATATAGCGAGTTCTGTCGAAGTCAAAGTAATTCATACACCAATTATTTAACACCCATAAACTTATAACATCAATACTAAGATTCTGATTATAAATAATAATAGATTTTGTATTTATTTATTTTCAAATCTTGAAAAAAATATATAATAAAGTTTTCCGAATTTTTGATCTAGATTAAACTATGGATCTTGAAACAAGAAACTAATATAGAATATGACCTTTTGAATGCCGAAGAATATCCTGGTGAAATTCATAACATAAAACCAACGAAGGTAATAATATTACGATCACATAAAGATATATGTATAATTTTTTGTTAAAAATAAGTTTCAATTGTACAATATCTTGCACTATTCAAGCAAAAAAAAAATTCCAAGTAGAAACTAAAGTTCATGGACACTATCTAGTTTTCATGCTCGCAACAATGAGGAAAAGATCTCTAAAACTTTAACATGATTAGTCAAATCCTAACATATATCATATATATATATGTATTGTGCAATCTTTCTAGCAAATTAATATTCTCATCTACCCTCAGAGTTTTAGGATCAATGAAACACTTGGATTTCCGTGGAAAGAATTCATCGTTGAAAGGGAGGAAGAGTATTCAAAGTCACTTCATATTAAAAATCTGGATTACAATGTTGTGTACGAAGTTCGTGTACTTGCTTATAAAATAGACCAAGACGGCCCGATGTCGGAACCAATGAGGATAAAGCTGGTGAAAGTGGGAGAAAACTTAGGACACACTATAAAGAAAACATCTGTGGGTTGCGAGTTTCTCATAAAAAGTGAATTGGAAATTAGTGGGGACATTTATCCTTTTGAATATATTTCGAACTTTTAAACAATTTTTTTTACAATTTTTTGGTATAGATAGGAGTTGGAGTTAATTATAATATAAAATTATTTACATACTTTCATTTATTTAATTTATTTTTCGTAATCAACACAAAACTGTACTCGAAACACACATTTACCTTAGTTTATTATTATCATTTAAAAGAAACATTGTATTACCTAAAATAAAATTTCAATAAATGAAAAACCCATGATGATTTCTAATGAACTGATACATTTGGAAATTTATACAATATATGTGTGTGAGTCATATTTTTTGTTCAAAAGTGGATATAGTCAGTTAATCTGAGACTTGACAGTAAATAGATAAGCGTCAAAAGACGTTTAGTTTAAAAACTAAGATGATTTAGAAAACTTTATTACTTTTTGTTATACGTTCCAAGAAGTAATTATTTCCTTATAATTATTTCATAAATCATATTTGTATTTGACCTTCTAACGTTATCATTGCTAAAAAGTAATGAAAACCAAATATATTTCCTCTTATGACGAATATATCGTATACTCGTATTATATTTTATGCAAAATCAATCATTAAATCACAATGTTTTGTTCAACAATATGTGTGTTATTCGTCTTGAGTGTGACGACAGCTCAGAATACATCTATGTATGTGGTTCCTAAGGTAACTGTGAGAGCCTTACAACCCAACGGTTTCCGAATATATATACCAGGTAATACCAATTAATATAATATAACAGTATTTTAAATAAAAATTTATATGAAGCAGTCTACTCTTTACCTTAACAGGTGATGATAGGATCAAAATGTTTCATTTTGAAGCTAATTTTTATTCGCCTAATGGTACATTCTATAAAAGTATCAGGGAATTTATTGTTGAGGAAACAAATGGATACTGGATGTACGAGGATCTGGAGACCCCGTTGAAAGTAGGGGATACCGTGGTTTATTATTTATTTGTGGCATTTAAACGTGGAGTAACCGACATGGTTCGTTGGCTCTTTAAGGTTCCAGGATACACTGGAAAAGGTCAATATAAAGTAACCGGTGCGTATTTTAAAATCAGATATTTGCTCTAAAAAAACCTATTAAATATGTAATATTTTTTATTAATTACACACATCAGTTTTTGCATAGTAATATATATTATAGTGCTTTATTTATTTTATATAGAGAAAGATGTAGTACATAAAAATGATGTATTGGAACCTTCGCCTGACGTTTACAATACTTGTAAAAGAACCGATACCGTAATTTTCAAAGGCAAAGCTTGCAGCGGTAACATGATATTTGAAGATAACTTTGATACTTTTCGAGAGGACCTGTGGCAGATTGAACAGTACATACCCGATGATGACCCAGTAAGTAACAAATTTTATATTGGAATCCAACCGTTCAAACGTACAGCAATATATTAACCGTAAGGCATTAATATAAATTTAAATATATATATATATATATATATATATATATATATATATATATATATATATATATATATATGTTTTCTGTTACAGTACCATCCCTTTGTAACATATCAAAATAAACCTTCCAATCCAACCGTTTTTGTCGATGATGGATTACTGATTATAAAACCTAAGCTACCGGGAAATATTACCGAATTTTCCGATGAATCTTTTCTATATGGAAAATCTCACTTGGAACACGAGTAAGGCTCACATAATACTTGCTTTGTTAAATTTTAAAAGCATAACCTAAACCCTTTGTTTTTCTTAGGTGCACCAACCAAATATGTGCAGACTTACCTGGTATATTACCGACTGTACTAAGTGGCAAACTTAAAGCTAAAGTGGCTTTTACTTATGGGATTGTCGAAATTCGTGCCAAGATGCCTATTGGCGACTGGCTGTATCCAGGTATGTTATACAATAGAAAAACAAACTATTTTTAATTCTGTTACGCATAGGCACAGTTAAGAACTCTTATTTTTATATTATTTCAGAAATTCAGTTGGAGTCATTAACGAAAAAATACGGCAAAGCAAATTACTCCTCTGGTCTTTTGAGAATTGCCTCAGTATTCGGAAATGAAGGCTCAAACGATACTTATAATAACAAAGTGAGTTATAAATAAATGACAGCAATATTTTCTGTATAATATTTTTTACTTGGTAAATATTTAGTTTTTAGGAGGAAGTCCTTTATTGAACATTGCGTGTTTATCGAGTAACGAAGCCAAAAAAAAGATATCAAATGGAACATGGTCCGATGATTTTCATATCTATTCCTTGAAATGGACACCCGGTTAGTATCGATGTATTAAAAAGCAAATAAATATTATGGTATTCATTAGTTCTTATCCGATATAGACACTTATCATAGGTTTATACATGTCCTCGCGAATTTTGTAATTTTGATTATAACAACATTTAACATAGTATAGGAGTATAAAAATGTTAAATATGGAAGATATATTCTGATAAGGTATAAATATGAAAAGTGATTTACATTGTTAAAAATATCCGTATACTGTGAATCATATGCGATTTAATCCTACGTTCTAGATGTCATAGAACAATATGTGGATGGAGAGATGTGGAATCGTTTCCGACAAGGTCGTAAAGGACTTCGGTCTTGGTTGCCCCTAAACTGTCGCAATAATTGGTTTGAACTTCTTGGTACAGGAGGCAAGATGGCTCCATTTGATCATCACGTAAGTTATCGTTTCATCTGACTGCTTTAGTAGTACTTTATAGTATTTTATCCTCATTCCACATGTTTTATATGTTATTAAAACATTGCAAGTATAAATAATGTACGAATAACAAAAAACGAATCTTCCCATGCTTCCTAATAGACAGTGTAAAACTAAGGATGTTTTCTAAGCCATAATTTTTTTTATAGTTCTTTTTGACTTTGGGAGTCGCGGCCGGTGGCATGATATTTCCGGATAACATGAATGGAACATTAGGGATCAAGCCATGGCGCAATAAAGAAAGAAGAGCGCTACAGAAATTCTGGAAGGACCTCCCGAATTGGTACCAAACTTGGACCCAACCTTTATTAATAGATTACGTCAAAATAAGTGCCCTATAAAGAAAAAAACAGAATATAAAAGAAAAACCATTGTTTACACACATTCTCATGATTTTTTATGTTTTTTTTTTAAAGAAAAAAGTTTTAAAGTTTTTTATTTTTGTTTAAAGAATTTATTTGCGACTAGAGATCCTTATTACAAGAGGAACTTCTTATTAAAGATGCATATGGTATAAATAAAAAGGTAACATTATAGATAGGACATGTGGTTTTCAACTAACATTAGGAAAATTGATTCAGAGAGCTGTAACTCTAACGTAATCCACGAGTAGAGCCGGCTGTCTCCACGTCGGAAGCCAAGAAGACATGTCTTGCCAAAATCTTAAACTAGCCTTACGACCACTGTTTCTCCACGGTTTTGGTATTCCTTGAGACGTTATTTCGTCATCGAATTCAGTAACTCCGCCTGTCGTCAAACCCAATGTAAGGAAGAACTAAAATAAACAAACCAGAAAAAATATAAAATAAATAGAAAATTAATTGGAAATATCGTATGGTAACAGATAATACTGTCTTTCTAAAACAGATGAATGGAACTATTATATTTTACTGAAATTCTGTAATATTTTTTTTATGTCCCTAAGGGAGCAAACGAGCAGGTAGCCTTCCTGATGGTAAGTAGTTACCGTCGGGGGTGGACATTTGCAACATAAGAGATGTTGTGGAGGCAATGCCAGCCTTTATTGTTCAGGAAGGAAGAAAAGGTGATAATAAGGAGGGAAGGGATAGTATGAGAACAGCGAAAAGGTACCCGGCTCTTAGATGCGTTGTCAAATCTGTATCTGGTAACTCACATAATCATCGAAGGGTGATAGGTCGGTAGCTGCAGCTCGTGGTGCATCACAATTAGGTCCGAGTTTTCCACGCAGGCCACTCGCGGCTGGTTCCGTGCGACCCCATTCTTCACCGTCCACAAATAACGTTATCCTCTCTTGAATATAAAATTTGAAATTACCAATGACGTCATAAATAAAAGGTGTCTTCAAGATAAATATCACTCACGCAGAGCATAAAGAAACTAAACAATCTTTACAATGAAACCAAATTAAATCATACACAGATTCTACGAGATAAATTTAAGCTATAGCTATAGCTTTCAAATAAATAGATTATGATCACCTGGTTCCCAACGCAGAGTATATATATGAAAATCGTCTCCCCAGGGCTTGTTTGAGTTTTTCTTGCTGAGTAAACTTTTGCGGCACTTCAAGTCCATTATTGGACCACCGTACAAAACCTTATAATTTCGGAAAAATAAGATTAAATTTCATGATAGAGACGCTTATTGATCTGAAATTTACTTAAATTATAAAAGACCATACCTTGTTCCCCATTTCAACATTTCCAGCAGATAATTGTTGATTTCCCAACGCACCAGCAATCCTTATGACGCCCGACGCGTAGTTTGTTACTCCATATTTTTTGAATAACGACTCGATTAGAATATCTACAAGTACCAAATAAGATTGAGAAAATGCATTTTGCATCTAGTTATGCTTAAAATAAGTCTTACATTGTTATTTATTATTAAAATGAAGTTTTTCTAAGTTATGTTTAATAGGATATTTTTTATTTATTTTCTCCCATACCTGGATAAATCCAGTCCCCTTGAGGTAACTTTGCTCTGACTTCAACAACGCCGTAAGTAAATCCAAAAGTCTTTGATATAAGTTTACCGCTGGCTATCGGTGGTATTATACTCGCGCCCCATGCTTCAATCTGACATTTCGATGAAATAGCTGTACAACTGAGGAATTGGTAAAGTTAAATAATTTTATATTATCTTTGCAACAAAATCTATATAAAATACCAGTCATTTGAAAAGTTTCAGTGCGTATTCATTACATCCGAAAACTATTAAGTTTTTATTCGAATCTAACAGCTATTTTAACTTTATAACCGGCTTTACAGATATAAATTTTAATTAATTTTATTCTTAAATCTTCAGTGAAATTATTATACTTGATGACATTGATTAATAATTATGTTCACGGTAAAAACTGGCACTTAGTTTAGTACAGTTCTTCTTCTTAGTCGTACACTCTTGACAGAGTGGTCGTGGTCATTATACAGTTATAATGATGTCTTCTAATCAAATACATTACATTTTTGTTCTCATTAGCTTTTAAACCATTAAAGTATTTTTTAATTTACGTTACTGCTTCTTTGTATGAAAAATGAATATACAAATTTTATGTACTTAAATAGTGTATACATTTACCCATTTAAAAGATTCAATTTTCCCATATATATTGAATTATTGGAGTATCCAGGCAGATCTTGTTGCAATTTAGGTTCAATCTTGAGATACCCTCCTTCCACGGCCACTGTTGGTGCATTGGGCGGTCGCTGGTAGGAAACGAAAGGAAAATCCTGAAACAACAGAAATTTACCTTAACATAGTAAGCAAAACATAATAAAAATATGTATATATTTATTAACATTATAACAATGTTGAGTCACTATATCAAATATAAAATGAATGTCTTTTAACTACAGGGTGGGATATTACAACGTTTTCAGGCTCAAATATATCTGGTAAAATGGACTATTGACTCTATATTTGATATAGGAAATTTCGTTTTTTTTTTTTAATATAGGTATCTTACAGGCTCGTCGGGTATATATTGCTCAATTTGCCACAAATCTTCTCTTAAACTGTCAAAATTGTCCTCGAACAAAACTTGACCGGCGCAAGCTTTTCCATTTCGAACAACACTTGGAGTATTCCTACAATCTGCCGCAGGATTTGAAGACGGGCTTTCGAGAGCTGTAATGTAAATATATATGAATATAGTTTACCTGAATAACATATAATAATTCCATAATAATAAACAATTGTTAAAACTGTTATTAAACGTACCTTTTACTGTGAATGATAGGTTGTCTTTAAGATAACCCTTTTTATCGCTGACCACGTAAACGTAGTAATTGATGACGTCACCAACTTTTAAATCCAAACTCGGATTTTCATAGAGCCACTTTCCGTCCGTAGGTTTGGTAACCTCAGCTGATAAAGTACCGACATCATTTTCACCAATTTTTTTATTAATGTTCCCTTGGAACACAAACAAACTTACATTCGGAGAATCTAGAAGAAGAACAAAATAACTTTATTGACCTGTACCAGAAAAGATTTACAAGAAACAAAATTCACATTATCAATAACTTGTGTAAATGATAAACTTGTATGACATTTAATGACTTGTCACTAGCATTTAAACAGTTCTCACGAACAATAAAATAAACATATAAATATATACCCAAGCTAATGAAATTATCGTTCCTTAATATAGTTATCGTATTCTGTTATTGTTTTTTCAGTTTATAATAAAATATTTGACATTATAAATAAATATAAATCAAAAATATTATTTATGTTTATTGAAACTTTGTTGATTTCGATTATATTTTCTATAAATAAATAAGACTGATCCAAGCAATTAGTTCGGAGTATAAAAAACAAATTAAAAGTATTTAAATTACTGCATACTATTATTTTTTATTCTACTGAATTAATACTTTTTGTTAAACAATCTAATCCTAATCTGTATATAGCCTCCTTAACTTGAGATCAGACAACAGATATCCAGAGGAAAAAACAAAATTCTTTATATGCAACATCAATATTATTTGAAACAGAATAGCAATCATTGCATTGTATTGACTGAAATTGTCCTTAATATATGCTTCCTTATCTCGATCATTAAGAAATCTTTGTATAGCCACTCATCTCACTGCAGCCTCTCGTGTAACTTATAATACAAAGGATATTTCTTACCTGGTATATAAATACGAATTCCTTTCGGTCTTAACGCCTGTATTATGACCTCCGGAACAGTGAACTGGGCGTCATTTAAATGTACAAATAATAAAACAAACGCAAATATACGTCCTAACCCGGTCACAGCCATCGTATAACTAAACTCCTGAGCATCTTGACTTCATTGAATGTCAATTATTCATCCGTAAGCGCGGGGATTTTTGCAATTCGTAAAATAAATGTGAACCAAATAGGGGAATAACAGTAACGGATGATTTATCAAACAATTTTATATTAAATTTTTGAGAACTAAAACAATAATAAAATAGTTGCGATTAGTCCGTCGTGTTTTTGTAATATTAGTCAGGTCAATAGCCGCTGAATAGTCCGAGCACATAAATTTATAGCGCTGCATAAAAGAAACAACTTTGTTTTATATCGGATTCATTTCTGTTATTGAAAATAAATACAAGTAATTATATCTTATATATAAAACTCGATCATATTGAGACATCTAAAATGATTATTATAAAATAACATATATTTTTTATTAATAAATATTAATCATATTAATTAAAATTATTTCAGAACAGAACTCTGGTGCTTTTCAAGTAATTACATAAGATATATATAAGCTATGTACATAATAAATAAATAACAATTATATGGAACTCTATCTTAATATTAAATTTAAAATAAATCGTAATTTTCACTATTATTATATAAAGTATTTATTTGCAGAAACAAATCTGTATATATTCCACATAGTTGAAGGACTGCTTCCTTATTAAGTCTAACCAAGTGTTCTATTCAGATCAACGGGAAAGGTCTAATGATGTAAATATATTGATATTCAATAAATATATTCATAATTAGGTTGAACAAAATATTATTGACAATTATATCTCATAAAACATGTTATAATCAAAATCAGATTTTTTTATTATAATAATTCACAAATTATCATCAATTTGTTTTACTGTCATCAACTACACGAGTAGAGTGTTACGTACGCCCTACATAATGAAGAAAAAAATGAACATCGCCGGGGCGACTCCTCGGAACGAACAAAAAGCCTTGTGAACAAGAACATTCTTTACACCATAAAAACAATAGAATGTCATTGTCATCCTAATGTCAGGACAATCATGTAGTCTTAGGTATAGGTTATAAGTTTTAACATGTAATTCTTATTTTAATATACATACAAATAAGTATGTTTCGTAGTTTTCCTGGAACCTCCGGTTGCCACCCTATATAATTCGAGAGAAAATATTTTCATAAAGATATTAGAGAGTATAATGTACCTTTCCATCCTAAATTTAATAATTAATAAAATATATGTATAATTTATCAAAAATAATAAATAAGAGTAGTTTTTTTTATCCCCAAATAAAGTAATTTGGAAAATACAAGTTTCTAATGGCTATATATTAACATTATTTTGCCACTTTATCTTTTTTAGAATATTATTTTTATTCGCCAGAGAAATTGCGCTTAAGTAACTAAATAAGGTCTATATGTTAAATTTGTATTACTTTGTGATTTTAAGCATAGGTTTGTTTTTATTAGAATATTTTAAATTAATATTACTTTCTGAGAATTTTAAGAAACTTACAATTTTAGAAAAACAAAAACTTTGTGTCATGTAGGATAAAATAATTTGACGGCTACCTTATCCTTACATTCAGTTGAAGACACGAATAACAATACTTCAAAAATGTGCCGAACTGTCAAAAATACATGTTCCTCACCATTCTTTTTTTTATGGGAAAAGGGGGCAATCGAGCAGACGGCCTACTTGATGGTAGGTAGTTACCGTCGCCCATGGACACCCGCAACGTAGATTTGCGGATGCGTTGCCGTCCTTGATTGGGGAAAAGGATTAGGAAAAGATGGGAAAGGGAGGGAAAGAAAAGGTTGGGAAAAGGGAAAGGGCAACCGGCTCTCTCACTCACCGGACGAAACGCAGCCTTTAAAGACTACTTCACGCCGATTTTCTGTGAGAGGGTGGTACTTCCCCGGTCGAGCCAGCCCATGTTCGAGCTGTAGTAACTTGACTACAGCTAGGCTCTACCACCTCTAAAACCTCCTCACCATTCGTTAACCATTAAAAAAAAACAATATTTTTCTTATTATAATTATTACTTTCTTTTGTTTTTATTTCAATTTTACTTTAACATTTTAAAATCATTCTTGAATTCTTTGACATTCATTCTTCAATGTAAAATATCTGGTTACCGAGCTTTTCTCGGTATTTAGGAATTATTATTAATTATTTTGTGTTTTTTTTTTTATTTCATTTAGGCATTTTAAGCGAACACACAAACACTAATTCACTTCCTGTTGCTTGACAACGCTATCTGCTGTTGTGTCGTTAAAGCAATTAGTAAAAGCAATTAGCAAAAAGGAGTGATATTATTCGCCAATAGATGTCAGGAAGAGTCATATTTTAAATTGGAACTACTAAAACGCCTCGTTTATATTATTTTTGTTTCATAAAATGACATTTTCCGAAAATGAGTCCTATCAAGATTGATCTATCGCCCCCGGAACCCCCTATATACTAAATTTCTTGAAAATCGTCGGAACCGATTCCGAGATTCCAATTTCATATATATACAAAATTGCTCATTTAAACATATAAGACCCATTAAAAGCATTTAAAGATATAAGATTAAAGATAAAAAACATTCATATTGTAAAGATTATATTGTGTTGTTTATTTTTAATTTTTATACCATCGACTTATTGATACTTCATAATGATTAATTAAAAACTAAGTCAGTGGTGGCCTAGTGGTTAAAAGGCCCGCCTCTCATGTATGAGGGTGCGGGTTCGATCCTGGCCCGGGCAAGTACCATGTGATTTTTCCGAATCATATGTACTTTCTAAGAGTATTTAGACATCACTGATTAATGCATTCCCAAAGAGGGTTGATGTCAAGCAGGTGGCCGGTCGTAAAAACAATTAGACAAAACTATTCACAACATGTAAGACAGACCCTAGCTAAAACTGGGAAATTGCCAGGTAGAAGGAAAGAAGGATTAATTAAAAACTAGACATCTATTTAAAATCTATTTCAAGCCGTCCCGTATTTATCAGATCATATAGTTTAGAATTTTTTAAATATCCGCCCTCATTTTTTAATATGTTTTTTATATTCTGTTCATTAAGTCAACCTTCATTAAAGTGATCGCTTTGAAATTCATGGCTTCGTTAACAAAAATGTATGCATTAAAATACTTATATATATGATTCATATTCATTATATCTAATACATATTTTTCCTCATTGAAATAGGAAAACCACAAATATAATTGAAAGTATCCATCAAAACAAAATTCTTATTAACAAAGACATTGAATCTAACGGTCGCCAATGTGTAATATTTTAGAATATGATTTCAAACAAGAAGATTGTTGTATTGTTACTGCTATTTTTGGCAAGGAAGTGTTATGTTTTAGAAGCACCGATATTGAAGAGTATCACAGGAACTGACGATGGCGGCGTATTTGTGGTATGGAAACCCATTAATGATACCTCAGACGAAACGGTACTTGGATATAAAGTAAGTTTGAACCATTCCTGTATTCAAATATAAATATGTAGCGTATGCAATTCCTTACATATCTATTTTTTAATTTTGTCTCTCTATTTTTATGATGATTAAGTGATGTCAGGATAAGAATTACATTTTAACCTAACAAGCAATGAAAGTTAAACAACATTGTGCAATTATAAATTATGGAATTTCACGCTGTTAATCTTTTTGGCTATGCAAAATTACTAAACAAATTAAATTGTTATTATAGATTCTTATAAACGAGGTAAAAGAAAGGTTAGAAAGAATGTACAAATTGGTCAACGGCGACCAGGAACCGGGACTCGTGGAGGAAATGACGTCAGAGGAGGTAAAATGAATACGTTAATAAAATATTCTAGTCAAAGTCAAATAAATAGAATTTGTAAGTAAAGTACTGTTAAACTACAAATGTTCTTAAAATATAGAATGCTTAAAAACCAGAACTGTTTTTTAAGCATTCTATAACTGTTTTTAAGCATTCTATGTATAACAATGTTTGACACTTATATCGTAATTTTATCGTACCAAAAACAGAATTAGAGTGACAAGCAGTGGTCGTTCAAAAAGTTATTTACTATATAAATAACTATAATTATTCCCATCATTAAGAATATTATATTTGCAAAAGTACAATTCTAAGTTTTTGTGTAGGACGCTACTATGTTTTTGTTGCATTATTTAATAATTAGGTTGTCAATTGAAAATTTATGACACATACTTATCCTTATTTTAATCCACTCAAACAATTATCGACTTATATGATATCAAAATAAACAAAGTTTTAAGACCTGGTACATATTTTTTCAAACATATATTACCAGTCAATCTAAATAAAGCATTAATAGATTTAAAGTTAAACTTACAACATACAACAAAATATTACAGGTTTTCGGAACAATGCCGTTGAGTTTGGCAAAACAAATAATAGCAGAAGGCGTCACAACAGATAATATGCTCATAGATTATATAAAACCAGATGTCCTCCATGAAATAAGGGTTTTAGCCTATACAAAGGACAAAGAGAGCAAACTATCCTCGCCTTGGAGAGTAAAACTTTTGACACTTGCCAAAAACAAGCGAGCTATAGCATTCAGACATCACGATGAATGTTTCCTTACAATAAGACATGATGATGTTACGACTGGTACACCGATAATATACAATAATTATATATGAACTTTTATTATAAAAGTACTACCGTCTATATTTTTTTACCTTCAAGATTTATAAATAAAACGAATATCACAAAAATTCGTCACCGCGGTAAATGAAAATGTAAAATAAAATGGTATCAAAATACTCTATATTTTTTTATTATACAAACTGGCATACTCGTATAACTTAAGCATGAATGTACTGTCACAAGAAGTGCATTCATCATAAGGCCACAACTTTGACGTAATCTATGACTAAGGCTGGTTGTGTCCACGTCTTCAGCCATGTATCCTTATTCTGCCAAAAGCTTAAACTTGCTTTACGACCTCGGTTCCTCCAAGGTTTATTTTCACCGTTTGATGATTTTACATCATCAGGAAACACCGTACTTCCTCCCACAGCCACTCCTAATACTATTTGAAACTAAAAAAGATATAGCTATGCATAAATTGTTTCCTTTACTTTTGATTCTAGAGGTTAATGCTAAATAATATTATGTAGTGTTCAATGGGCCAATGAAGTAAGAGTTTGTTTGTGCTAAAAAATGACAGATATTTCGTATAAGCATGTAATTAATATGTGTATGAGTGAGTCCTTACATGATCATCAAAAGGAGCCATCATTCCTCCAGACTTAAGAAGATCAAACCACGGACCTCTACACGAAGATGGCAGCCACGACTTCAAACCAGAAGCACCCGGCTTATATAAACCGTATTGTACATTATCTACAAGGAATTCTAATTGATCTGAAACAAAATAAATACGTAACAGGAGGAATTGTTTTCTATTTAATATATAGATAAATATAAAATTATTAAATAATCATATAACAAAGTTTTTAATATGGTACGACTTAATAAACATATTATGACGTATTATAATATTCAATAGTAGTAGCTGGTAGTATTTTTTTTAATACCTGGTGCCCAATGCAGAGTATATACGTGGAAATCATCGCCCCAGGTGCCCTCAGGTATGGTTTTGTAATAAAAGTCTAATGCAGTGCGACATTTTGCATTGATGATTGGACCTCCGGCGAGAAACTGGAATTACCACAAAAAAAAACGTAGAAAAGTCTTATATTGTATCTGACCTATTACAACACTAGTTCTTACGTTACTTCCAATTTTATGGAGACCAGGTGCAGTATTTCCTCGCACTAAAGCAATTTTTAAAATTCCTGAAGCATCATTTAAAGAACCATATTTTTTAGACAACGGCACCAGTAAAAGTTCTGAAATGAAGTAACACATTATTAAACTTTATTTGTTATTAAAAATATACATTACATTAATTTATTTGAATTAAATTAACTGCAAACTAAAGGGTTGTTTCTTTTCCTTGTCAAATTTCAATATTTTTTTATATAACACAAATTTAAAAAGTATCGAGCTAATTATTTTAATGGATTCTAATCCTGGAATAGATATTTTTACAGTCAACCTGGATAGATCCAATCTCCTAAGGGAACCTTGGCTCGGATGTGAATTTTTCCATACGTGAAACCAAATCTAGCGGTGGTGAGCCTACCGCTTGCTATCGGCGGTAAGATCTCTGCTCCAGTAGCACGAATAGAACACAAGGGTTGGGTGCATCTATAAATATTATATGCACTATCAATTTCGACTTACACATATAAATATTTTAGAGTAAGAAATCTAAACAAAATAATTTAATGTTCTCGTAAATAGAACTCTGGTACGTAAGAAGAACGTTTATTAACGTATAACGTCAAAATACCATGTAACGAGAAACCCTGTTGACTCCGCAAACAATCCCTGGTTGTATGTCCCATAAGATTCCTAATTCCAGGCCAGAGGTGAAATGCCTATAAAACTACTCACCCACTATTTAAATCCAAAGTAGCAGTCAAAATGGATCCATTCTTCAAGAGATCCTGTTGTATTCTAGGTATGATTTGAAGAGTTCCATTTTCTATCTTCACTGTTTGATCTGTTGTTCGTCTTTGGTATGATACAAAAGGATGTTCCTGCAAAACCACTTTATTTATTTTATCACACACTTAACTTAAGAAAAATCATTACCTAAATTACTATTTAAATGGACAAATATACATTCAACTAAAGGTGAAAGAATTGTTACTTTAATATATTCAAAAGCTCATAGAAGACGAAATTGAGTATTTAATTGCCAAATAATATTTAAAATTATAGTGTAACCAGCACTTAGACTACGAAACTTATCAAATGTCAACATCTATGGTTAGCAATTAAGTTTGCTTAGAATTTTACAAACTCTAACATCTAAACCTAAATTTCACTAGACTAAAATAAATAAATGTTTATTTTAATAGTATATACTAATTATGAGTATTCCTATGAATAAGTAACCATTCTATTTGAACACAAGATCTCTGCTTTATGGCTTCGCAAACAAATAAGATTTAAGATGTAATTTCTGATAATTTTACAGACCGGGTGATCGATTGGTATGTAGTGCTCTATTTGCCACAAATCGTCTCTGAATTGATTGAAGTTATCTTCGAAGATGACCTCTTTGGCACAAGCTACACCGCCACGGACCCTTGTAGCTGTTTTTGGGCAATGAGGGCCATGGGCGGTCGGATCTTCAAGAACTATGTATAAAGAAAATATTCTTGTTTTAAGTTCAGCTTCATCAGTAAAGTCTCACAAACCGTCTTGCTTTAATTTCTAGTTTCATTATAGACATCTCTCTACATCAAAATATAAGCACAATGTATTTTAATTTTGAATACGGAAGAAAATTAAATTTCGACTAAAAATCTCACTACATTGAATTTGATGAATATTATGTTGACAAAACTTTTGTTTTTGTTCACTCTCGGAGCCGTAAAGACAGTAATTAAAATGAAATTTTCTTTCAAATAAAAACACGTCTTACCAGTGACATGAAATGTATTAAACTTTCTAATATTTCCAAAAAGTTTAAGTACCGAGTCACCACCAGTTCCCTCAAACCCAGGGTTATTAACAGAAACAAAGACACTATAATCTATGGATTGTTCAAGTTTCAATTCAATATCGAAATCTTCATAAACCCAGCCATATTTTTTTTTACTGCCATAGCCCCATATCTCCTTGTCAATTTTCGTTCCATTATCTGATTTAACTATTCCCTCGAAAAGAAATAGTTTTATTCTGGGATCGTCTGAAATAAAAAAATTAATATGTATAAAGTAAATAACTATCTAAATTATCATTTATCCCTTCACATGAACTCAGTTTTGAAATTCAGGTAGAAGGCGTCGCTGACCAAAACTAGGTTTAGTAAAAATCTATTGTAACATTAGAAACCACCACAATTTATTGTTAGATATTAGGTACGCCAAATAAACCAGTCGAATCGCAACTCCTACTATCTACAAAACGATAAATATTAAATTAGTCGTACAATCACAAAAATTCAACTTTATTTAAATATCTCAACAGTAAAGATTCCTGTGTTTACAAAAAAAATTAAGAGGCAACAAGATAAGATGTTTAAGTTATCAATAAAAAAGGACAAAGTCATAAAATGTCGTATTTAGAAATGAGCAAAAGTTAAAAATATATATCGTTTTCAATTAAAGTTTCGGTCTCATGATATAAAGATTTAAAAAATATAATGGTTTCTTTGATAAACTACCTGTAAACCTATCTGTAAACTTGCAAGTTATTTGTTCTATTTCTAATTCTTTATTTCTTTTGTCCTTCTAACAAACATTGAATTAATTATCGAGTTTTTGTGTTCTGTAGCAATACTTACAACATAAGTATAGGTGCACAGATTCATGGCCTCGTTTAATTTTTATAAAACAAAAAAAGATGCTTCACTTTGTTTATTTATAAATTTTGATTGCAATTACTTAGAAATTTGTGAATTATTTCTTAAGCACATCCACAGTTATAATATAGGAAAATGCAACATCTAAACATATGTAAACCTCTGAAATTTAAGGTGAATAAAAACAATAACAATTATCGAACAGAACATACCAGATAGGTAGACTCTTATCCCTTTTGGTTTTAGAGCCTGTATAGTCACTGAAGGTATTTCATATTCTGCACAAATAACACTTATACAAGTTAACAAAAATAACAAAAAGACTCGTATGAAACCCATCATTGAAACGATATGAGAATAGAAGTAATATATACGTGAAAAATAAACTTATAATTTGTTCGATACAATATCTGACCTTGACTTTTAACATTTTAAACATCTGGATAACACAAGCAAAATTAACAAGTAAAAAAATCTCATCTGTTATAATACTTATGTTTTCATTTACGTACTTCAATGATAATATTTTCAAATAATAATTATACTAATGAAATTCCAGAATCATTTCTACTGTAATCGCTCTAACTGTTTTATCTGGAAAGCAAATTATTTGAGCTCAAAATAGACAAGTATGTTTTTAAACATTCTGTATGATTCTCATATGATAAAACACGAATTATATTTCATCAGATCGTGAAAAGACCTTTTGCCCTGAAGAGTATGGTGTCATACATATGTTTGGTAAAATTAAACGTCAAAGAGTGAAAATAAGTATGTAGCTATAAAAAGAATTCATATACCTATATATTTAATGTATAACCGTGAAAAAAGACGGAGTAAAGTAGACCAAGTCGTCACTCCGGGACAAGACTAAACCTGAGAAGAATTTCCTTTAGAAAATAAATATTTTGTGAATGAAAATGTGTCAGTCTGCAAACTGTTTTGCTCTACACTGTACTTTCAATTCATGAATTCATTGAGCTTAAACTTACTTTCTAAATGACTTTGGACAATTCTTAATAAACTTAAACTATTGAATTAAAAGTCAAATGTGATAAAGGAATTGTTTAGCTTTTGAAAAAATATTATCTAAAAAATTAATTCTCCCCCTACCATTTGTTCTCATGTAAATCTACTGTTTACAACAAATAAGTTTTAAATATATTTTAAAAGAGCATTAGCATATAAATGAAGTATATAACACAATATAAGGATATAGATTTAAAATAAAACACAATAATCTATCACTACAGTTTATTTTTCAAGGAAAAATATATACAAGAAAATAGCACAGTAAATATATAGGATATTGTGCAGGAAACACTACCAGATATTAAACAAACATTGGTTTGCACGAGTGCTGAGATGTCACAATTAATTAAATACGTGTTTGTTTTTATAACGAACGCTAACATTAACTATCAAGAATATTTTAAACTCATTTTTTATCGTATAATGGATAATTTAATTGTTAACAAAAAATCCGTGCCTCATAATCATCACTACGTCAGGCATAAGCATTGTGTGATAAATTTAAAACAAGATCGGTGTATTGACAATTTCTGTAATTAAAGCCAGGAACCGTATCTTTTTTGCTATAAACGAAAAATCTTTAGCTATAGTAAGTCTACAGACAAAATCGCTAGACATAAGTAGTATATAATTTAAGACGAACGATAAAAAGGGACTATTTCATATAACTATTTGAATACAAATTTTCCAATTGATGTCAGCAGGATATAACACCTTGCCAATTTAATTTATAACTACATTTAATTGATTATACAAAAATTTAAATATTAAATATAATTTTATAATATCAACGAATAACATTGAATATTCATATATTAGTCAAGAGTAAAAAGCTACACTCCTAAGAAGCTATATAAGACGTTGCCATATAAAAAGATTTAATGCTTTCTAAATATAGGTTTAAAAACATGGTAACACCAACGCTAAGATTCTAATGAAAGAAGTAACTTCCAGTTCAAAAAAATATCAACAATCCTAGCTCAATCCGCTACTAGATTTATAAATGTTACTTACCATTATTCAGTATCGTCAAACTAAAAGCAGACAGTAAAAATTTGGTATGAATTTGATAATGAAAAAACTTGTAATTGTCTGCTTTTACTTTGACTATGCAAACTCGGGGTAAAGATACTAGCAAGTGACGATACTTCAAATGTTACGTATACACAATAGCTTAAGATATGAATTCATCACAAATAATTACCCTTTTCGTGAAACCTACACCTTCTCGTGTTATTAACGCTCGAATATCTCAGTCATCTACGATATAGTTAAAACAATAGTGAATTAAATTCAAATATATAGATAGAAAGAGTTTAACTCCGATACAATAATAATAAAGAGAAATTATCTTTATATGAGTAAAATGCTTCACCCGTAATCCCGTTCGAATGTGTTAGTGAAACACACTCAATAACCAAATCTTATTTTACAAGACGTGCTAGAGCAATATCCAATCAGAATTAAGAACTATATTTAATTTTCCATATTAAGTTCTAAAGACCGATACTTTTACTATACTATATATAGGTATATGATTATTCTGACGTGAGCTCTAAAGTGTACAGCTTGTACAAGATTACACAAGACAGATATTCTAAGTTAATATTAAAATCACACTAGTAACGCAATGCTTACCCTACCAACTTTAAAAGACATTATACATATATCAATGATCTTTTCGAATACTACATCTCACATACTAATTTTCGTAATGCCTTAATAATAATGAGTATTTTATGTAGGTAATGGAGCTTTCAATAAAGCTAGTAATATGTCAACGTCTATGATTAAATGTTATAAGTTACATTTGTCATAACAGTGAAGTGAGAATAAAACAGATAACTATCATATTTAAATTACCTCTTAATTTATATATTTTTTTCTTATATATTATAATTAATTTTAGGAATGATTTTGCAATTATAATGAATGTATTGATACTTACCTTAACATTTTAAATAAATGGCAACTGAGGAACAAAAATGTAGAAAAAAAACAAAAATAAAACCAAACATGTATGCATTACTGAAAAATTATTCATGGTGTTTATTAAACAGAGAATAAAAAAATAAAATATAACATTTACATGTGTCTATAAACTTGGATAAATAATAAAAATATATATATATTACACTGGTTTTAATACTGGCTGGGAATATGGTTCCGGGGGTGGAAAAAAAATGCATAAAAAAAATAAAAGAACGTCCAAAACTAACAAAAATAATAAGCGTAAACATTACAACTACTTACATTCCTCTTAAATTATGAAAACAACTAATTTCATTGCTTACAATTTCTAATTGATTGATTACAGACATTGTTTAATTACAACACGAAAGTCAAATACTTAGATCAAAAATGTGACAATTATCATGCACTTAGTATCTACAATTGATGTCCATAAAAGAATCTACCAACAAATGTGACTCAAACTGAATATTATAGTGTAAGAGCTTCTCATGTACTAAGATAACTATTTATGTTCCCATAAATCTTTAAAAAAATCAAATGGTCAGAACTAATAATTCCTAAATCACGAATGTCTTAGACTATTGTAGATACAGTAGCAGCATATATGGAACCGTTACTTAGGCCGTATAATTTTCAAACAAAGAGGAATTAAGTTTCAACCATCGGTACATCTATTTTGCCGTCGTATATTTTAAAAGTGTCAATGTCATTGCACTCACAGTTATCACTAAAAACACATCTAGTTTTAACACTGACTTCAGTAATGGCCGATCTCATTCTATCACAGAGACATTCGTCGTGTACTATGCCACTGACGGACGGGACACTGTCCCGATTAATGTCCCGTTTAATGTCCCGATTTACTGAGTCTTCCGTTCGGACTCGTGTCATACAAAATCCAGTGCGTCGTGGGCCTTCGTCGAGTATTTTCCGTAGGTGCGCCGGCGCAGCGTACGCTCGATGAGTTTCTTGATCTCGCTCACGACGAACACACTTGATGTCAAACATACCAGGAAAATGAGATCTGGAATAATTACAAAATATTAAATATTGGTACACTAACCACAGATATAGATTGATAGTTATTTTTCTTTTAATACTAAATTGTGATGAAGTAAATGAAAGTATTAATTAATTTTGTAGAATATTTTTTTTAAATCAAATAAAGACTTTAAATGTAGCAAGTAATCAATTTAGATAATATACAATATAATTTTATCTTATTTTTCCCCCTTTACTTGAAATTTATATGCAAAATTTGAATTACGAACACTTGCAAAAATCATTTTATAATATTGAATATTATAAGTTGATTGACTTCTCACATTGATCAAGTATCAATAAGGTCCTAACTGTTATTTTTATCTGTACAAAAGACAAAACATAATTATTAATAAAATTTTACTATTTATAATTATTTAAGTTAAAGAATAAACAAATCAAAATATTAATTGAAGTAATCAAAATTACTCCCCTAATCCTCTTAAATTTTGTGCTAAAATTGTTAATTGCATATATTAAAATAAGAATGTATATAAAGTAATTATTACCATGTCCTGACAGAGCTTCGGTGAGGAATACTTTCTGTAACGGAGGGAAATATATTACCAACATCTGGCCCACGAGACTTAGGGTCACTGCTATGAGGAACACTCTGAAAAAATATAGATATTTTATTATATATTACGTTACAACATACAAGGTATATTTTTATATAAATTTGTAAGAAATTAATATTAAATCTTCTCTTCTTCTACCTGGCAATTTCCCAGCTATAGCCAGGGTCTGCCTTATATGTTGTGAATAGTTCTGGCCAGTGGCGGCTGTACCTTAAGTGCACTCGTGCGCTGAACCACCAATTAAAAAGATTTGAAAATTACAAAATATTACTTCATCTTTATTTTTAAATTACCATTTTAATATTTATTTTCTAAACATACAAAAACATATAAAAATTTAATTTCCAATTATAGTCAAAAAGTTTGAGCGCTTTAATACATTAATATCTCGTGCGCTTCGGCGAGTGCACGAGGACTGCTAATATATTTTGTATGAGATACGCATTAATACGCCTGACGCGTGAAACAAAAGATAGTTCATAGAAATGTACCGAGTAACAAGTCGGTTCTCGAGCGCCGCACGAGCGGCCGAAGATTACCGAGAGCACCCGATGTATGACGAATTGGAATTGAAAAGAATCAAAACTTTTTTCCGATATACCATGCACTTGCAAAATGTACTTTCTGTGCTTAGTATTGAAAAAAATAATTATACAAACAATATCCGATTTTAATAAAAATTTGATTGAATATTTCGCTTCAGAAAAATGTCGTCGCATTGATTTAATGTATATTATAATAAACAAACATAGTTTATGTCAATTGGTTTTTTGTTACATTTTCTAATTTAATATTTTAGTAAAGTGCACCACCAGTTCGATAACCCACCAGCCGCCACTGGTTCTGGCTAATTATTTTTACGACCGGCCTGCCTGACATCAACCCTCTTTGGGAATGCATTACTCAGTGATGTCTAAATAATCTTAGAAAATACATATGACTCGGAAAAATGACTTTGGTACTTGCCAGGATCGAACCTGCGACCTCATGCATGAGAGGCGAGCCTTTTAACCACCACTGACTTTATATATAATTAATATTAAATGTCCATGTAAAAGTATCTTTGATGATCATAAGCAATACGTTATAATGACATAGGTATATAATATGTATTCTACAAATAAATAAATATAAATTTTTATATATAATACATATGTTATATGTATATTGTATTCATAGTACTTGAAAGTTGAATGTAATCTACAATGTACACTCCGCCTTACAATATATGATTATTACAGTAATAATATTTCAATATCTATCACCTGTTAGAGAACAATCCTATTTGGAACACGGACTTTGTCTGTGAGCGACACGAGAGGGCGTTGAACATGTCGAATAACACGAAACATGTGAACGTCATTGTTGTGTCGCGAGGAGTTATCTTGTTGTCTGACATCTGAAAAATAATAATATTTATTACATAGAATATACACAATTTATATATTTTGCTCCAATTTTTTGTAATGATTATGCCGTGTACACTACATACACATATACACTACACACATATATATACACTACATACACATACTTAGGGATGTAATCTAGCTAAAAATAATTTTAGACTGTAACTCATATGTAATCCTGATTATATTCTGTTTGTGTGCCTAAATAAAATAAAATAAAAAATATGCTAGTTAAAAGAGAAATAGCTCTTATAGATTTTCTCCTCCTGATATGAACCTTAACTGATTGACAATAAAGCACAATATTCAATATTAATTATGTATTTTTAACGATGTTAGAGTCTAGCTGTAGTAAGTTACTATAGATCGAACATGAGCTATATCAAGCATTGAAGTACCACCCTCTTACAAAGATCGGCGTGAAGTAATCTTTAATGGCTGCGTTTATTCCATTGAGTGAGAGAGACGATTGCTCTTTCTCTTTTCCAATCTTTCCTGCCATTTTCTTATTCCCACTACTCCCTCCCTCAACCACTAATATTGGCAACATCTCGTACGTTTCGGATGTCTATTATATTGGTGATTACAGCCCATCAAATAGGCCTTCTCATATCAAACTACTATCGATAACCAGTTTATAATGACCTCTCTATTAAACACGAATAACGTCCCAGCGATGATGATAGCCGCTGATAACAGTACTGATAACAACAGCGAGCGTGAGATGATCCTTCGTGATGTGTCACGCGGCTTCTGCTTCAACACTTCGTGGTCCACGGGCTCTACTCCAAGCGACTGCGCCGGCGGGCCTGGTGGGTTATAATTGTTGGATCAATAAATAATCCTAAAGATAGTATCATATAATTAAATTAAACTGATTTTTTCGGACTTACTACTCGTTTTTATACTAGTTGGGTTACTTTACAGCAACCGTGATCACGGACAGAAAAATGAGAATCATTCTCATTAATAAAATACGCGTAGTAATCCGAAAATATTAGTTTATTTTAAATGAATACTCGCGAAAGTCTTAGATCTTATAATGTCATCCAATTCCAATGTATTTTATTGAATCAGAAACACTTTTACAACGCTTATGTAGTGAAACAATACCAATTCGAACTAAGCGTACAGATAACAGATATTTAATCAAATTACATTCAATACAGACAAATTTCTTAGTTAAATTATTTTATACAAAGTCGCTACTAACACATTACAACTCAATTAATTGCTTTTATAATTGAAATAACATTACTATTTACAAAATACATCATTATGGCTCTAGGGCATATTCAATTAGAGTATTTCTCATATAAATAAGAAATATAGGATATATATATATAATATCTCACCGTCCATAATAATATTAATCCACAATATCTGCATAGCGTTTAGCGGGTTCGGTACACCCATGAGTGTGGCAAGCGCCACTAACATCAGTGCAGCTATAGACGTTGATAGTTGGAAACGAACGAAGTTACGGATGTTGTAGAAGATGCACTTGCCCTCCTCGATGGCTGAACTGGAAATGATATGGTTTGTATTCAATTATAGTTATGATAAATATGAATCTTAATATCTACTAAATATCACAGATACGACAGATAAAAACAAAAAACTAAGAGTATTATTGTATAGCACGATACGAGTATAATCTGAAGACTTCTAGTACTAAAAAAATAATTATTAATAATATGCTATTCAATAATTTGTTGAAATAAAAAAATAGCTTACAAGAAATGAATTTAATTATATAATCTGTATTGAATTAAAATTCAAAATTGTCAATTCAAAATCTATATATAACAATGTTTTAGTAGATTAATAATATAAATAATATTTTACTAACATGATGGTAGCAAAGTCATCATTAACAAGTATCATGTCCGCTGCCTCTTTACACACGTCTGTCCCGTTCTTGCCCATCGCTATGCCGATGTCTGCTCTCTTCAATGCTACACCATCATTCACACCATCACCTGGCAAAAAATATAATATATTGGAAATATATCAACATATTTGATAGAAGAAATTGATAAATAACATCACTTCTTTATGTAGGTAGTATGGATTTAACAGTGTTATATATTTAAACATGGTCATGAAGAATGTACATGCTACATAGCACATACACTTATGAATTTCTTGTTATAATATTTTCTTTATGTGAGTAGTATGTATTATATAGTGTAGTATATTGAAACATAGTCGCGAATATGTACTTATTACTTATACATACATACATACATATTTTCTGGTCACAATATATATATGTGAGTAATAGACCCACTCACCAGTCATCCCAACAATATTTCCAAGTCGTTGTAATGACTTCACAATAGCCAGCTTGTGTTTGGGTGTCACTCTATAGAATACTGTCACCTGGCGTGAAAATAATAAACATAGAGTAATAAAAGTGTTAACTAATTTTGATATAACTTTAGATGGAATATAGAGTCACAGAATGATATGACATGGATTAATATAGAATTAATATTTCACAGTCAATATACAACTAAATTGCAATTATATCTAAGATTTGGAGTAATCTTTTAAATAGAATTAATTTTTCTTGTAGTCACTTAAATGAATCTTTTATTTTGTGTAGCCATTTAAATAAAAGTAATATATTGTGTAGTCATTTAAAAGAATCTAATATTTTGCGAATATGCTATGCGTTTTTTTATTATTTTATATCTACATAATCTTGACTTTTCAGTTCCTTTGTAGCCACAGTGACCACATCTGCACTTGAAAACCTTAGTTTCTCATACTAATGGTGTATAATCCTACTAATATTATAATTGCAAAAGTTTGTGAGTGTGTGTGTGTGTTTGTTACTTCTTCACGCTCAAACGGTTGAACCGATTTTGACAAAATTTGTATACAGGAAGCTAATGTCCAGGAATAACACATAGGCAAGTTAACATCCCGGAAATCGGCGGGTAACATCGCGGGGCGCAGCTGGTATAATAATATAAACTCACACTATCAATAATAGCGTCTAATTCGTCGTCCGACATCCCGTCTAACTGGTCGCCGCTGAGAGACTGGGAGTGATGAACATCTAGACCCACCATTTGAGCTGGAACATACACATACAAAAATATATCTTATCTTTTATTAATGAGACACATATCACCTTATTAGGATCTTAATAAGAAAGTGATTAGAAGATTTTTAACTCATCGATTTATAAATGATAATAATTTTGCTCATGTATCAGACATGGTTTATGAGTATAAGTTTAACAATGCACCCCAATTAACTGCTAATGTTAGGACATTGCTTACGTGTTCATATACATTATATAATATTATTTATAGCTTGCGATAAATTTTGAAACGATGCATGAAATATAATTCAATTTGAAAATATAAAATGAATTTTCACCTAATTGATAAAGAGTTTGATGGTTTAGTTTGTAAAGGAACTGAAAGTTGACATTGCTTTGATTGTTGGTTTGAATCCTGTTCGTGTTAGTGTGATCTGTTTCATATTTATAAAACAAATATCCACTCATATCTATATGTATGCGGTTATGTATGTGTGAGTAAATCTGTCTGTATATGTGTGTATGTACATGAGCATGTAGATATGTATTTGTATCTAGATGTATTTCTGTCTGTGTGTATTTATGTGTGTGTGTGTACATATCTGCGTGTTACTCACCAACAGCTAGCGCCGTAGGTTTAGCGTCCCCGGTAAGCATCTTTAGATGTACACTAGCTGACCGTAGAGCAGCGACGGCCGGTCTAGCTGATTCCCGCGGCGGATCACACACACCACACATACCGGTGTACGTTAAAGACTCAAGACTAGACCCGCGGCATAACGCTATTATACGAAGACCTGGAAAATAATACATTAATAACTATCATTAATACTATTTGATATATATTTAGACATCACTGATTAATGCGTTCCCAAAGAGGGTTGATGTCAGGCAGGTCGTAAAAACAATTAACCAAAGCTATTCACAACATGTAAGGCAGACCCTGGCTATAGCTGGGAAATTGCCAGGTAGAAGATATATTATAATAATATAAGCAATTAAAAGTTATTGATTAAGATTGATAGCAACAAAACTAACACAGATATTAAGAACTGGTTGGATTGAATTTTTTTTTATGTCCATACAATTTACAAATATGTATATATTTTGGTAATATTAATAGAAATTATTCTATAGTAACTCAAAACACAAATATAATAATCTGACTGACCCATCCGTCCAATGTTGTATGCTTCTTTCAAAAAGTCCCCGTGTTTTTCTTTCGTCATTGGCGAGTAATTTCCCGCGCTGTCAATATAATGTGTACACAATGGCAACACTTTCTCGATGGCGCCTTTAACGAATACCTCTTCCTTCAATTTCCCATCGCCGAATTTAGGAGCGCATTTCACCACCATCATCTTTGTTTCTGAACTGAAATTGATAAAATATTCATATATTCGTCAATGTACAGGTTTTGCATTAAAACTTACAAGTTTTCTTTGAACAAGAAATCGATATTTAATCAATTCGACTTTATTATCTCAAGAACAAAATCATCTATACCAATTTTGATAAAATTCTTACTCTTATACATTATTATACATACTATGAAACAATCAGAAGCCTAAATAATATTCGTAGACGCATATATCAGCGTAATATTATGACACTTATTTTACATAGGGGATTCATAATCGGTAAAAACTTTTCATAATCGGTAAAAAGGTGACGACCCTTTTAATAATTGATATATTATGACAATCTCTTACCTGAAAGGTATTTCATTAAGTCTGTTGTATTGTTCCCTGAGATCACGCATATCGTTCTTCATAGCGCACGCCAGTAAAGCGCCCTCTGTAGGCTGGCCGTATAATACTTCGTCACGGATAAACGCGTTGTTGCACAGAATTCCTACCTATAAAATATACATAAAAATCTTAATTTATAGAAACACTACATTTTACGGATAGAAATTATCTGTGCTTAGTAACTAAATGTGATAACTCATCACTAGCGCCATCTATCGTGTGTGTCATCTGATATGTGAAATATACTGTTATATATTTTTCCCTTCAGATGATATGTATGATATTTTCATGAGGAACTTCACGATTCTTTTGAGAATCAACTCAAATTTCAACAAAATTGATATGTTAGTACTCATATATGTTATTATAAATCTACATACTTGTTTATACCCGCAATTATGTCGTTCTTTTCATCTTTTCATGGTCTTCAGAATTGGGTTGGAGAAAAATTAATAATGTGTACCTAAATAACTTCGAAGGTTATTTTTTCACAATTGTGATAAAATGACATTAAAAGTCGTTAGTTTATGAAATATTTCAGTTCAAACTTTCTTCTGATAATCTGCTGAATTATCCAATGGTAGTTACGTGTACTTGCACTGTACCCGAAGATATGTATGTATGTATGAGTGTGTGTGTGTGTGTGTATGTATGTACGTACCTCCAGCATACTGTTGACCCCCATCCTAGCTACATCCAGGTCCCTCCCCTTGTAAGCCCTCAGCTGTATGTCTCCCCTACAGCTGTACCCGGCGCCCGTCACCTCCGCTATGTGACCACCCGATGTTGATAACGTCGTCACTGTCATTTCGTTCTTAGTCAATGTGCCTGGTGGAAGAATTAATTATTTTTATACTAGCTGACCCGGTAAAAGTTGTTTTGACGAATAAAAAAATAGGGATTGATGATAAAAAAATAAAAATTTTGAGTCGTATATATGTATTTTCAATGCTACATTATAAAAACAAAAATTTCGTCCGAAAAATAAATTAAGGGTAAACAACGTTGGCTGATTCTAAGACCTACTCAATGTATTCACAAAATTTCATCGAAATCGGTCCAGCCGTTACGGAGGAGTGCTCTGTCTAACACCGAGTCACGAGTTTTTTATATATAAGAAGATTAAATATGAATATTGAGAATTTTTAAGTTGTTGATAGCAAAATTCTTTCATTTCGTATCATCATGTATATATTCGAATAAATTTAATAGGAAATAAAGATAATTGATAAAATTTATTACTGAGATTAATTTATCATTTACTTCGCTAGTCATTGTGAAGACTTAATGGTGTAAACTTTAATTCAATCTTCATCAAATCGAGACTTCTACTAAATCTAAGCTACTTTTTGACAGTTTATTTGAGAGTTATATAACCTGTCAAATGTCACACCTGTTTTATCGCTGCAAATGACATTGACGCCACCCAGTGTCTCAACTGTTGGCAGCTTCTTGACAATGACATTTCTCTTGGCCATCCGCATGACACCCAATGCTAATGTCACAGTCACCACAATTGGTAGACCTGTTCATGGAAAAATACGTATTTTATTTATGACAGTAGACTAATAAGTAATTTTTTTGCCAATTAAACCGTTTCATACCTTCAGGGATAGCAGCAACGGCTAAACTGACGCCGATCGTGAACATCTCTTGTATAGCTTTGCCTTGCAGCCAACCAGCAACCATAATAAGACCTATGATCCCAAACGAATACATAGACAGCTGAGTGCCAAGAGTGTCCATGGATTTCTGGAGTGGAGTTTTAGGAGATTCTTCCGCTTGCATCATACGAAAAATGTCACCGAATTCTGATCTTTCGCCAGTACTTACAACTATACCCTGAAAATATACACAAATTAGCCAACATTTTAAGCTATCATCCTACTAATATTACAATTGCGAAAGTTTGTGAGAGTGTATGTTTGTTACTTCTTCACGCTCAAACGGGTGCACGGATTTTGATAAAATTTTGTATACAGGAAGCAAACGTCCAGGGATAATACATAGGCTACTTTACATCCCGGAAAATGTGTCGACTTTTCCTCATATAAGCGAAAAACCATATTAATTACGTAACACCGTAGGCGCAGCTAGTGTATAATAATTTACTCATTTTTCATAACCTACCTTCGCATTACCACATCGCACAAGAGTTCCCATGAAGGCTATGTTATCCTTATTAACTCTGCCAGCCATAGCTTTATTCGGCAGGACACTCTTAACAGCCGGTTCCGTCTCGCCAGTGAAGGAGGACTCGTCTATCGCCAGATCAGTGGACTCGTAAAGACGAAGATCAGCCGGTACTCTGTCTCCCACATTAAGATGGACAATATCACCGGGAACCAAGTTACGAGCCAGGAAATGTTCGACACGACTCTCGCGGAGACTGAAATATGAATTCATTTGAAAATACTACATAGGACCAAAAGATTATCGAGTAAAGCTAAAACTGCCTATATTTTTTGGGTCGTTAATAATCATATTAAAGAAGAACCTTGGGGACAGACATAAATAATTAGTAACATTTTCGTTCATGTTTAAGTGGCGTAAGTGCGTTTTAAGATCAGATATAACTGAGACAATCGTCTTCCTTACCAGTTGCATGATGGTGGAACGAGTTTGTTCAACTCTTCCAAAGACTTCTCTGAACGGTATTCCTGTACGAAGGCCACAGTCACTACTATGATGATGGCAATCGTAATTGAGAGAGCATCGTCGAATTGTCGCATACACACACTCACTACGGCTGAACCTATACAAATATGAATAGTATGTTAAACTTGAGAATATTTGGTAATTATTTTATTAGATAATTATTTGGTACTCTCTCTGTCCTATTATTTACTTTAAGATGCGATATCACTTTATTGAAACTAACTTCTAATGAGAAAGTAAAACGCTCTGTAACGTAACACGTTACATTACTTAAAGTTACCATATTAAACTCGGTTATAAAAAATTTCAAAAAATTTGGTGCAACGTATATGTTTGTAACATTAGTCTAGAATGTAGAATAAGAAACGAAAGAGTAGAGTAACTCAATAACCCACTCCACTTTAAAACTCTTTTAGAATCTATTTGTTCGACTCTAAAATAAAAACAACAATTATAAAGTCAAAATTGTTCTTGTTTGCATCATAAATTCAATTTTTTACATACATTTTTACTTGTATGATATGAAAACGAACATTTTATAATTATCTCAAAAACTAAAAAAAACAAAATGAATAATGAATTTATTAACGTTTTTTATTGTTTTTACATTATACTCCATTACTTTTTTTTACTTTATAAAAGTTCAATGTTTATTTATGAACTAGGTCCATAATTTATTCAAAGTCGTTACAATGATAATAGCTATAAAACATTTATAACGCTGCAAAAGTAATTTATGTACCGATATGTGATGTTCTCTATAAAAAATATATTTCAAATATGTAGCGATAAAAATAAAAATTTTACAGGATGCATTAAAAACTCATTATAGGAAATTTTAATTTAAAAAAAAAAGTAAAATTACAGAATGTTTGAAAATGGAAACTGTTTCTATCTGTCAAATATTGGCGGCTAAAACATTTGACAGTTCCGAATAAGAAGAAAAAATAACGACAATCCTTTTTAAATACATTACAAGATAATATTTTTGAATATTAATAACAAAGCATCCGACTACATTCTGTCTCATTGAATAATCTCAAGCAAATTGTATCTCAACACGTAAAATACAACAAAAACAAATGTATGAAAGGAAAATTCGCGTTATTACGCAGGAATAAAAATAAATCTTAAATGACTGTAAATAAGATTCTAATTGGCCTGCAGTCGTCACAGGTTATTAACTGGTTTGATTTGCCACGCCGAGGCAAAGTATGAATATAAGTGAAGATTTTATTTTTCCTTTAGTCTTATTTAGACCTACATATGTATGTATACAATTTTAATGTCCGTATATGATAAAAAGACAAAAACTTTTTAGGTGTTTTGTATGTGTTCAGTATTATTTCGTTTTTTCGTTTTAGAATGAATTTTTATATTACTCGAAAGGATTGATTATCTGGTAATTAATAAATTGAGTACATGTTTTGTGTTATATATGTTTAGTTTTTACTTTTTTTTATCTTGTATTGAAATTGAAAATATGTTGGGAAATGTTTTAAATTATTATCATTAAGAGTTGGGGTTCAAACCTTTACGAAAAACTAGTAAATCGTTTATTACTACATTATTATTTTTGCAGAAGTAAATAACTGTTTCAAAATGTACACTTACAATACTCATACTAACTTTTCATTTATAGCTCGATCTTGTGGATCGTTTCAAAATAATATCAATATCCTATGGCCTTCATCTATAAATACTTTTTAAATACATTATAGTATTAACGTAGATCATTGAATGAGAAACGGCAAACGGTTTAAATATTTTTGGAAGATGCAAACTTGTGTTAAAACATAAAGAATGTTAGACAAAGTATCTGTATAAATGTGTGCGTGTGTGTGTGTGTGTTATGCATATCCAATATAAAATTAATCACTCTCAACCCTGACACATGCATGTGACAGTTGTAATCAGTCGTAATGCATTCCATCAATTAATAAGCTTTCACGGTATTAACTTGACTATGTATAACGTCGTTTCAATTCTACTAGCCTTATAACGTGACTTCGCTGGGAGTATGATTTTAATACATTTTAGTTTCATATAGAATATGTGTTGTTTTCAGGCTAAGATCTTTATTAAAAAATGATGCAGATAAACGAATTATTATATAACAATTGAAAGGGCAATTCCTTAAATATTTATGCTTTAATTACCCAAACACTGCTTCTTGTATAGACTTCTTTTTCCGTTCTTATAACGTATTTTAAAAATCAGTGGTGGCCTAGTGCCTAGTGGTTAAAAGGACCGCCTCTCATGCATAAGGGCGCGGGTTCGATCCTTTCAAGTACCAATGTGATTTTTCTGAGTCATATGTACTTTCTAAAAGTATTAAGATATCACTAATTAATGCATTCCCAAAGAGGGTTGATATCAGGCAGGTGGGCCGATCGTAAAAATAATAAGCCAAAACTATTCACAACATGTAAGGCAGACCCTGGCTAAGGCTGGGAAATTGCCAGGTAGAAGAAGTAGAAGAGCGTATTTTAAAAATATTATACTATTATTGTATACTATTATTATATTGTATACTATTGTTGTATACTATTATAATACTATTATTAAATGTACATGATTTATGTATTTGGTTCTAATCAGTATGTTTACCATCGCCACATACGAGGTGTTCCCCGTTTCATATAGAACTGAATTTTCCATACATTCAATTAATACTGTTGCCAATATTTATGAATGAAATACATATTATAATAAAAAATACATATATGAATTACCTATAAATTTATATGAATTATTTTTCTTACAATTTCAATCAACATGCGATATATATTAATTTTGATTATATCACAAAATTAATGTATCTTCTAAAAGATCTCTTTAATTTTTTCTTTTACTTCCAAAAGTTATGAAAGGTATAAATAAACATGAAGCCATATTTGAAATTCAGGACTTAAGAACTTAAACTTCATGGCCTAGATTAAAAAAGATATAATAGTTATTCATTAGTTCAAATCTTTTTGAAAATGACCTACATACATAATATGTGGGTATATAAATTTGACAAAGCGTCATATATCCCGACATAAATATAGAGATTATTATTAAATGAAATGCTCAATTTGAAACTAAATTTCATGTTTAAAATATATTTGATGAGAACGATTTCCATACAATATATGTAATTACTAATGTCTAGTCTTAAAATTACAGACAATTCATTATTTATTCAATGTGAAAGTTTTATATATTATATATTTTTTTCTTTTTTGATTATTTCAATTAATAAATAACTTACAAGTATGTGTCCTTGAATAAAACTTTGAGTTATTTAAGTAATAATATCAACTGTGTTTGAATTTAATTACTTCAACAACCGAAACACCTATAGTATTAGAATTTTAATTTTAATTTTAACTTTAAGTATCAAATATGACGACCAAAAGATTTATATGTAATAAGGATCTTTACTTACTTAATATTTTATGTAAATATATAATTTCATATGTAAATATATAATGTTATAATTATAACTGCAAAGAAATGTTGTGGTAAATATACAGTAGAACCTCTATAACTCGAATATCAAGAGAATTTCGACTTAAAATTGATTTTTATTCGACATAAAGAGGTTGTTCTATGAAAATTTTCATCGACACTTGCGATACTGCAATTTCTAGAATAATGAATATACTTGCATCTTTTCCAAGTGTTGCAAATTCTTTGTCATAAACGTAATTGTAATAAACTTTTATGTTTGGACATCAAAAAACGTATCCTGGAACTATATGAGGGCAGGTCGTAAAAACATGATCAGAACAGGTTTAGCACTCCATAAAACATTTAGCTGAACACAAGTTTGCATCCACACACGACAAAAAAAATGGTTTCCCGTTTCCCAATAACGTGTAAAGATTTACGTATAAAAACTGTTGACGACTCGTTATACGTCTGTTGTGTGAAGTTACGAACTTATGGTAAGCATACATAAGAAATCAGTAAAGCACTCATCTGCGAAATTTGTGTGGAAATACGAAACAGATTTTCTTTATTAAAATCTGGGATAAACCAACTTTATACCAAATCGAATACTTTTAAGCCGCATTAATACTTATTACATTTGCTCAGAATGTACCTACTTATTTCGCAAAAAAATGAGTTTCAAAGATAATAATAGGGATAAATGGAAATATTAATCTTTTCATACTGAAATCGAAACCCTATATATAGATCCAAAAATACCAATATATTATACATACAATTATATTATATCCATATATAAGTATACATAGTTTTTACAAAATTGCTACTGTATACTGTATGTACTATATGTTTTTAATGTAGTGATATAATCATCTATAAATTATATGGTTCGTTCATAGTATAGAGTTAATGTATGTAAACAAAGATAAATGCATGTAACAGAGCAAGCCGTACAAGTTGAATAATTCAAGGGTAAACGTGACATTACACTAATCTTAGTATATAAAGCAAAACGACACCAACTACAACTTTGTTGGGCTAATTACTGATGTTCTGTACTATGCGTTACTCTGTGTAAATAAAAATCTATATAATAGCTAGAAGTAATAAAAACAAAAAAATCAGAACCATGTTCATTTATGTTATGTATATGTAGCGTAATAAATATGTATTCGAGCAACGCCCCTTGTATGGCCATGTGATTTTTTTTTTACTTTAATAGCTTAGTGTTGTTTTTTTATATCGATAAAATCACGAATAAACAATCGACAAAGTAATTTCTCCCTTTAATAACAACCAACAACCAATATAACATACGAGGGATTATCGTTCCAATTAATTCCAATATTTTATTTTTGTACGAAATCATAAAAATCTGAATAAAATATCTGTATACATTTCAGAGAATGAAATCATTAAATAAATGCTAAGTATTTCTGAGAATCGTATTCATGAACTACTAAATTACGAACAAAAATATCAATGTATGTATTTAAATTGCTATATATATAGTGGAGAACATTTATTTGATGTTTGCCAAATAGATATCTATACTCACCAAGCAACAGAAGTATCAACGGGTTCTGGAACTGTTCTATGTACTTCCTCCAGAGTGGTTCCTGTTCCTTCACCTGGAACTCGTTGGGACCCACGAAGTTCATACGATCGTTTGCATCCCGCCATGTTAGACCTCTACGGACATCTACTTGGAGGCGTTCAGCCACCTGATTGGAGATAAAAAAAACCTCATATAAAATTGGTATAGCATAGTTTTCATAGATACACAAGTTTCACACCACATACGATATTTTCAAGGTCATGAATAAAAACTGAAGATTGATGTCGTGTAACGAAGTAAGCTTGAAGTAGAAGTGCTCATGATTTTCTAGATGACTTGTCGGCTTAGGCGTAGTAATATGAGATGGGTCTATCGGATAGGGTTAAAAGGAAAAGGGTGATTAAGCCTTCCGGCGCTGTCATTCATCGTGCGAAACCAGGTGTGATAGTTGCTTTATATCATCCATTTTTGTAAGGGGTTTAAAAGGGTTTATGCTAACAAGAAAATCATTTTTCCACTGGATACATAATTAGGCAATCTCTCTCACAAAACTCAAACTATCAACTAAGATATAACTAAATCTTTTAAGAAACTAAATTCTTACACAATTTTAATTATCATGGTGTTTTCGTTAAAAATACCTTTAACGTTTAACCGTTTCAAATCTAAGACGTCATAAAAAATCTTATAAATACGCTATAAATGTGAAAGTGAAAACCATTCGGTAATATTTGAGATGATTGTTCATAAAAATGCCTAAATAAAGTAATCACATCACATCAGATGGGGTTTCTATGTCCACATATATCATGCTATTAGCCAAATCTATCATTTCAAACTAGTATCCTAAAATACTAATAGACGAATTTGACAAAATTAATACTATTTAATCTAATACAAATATTTCAAATACAGAATTTTTCTTGGATCGTTTTAATTTCAAGTTAAAAGCTCATAAATTAGTATAAAAGGTAAATTTTAATTGAAAATGCATTGTTGGTATATTGTTCTCATTCCCCTTTGTTCGACTGAACTTCATTGTTTTAGAGCAAATTTCTGATAGATCACTAATTGGCAATACTTAATGTCTATATTATAGAATAATTCTTCTCATCACTCATTATTATTACTTTGTTTCTTATAAATGTACACTAAGATATAAATTATTCAGTAGTTTTAACACAATATATATTTATATATTTTTAGTTTGTTAGTTGCATATATAAGATATAGGATTAGCTGTGAAACATTTAACTTTTACTACTTCACGAAATTTAATTTTTAAATTTAGTCCTTACAAAACCTTATTAGTATACAAAATTTTAAAGATTATCTTATTAACATAATCATTATCTGAAAATTATTTTGTTAACATTAATTCACTGACACTTTTACATGTTAAATACTTTATCAAAACATGATATGAATCAAACATAATTTATCAATCATTCTCAAAAAAAATTAAAACTAATTTGTGATCAGTATCCTTAGCCAAAAATATAGCCTAATTTTATAACTACAAACTATTGGTATTTTAATTTGACTAAAGTTTAAATGAACTACTAATGCCTCTGCCAAATATATTCAATAATAAACTTACAATAGATTTATTTTTCTATACGAAATACCTATCAATCCATGTTTTGCGGATTTCGTAATCATCAAATGTCCACTCAGCTTTCTATGATACACATTTTCGTCCCCAATCTCATATCGGGCAACAAAAGACGCGATATAAAGGAAGTTAATCCAAGACCCCTCATATAAGCCTTCAGAGCTTTTGGAGCTATTAAAATTTTAATGCGACACTTTTCTTTCACGGGAAAGCCTTTGAGAAATTCAAACAGAATGGACCACAGATCAATGGATGTTTTGATATTTGAAAAGGCTTTTCTATAAAGGTTATACAGGGTGACTGGTGAATTACTATCGATACTTGAGGACGTGATGTTTGACGATCATATATGACAAAATAAAAATTAATATGACATAAATATTAATAAACTTCTAAGTAAAGTTAACCAAAAGTTATGTAATTAATTACGCATCGTGTCAACACCCTACAGATTAGGTATACACTCACACTCACACATACGCGTGCGGCGGCGTGGTGTTGTATCAGCACGCCGCCGCACGCGTCCACACTTGGAAAACTTGGAACGTGTCAACACTTTATTAATTTATACGGAAATTTTGTCAAAAATTAAGTGCCTATTTTTTTTACATAATTCGAATGAGAATCATGTACCGAGTATTCTCCTTAAATATTGATAGTAATTCACCAGTCAGCCTGTATATATAAATTTTTAATGCTACATTAAGTAAAAAAAAATAAAAACAAAAAAATCAAACGAAAATTTTAAAAAATCAAGAGTGAACAACCCTTATGACTTGGGGGTATGAAAAATAGATGTTGGCCGATTCTCAGATCTACTCAATATGATTTAAAGACAGTGGTAGCCTAGTGGTTTAGGGGCCCGCCTCTCGTTGCCGAGAACACGGGTTCGATCCTGGCCCGAGCAAGTACCAATGTGATTTTTCTGAGTCATATGTACTTTCTAAGAGTATTTAGACATCACTGATTAATGCTGATTCCCAAAAAGAGGGTTGATGTCAGGCAGGTTGCCGGTCGTAAAAACAAATAGCCAAAACTATTCACAGCATGTAAGGCAGACCCTGGCTATAGCTGGGAAATTACCAGGTAGAAGAAGAAGACTCAATATGCTGACAAAATTTCGTCACAATCGGTCCAGCCGTTTCGGAATTCTCTGTCTAACACCGCGACACGAGAATTTTATATATAAAATATTACATATTTTGTACATAATGTACAGTATAAATCCATCATTATATAAATTTATTACTTAACACCGGCCTCCATCGAGGTGTTTGACCGTCCATATATGCGGTTTGCGAATCCTAGAATTTCCAACGGTACCTATACATACTTTTTGTTGTCAAGCTTTGAAGAGTTTAATAAACTTTGGCCCTGTTCTTGTAACAAAATATAAAGACAAAGACGTTCTGCTTCTTCATAAAATAAATTATATAATTAATTTAATTTTAAAAATTAATTTAAGTGAAGATGAAAAGCTTTGTTAAAAAAACGAATACTAGAACACATTTCTAACTTAATCATCTCCCGAGACGTATGATTTTAAAATTTACTTCTACTACATTTAAAAACTATAGATTTATAATCGATAGTATAAAAATATCGATTTTAACAAAAATCATTTTATTTTTTGTTAAATAAAGTACATACAAATTATGCAAAATCTTTCCTTACGATTTAAAATATATCAAAACGACCGAAAAATGTTTAGTGAATAGCTTAGGTAAAACACAAAAATATTTTGATCTTAAAACGATCACATTTAATTTTATAAAAAAAAATAGTAAATTTAATATGTACCTACATACACATTAAAAATGTAAATTCCTTATCAGGAAATTTCTTCCTATGATTACGATAACATTAAATACTTTCTATTTATATAAAATATCTTTAGTAGAAAGGCCGTGAAAAGCTAAGAGTAAGGCAGATTTATTTATATTGCTATAGAAGTTTAAACACTTCGGTTCATACCTGACTAAATACACTTTTAATATTATTACCTCGTGTTACCATAATCACACTACATACGGAACATTAAAATAATTTCATAAGAAAATTGTCGGATATTATAACATTGTAAGCGTACAGATAACATTGTGAAACTATGAACAAAATTAATACGACATATTCGAAATTAATCATAAAAATTGAACTCATAAAATTACCTATATTAAAAAAAAAACTTGACATTAAGGAAAAATATAATTGAATTATAAGTCAAGCTTCATTGTCAAATAATTTTGAAAATGTTAAAGATGTAATAACACGATAAAAGTCATACAAATCCAACAAATATAAACGTTGACATTTGCCTAATATTATACGATTTCAGTGCGAATGAAGCCATAGCATTAATGCAATCAAACCTAATAATATTAACAGATCGATTGTTATTTAAAGAAACTTCAGGAAAATAGCAAAATTATTTCGCTTTGTTGAGTATAATTCCTAACATTGTTAAATGGAAACAATTATTTATATAAGCATCTTGGACTATAAGAGAACATAAGAAAATCACAATATGATTAAAGATAGGAGTTTATATATAAGAAATATAAAATTTTATATGAGACGAAACCTCTCATCATTCCATGTATTCACCGTGCGGGTGGGGGGGTCCATCGTTGTAGTGAGAGGAGCTTGAATAGTGTCTGGGACTTGCGACCCAGGTGTAGGTTTAAGGGACCCCTTAACTAACGTGCGTTAAACGCTCACCTCCACCGTCAAAGCTCCTATCTCTATCTAATCAAATTTAAAAGGAACAAGTGCTGCCTTCGAAGTACTTTTCAAGAATGAATTTATATTAGTTCTGATTGATATTAATATTGTTATCTACCCAAAAATCTTTATATTAGAAGAACTTTATAAAATTAATTAATATAATAAAAGGAATATTTATAACAATATCCTAAAGTAAAAGTTAATCTTAACTACTTGTACCCTTTACTTATTCTTCTAACTGGCAATTTTTCCCAGCTTTAGCCAGGGTCTGCCAATACCCTTTACTTATTCGTCTCATCAAATTTTAATATAAATACATACAATCTATAACCAAACGGTCTGTATTAGAATCTGTATCTATAAAATATAAATCTGTATCTATATTTGCATCTATGTTCTTAACAGTACTTACTATCTGTATTCATCTAGTCTTGTCTAAGTGCAGCGGTTATCTCAAGGTCAAGTTCAATGGACCACATCGCACGACGTACACAAACAAGGCTTTTAAGGTTCGTAAAACTTATGCAAATAAGGCTTTAAACAAATAACAAAATATGTATACCCACCATAGCATTATTTATTATTTAACACATAGGTGTCGATACACTATGTTAAATGTCTATTTACACTAACTGTATTAAATAGTTATTACCTTTTAATTTAAATTTCATTTTTTCCAGCAGGTTTTCTTTTGTACAGGTAAAATTTTTGTTCCACTATAACTTGACCTTTCATCGTTATACGAGTAAATTATTATTGAAGCATTTTTTTGGATTTTATATAGTCTTAACTATATAAAATCTTGTTATTCTACAAAATGTATTTCTATTGAGATGCAGACACAAGAAATAACTAAAAAATAAAAAAGAAATAACTAAAAAATAATAAAGAAGCTTTTTCAAATACATTTTAATTTAGTACCTGATAATAAAGGCGTAAAGATTTTTGATTTCAGTTTGGCTCATGCAAACAATAGGTAAAAGCGAATGACTTGGGTAAATACATTTAACTATTCACTGTGTTTTAATCTCATACCTAAATTAATGACACTCGAAAACCTTATCTATTAATACATTGAAATGAAACTAATATTTTGGGGATATACCTACTACTACTTATTACTTACTTAGGGTAGCTGTAAAGTAACCGAAACGTCGGGAGTATGTAGTTTTTATTAAAAATAAAGGTAGTAGTATATCCGAAAATATTAGTTTCATTTAAATGACTCGCGAAAATCTCAGATCTCTCATCTCACTATTAATACATTGTTTATATAGCTATTTTAGAGATAACATAAAACAGAAGCGTGGGACAAGGTTCTTAACAATTGCTAGTTGTCGCTCCCAGTAAGAATAAATATTTTTTGGAACATCCCATTGTAGCGATTATAAATATTATTAAAATGACATATGTATTATAAGTCCAACAATATGTTTACGAATTATTTAAACTATGTATTATCATTGAGAGATAAATAGGAAAAAAACAGGTCATGTAATCTTCCAGAAGAATATGGCATGAATATTAACGTCTTAAAAATTAACGTCTCCTCACATTTTCTATACAGAATAATTTAAATTGATGTTCAATAATTCGTATAGAAAAATGATAAATCCGTAGAAAGACACTTAGTTACCTACTTATAATTGTATGGTCTGTATGCTTTTGTGATTTAAAATGAAAAAAGAAAATTAAGATTTTGAAGAAATATCGTACAATGAAAATGACGATCTCATTTCTATACTGACTAGACTTGAACTATCACAGTCAAATTTTTTCTAGTCTATAAAAGGCTTACTATTCAATACATAACTACTACAATAGAAGAAATACTAGACACAATATTATATTATTTGAATGGCTAAAGATGAAACATTTTTTTTATTTTTTTATTCAGATTCTAAGTTCTCTTCATTTTAGAATTTATTTTGTATTGATTTTATTTTTAGTCAAATTTATTTGAAGCCTAAAAAAATGCATATTATAACATAATAGGGGAGAGTCGGATATATCGTACCACTTTTCACTTTAACTTAAATATTTCGACTATAACACGTCTTATAATAATTAATACATATGTAAAATAAAGTTTCATATTTTAGCTTCCTAAGAAGAAGAGAACAGATCCTTGCGATTATTCTAACATTGTTAAAAATGTTTTTTTATAGAGGCTTGCCATCGGTACGATTTAGCCGACTCGTCGTTTTAATCGTACCACTAAGTCTTTAAATCGTACCATGGGTGTTTAAGTCGTACCACTGAATGAAAGACATTAAAATTCTCAATCAAATTATTTATTTTTGACTGTTAGGTAAGTAATAAAACAACATTATTTATATCTTTTAGGTAATAGAAACATAATTTTTAACTCTTAGGTTATATAAAGGAACTATAAGCTTTCTCAGTAAAATAACATGATTATACTATGATAATGAGATCAATCAACATAACTAATAAAAATGAGACAAAAAAAAACAGTAAACTATAATCATAAAGTAACAGTTAACAAGACTGTTATTTGTAATATAATTATTGTGCATATTTCTTAATGGAAACAATCATGACAAATGTTTTCAAAAATTCGAAGTACACGTCTCATGTAGCCACCGTTTACACCGAACGCATTGAATCCAATCAACTTTTGGACCCTTCTTATCATAGTGAGAACAATTGCACTTTCCACATATATTTTCAAGATAATCATCGCTGTCATCATCATCATCTAGTTCTACAACAAGTGTCTCTCCTGAATCATCGCTACTGGTGATGGAATGAGATCGTTTCCTCTTATAACTTTTGTTTTTGGCCTTGGGTAGTTCTTACTATACGTACTTGCGGTAGTACTATAGGTATTTGCGGTTGGTAGTCGGGTAAATCGTACCAGTACAATTTAACCAACTGCAAGTGGTACGATTAAACCAACTAAGGCATTTCTAAAACAAAAGCAAATATCCGGCATAAACTCAAAACTTAGACATGCAACAAAAACCCCCAATAATCTAGTATACAATTGTGGAATAATAAAAAAAAATGAATAACTATAGCTAACCTTGATTACGAGTTATCTCCTTACGAATGTACGACAATATTTATATTAATTCCTACAAAAAATGATTTTTTTTATTACGTGCACAGTTGTTAACTCACGTCGATGTAAACTAGTGGGTGAAGAGGGATGGTACAGGGCCACGATTTGGCGTTGTCAATGTAAAAAAAATATTCATTAAATGGGAAATTAAGAGGTGGTACGATTTAAATGCTAGTACGATATAACCAACTCTCCCCTAATTAGAAATATTAGGTATTGCAATATATACAAAAATTTATGAGTTATATTTTAGTACCACTACAAATAATTTGATATAAAGATTAACAAATAAATAATATTTGTTTTAGAGGTACAGTTCCGGCGTGACTTCCAGTTATGTCCTACAGAAAAGCAGAAGCCAGTATTTAAAAAATTCAAATACAACTTGATACTTAAATATTACCATTAAAAATACAATTGATACTGAACAATTATTAATTATAATCAGTCATAAAAATAATTCTAAAGTTGTAATATAAGTATTTTGTAGTTTGTACTGCTTAAGTAAATAGTATTTTAGGAATCAATTAAACATGTTTGTACAACGCGTGTTATTAAATCGAAACAGATTCATCACGTTCATTTGTAACAGTAACGAAATGTATGTGAGTCAATACATTACACGGTCGACACGCGTGCTTATAATAATATAGATTTTATTAACAATCGACGTTCATTATGAACACCACAAGTTTACATCATCGCCGATATAAAGCGTTGTTTTCCATCCAAATAGCTCATAATATTGAATTTGGTTACTGAATGATAAACGTGAAACGCTTAATGGGTAATGAGGCAGACTAATCATACGAAAAACGAATTTCAAAATGATACATATAATATATTGTAATTTCTCATGTATTTATACGAACGTCAATTTTATTTATTTATTACGAAACTTTCTTGTAATGATACCCATCATTTGCATATTAAAAGAGGTTTTTTCAGCCTGTCACAAATATCAAGATACATTAGTTAGAAAAATTAAGCGATTACTTCCAGTACAAGTTGAATTAACTTAGTATAAACTATGTAATTTATTATTATAACTAGCCGAGGTCAGTAACACCTTGTTAATTTAAGGATTCAAAAACAGGGAAACGGTTAAATATCTCAAACTACGTCGCTAAATTATTCTGATACATCCACTTTGACAATTATTTTATGAATCCCAATAACAACTAACAATAATCTCATTATCATACTGTTATCTAACATTTTATTATATTAAATATACAGTCAAAACCGTTTATAACGACATTGAAGGGACCGTATATATCCGACGTTATATCCGATAGTCGTTATAAGCAATAGTCATATACACGATTACAGTAGTTATATATATTATCATATGTAGTTACATATCTAGTATAGGTATAGGTTATGTATGTAAACGAGTCAGAAAAGAAATAAAAATATTTATTAAGAAATAATCAGAATACAAAATGTACTTAGCTGCTTACAGTTACGGGTTATAAAACTACACTGGTTTATAAAGTAATCAGTCATTTTAGAATAAATTTTTTTAGCCTAGTCTCAAATATTTTTAGCATTTTACAGTTCATACTCAAGGTATAAGTATCATCAATATCAAAGTGTTCGTTAAAGGCAAAAAATTTTTGCAAAACTGTTACATCATTAAGAGCCTCGAAAATTTTTGTTGGCTGAAACTGTTCTTCAAGTTCTTGTTGGTCTTCGTGTTGTTCGTTAGTGTTAGGGTTGTTACTTTTAGCTTCTGCAAGAATCTCTTCCTCAGTAGCTAAGGCGCTAACGCGACACTTATCTATTCCAATAAATTTTTCTATGTCAATTCTTTGTTCTATAGCAGTAGATCTTTGCACCTGGGTAAGGACAAGGAGCGGTTGGTCGTTAAAGTCGATTAATATCGATAAATTTTCGTCGTTGTAAGCGATATGTCGCTGTATCCGATGTTGTTATAAGCGGTTTGTTTACTGAATAGTTTACTAGCAATTCGGACGGGACCATACAATCTGGCTGTAATAACCGATAGGTCGTTGTAAACGATGTCGTTATAAACGGTTTTGACTGTATTACATATATAAATTTCTTATAAAACGATAGCCTTTTGAAGTGTTTCATTGAATTGTATTCATATGAAAGACATTCTATTTAAATTAAGACTCAGCTCGCATCTGACAGAATAAATATTAAAAAATAAATGCCAACCATATCCTTTCACTATAAAAGCCATATAACTGTCTTTATTGAAACGTAACTCACATCACATAACGTGTTTCAGTTAACGGAATTAATAAACGCACTTAATAAGATAAAACGAACGCCAGATATCTAAATATATTTTTATTGACGTTTTTATTCCAATATACATATATAAATAACTGATAATTATTGATTTAAAATCAATATAAAAGAAACAATATTAAATATTTTTTATTTACACATAATAAGTCTTATGTCAGCTTTCATACAAGTCTGTATACACGTATGACGTCACACGACACGTCCTGCGTGTGACGTCATACGTGTTGTAAATCGTAAATGAGTGACGTCACTGCTACTCACCTCCTCCCAGCTGAGTATGGAACTCTCGACCGCGCTGATCCACATGTCACCAGCGCCGGCGCTTACTTCGCGCCGCGCCTCCTCCGTAGAATGCTAGCACAAAATAATAATATTAAATTGTCATATTAATATGAGAAAAATATAGAGAATAAGTTTAGTATAATAATGCGTTCAAAAAAAGGAAATTCTAAATGAATAATTCAATGACTGAAGAAGGATTTAAAGCTGCAATTGCTATAGTGTTAAATTTCAATTGACTTAACTGAGCTACTATGCTCTAGCTAAAGGTGGTAATTTTGACTGCTGTATTGAAAAGGATTTTTAATTTGAATTTAAGCATATATGGAATATTATATGAAATATGTACTAAATACTCTAATTTCACACTCACTCATAACGGAGATAAGTGAGAATTGTCATCAAATGACCAAGAACTATCCTTAACTTTAAGTTTACTTTGAATTAGACCAACAAAATTTGTGATGCTTTACTTTAATTACACATTTCAGATGGCTATCCATTTAATTTTACATCATATATAGAAATTAAATATACTTCTGTATTGAGTTAATTGAGTACAATAAAAGAAGTGTATATATGTATATATGTATAAAACATATGTTTAAATGTAACTTAAAACAAGTACTAAATTAAAGAAGAAACAATTTTAATAATTGGTATTGTAATATTGTATAATATTATAAAGCTTTGAATGAAAACAAATTAATATCTCCTGAACAAACACCGTCTCAAATCAATTTTCATTAATTCATTCAACTCAATTAATGTTCAATTATAAATAACTGCTTGCTTGAATATTTCATAATATTGACATAAACTGATATATACCTTTTTCTAATAAGAGTGGCATTTATACTATAACAAAAAAAAACCAAATAAAAAAATATCAGCTAACAACAAATATTATGTTTTTTCCTAAGATCAAAGATTTATCTCATATTAAATAATTCTTATTGGTATATACAGTAATTCATCATGTGTTGGCAGACCCTGGCTATTTATCATATGTGTATACAAAAATGTATGATATATGTAAGTATAAAATTAAATATAATTTCAAATAAGTTTCTTGATGTCTTATCTAAGGGCTGAACAGTGTTAAGTGAGCAGAGATATTTTTCTTTATTTTTAATTTTTTTTATTTGCCTTTTATTTGCCTAAACAGCTAATATTTTAGTTGCTATTTTTTTAAATATACAAGCAGTTTGTAACTATATTCTCATTTTATATAATACTCAGATAGATTTCCAATAGAATGCTGTTTGGTAAAATATATTTTGGTACACTGAAATGTCTGAGTTGTATACTATTGCATTATATAGTTGTATAATATAAATTATACTGGTTTTACCCACACTTAAATTATATTTTTGGTATCAAATGCTAAAAAGGGAAAATTCTGATTATAAAAATATTTAATATACGCTTCTTGCCGAAAACTTTCGCCGCAAAATGTAATCACGTGTCGGTAGAGAAAGTGACAATAATACTATATGTAAGGTTTTAATTAGAAACGTGAATACAGAATGTGTAGTCAGTGAAAAGTCTAGAAAATAATCATGGTGCTACGATGCACTACTTTTAATTTAAACATCCAGGTCGCGAGTTCGTACTCGTCAATCGTTTGCAATTTAGGCAGTTTTAAACATCTACCTGTATCTGTGTATTAACTACAACATAAAACGAGAACACAATAACGGTCAAACATAAAACTATCCACTTGTGACTAACAAAGCATTAATGAATCAATAACATCTGGAACATAAACAAAATCAATAATTTTAACAAGTCGTAGTACTAACCAGACTGGCGGTGTCTTGGCTGTCTAGAGAATACTTGTCGGCTTCTTTTCCTTGATGTTCAGAGAAATTCTCATATTTACGCTTAGGGCTGCTTTTCATCTTTCTCTAATGTCTTGCAGCTTAAGCATTAAAAGACATTTTCTCACGGAAAGATCACAAAATCACAAGCTAACGGTACGTCGCGAACGCTCTAATGTGTAACATTGACTGTTGCCTACATGACAATTGACAAGTGACAACGGATTCAGAAGTCATTTGAATTTGTCAGACGTCAGCTACAAAATGAGATGCCGAATTAAGTATACCGTTTAGTAATATCATCCAAAAATAAACTATCCTTATTTCTTAGTTGGTATATTAATAAAAATATTTTTTGTCATATAAAAAGCATCTCTTTATAAAACCAAACAGTTTTTACATCGAACCTAGACAAAACAAATGTTCATAAAAACTCGCACGATAATTTTGTACTGTTGCCATATAGATCAGAATTAATTTTTACCACTGCCCAGCCGATCGAAATATTTCACCATTTGAATGAAACTGTGAATTTTTATATACAAATTAATTATTGCCTTTACTATTTATTATTTTAGGTTGTAATTACTCCACTTATAGTGACATTTTTAAGTATTCAATTAAATATTAAAATATAAATATAATGAAAGGAACGTCATTTAAGACAAAAACGTAACACTGCTGACAACTGCTAATAGAGGTTAATTTTCTTGACTCCTTGACTACGTACAATTCTTTGCTTCTTTCAAAAGAATTTCAATTGTATTAGTAGTAGACTATTTTTATTTATCATTGTATAAATTTCAGTTCATAATAAAATTAACATCTAAATAACTATTCCATGCTTAATAAGTTAATACCCAAGGACTTTCAAAAACAGAAAGTAGGTCGTGATAAGTCACGAACATACAAAAACACAGCAATATGAATGTTTATAATTTTAGTAATATGTTTCATTCTGATATAAATCTCTTTAATTCTTATTTACTAAATTAATGATAACAAAACATTCAAATTTGGCGTTTATGAACGTACTATCTTCAAAACTGTGTTATATGTCAGAACAATTTATTGAATGAAATCTTCTATCTTATAATAATTAGCCTATACTGTTGTTTTAATATGAATATCATTTAAGAATTTTTTTATTAGCATTTAATACAACTTACCGGTATCGATTGGTGCGGAACATTTCTATCAATGTTCCATAACGACACTGTTTGGTAATCACACACTTTATCATATTTATTTCTTCGAAACATTTGTTGACATAATACGTACGTTATAGATTAATTATTACACAATAATGAACCATTATCAAGCTTGCAGTAACAATTTAACAGTAATTATCCTCTGTATTTAAGACTATGAATATTTTATATACTATTGGCCTCTAATAACGTGTTTCCGTTATCAATAGAAACGTAATTTTATCATTTTTATGACGCACTCACGATAACAGATTCATTAATATCTGAAGTATTTTTTTCTTTCCTATGTATTTCAGGAAAATTATTCAAAATGGTTATAATTTAGGTAGTGTAAATAGTATAAACTAATAGTTTAACTAAATTATAAAATTACAAGAGACCGCTAATAAGAATGCTTAGGTACGTGACTTAAGTAATATTTTTTGTCTTATCGAAATTCTTGTTTGCTTTATAATTTAAATAATTGTGTTAATGATAAACTGGGGAATCCTACATAATATTCTGTAATTATCTGATGTAAGATTTTCTTAGTTTTTGACGATTTTCCCAAACAAGTTTATCTCCACCTGATAGTTTTATAACTAAACTATAGTGTGCTTAGCAGCTTTTAATTAATGTCAAATTTAAATTCAGAAATGCTACATTATTCCTTTCAGCACAATTCCGTCATTGGAGTACCAGAATACTATTAATTGTCTGGGTTTTATACAAGGTTTTTTTTTACACTTACAATATTTATCAAGTATAGTATAATGGATCACTATCTATTGCCAAGTACTTGCTTTTGGCAGCAAATAAAACTGTCTTAAAATAATTGTGCCCTCAATCAATTTTGTAGTTTTTGAAATGTGAATATACATAATATATTTGCTCACAGACTCATTTAGTTAAAGTATAACAAAAATAGAAATATATTCAGCTTACCACAATAAGGAGATAAAATTAATACAACAATCTAACATGATTTATTTGAATATTTCTATACATTATATATATTTATTTAAGTGAATCCTGCAATCCAAAGCCAGGTCCAGTTGGTGGTTCAGTGAGTGAGGTCAAACCTCCGAGGGGTTCAGAAGCATATCGGCCAGATCTGAATAATAAGTGTTAAATATTATCTTAGGTTAATTACTAATTATTTACTTAGAAAGTACTAGTATATATGAAGTAAGAAATAATTCTAACAATATTGACACATAGCTTTAGTTTTTTTTAAACATTAAAATGAGAGAAAATTTTAAGTATACAGAAAAAAAGGGTCAAGTTTTCCAAATTTTTTGTTGAAGACATTCTCCATTCTTGGTGATGTTGATAGAACTATTGTTTTTAAATATCTTTAACCACAATGGGGTGGCAAATAAGAGGATTATAGGTAGGTCAATTGAGTGAACCATGTCAATAAAAAAATTACAAAATTTAGACAACTGTATTAAGATAAGCTCATGAGAAAATACAGCTTGCAAATTAACAGTAGATGCTGAAATTATGAGATTGTAAGATACAACCATACCAAATTCTCTATTAACACCTTAGAATAAAGAACAAAAATATTCCTCTATAGTGAAGCAAGGACAAAGTTAAAAATTGAAATGTCTTGAGATGAAAGTAAGATTCAACATTGTGAGCATGAATGTAATAAAATATACCAAATAAAAGCATATATGCATGAATATGATAATTATTGGGAGCAGGAAAGCATACTTTTACAGAGTAACCAGGAAATGGTGTAATTTCAGCAAAATAGTTTTACTTGTCACAGGGAATGGTGTAAGGGTCTGTTAATTACTATGTTGTAAAAAAAAGTTCTCAAACAATTAAAAATATACCTCGGCCCAGGTTTTGGTTTCTCATCCTTCTTAAGTTTGTTAATGATTTCCTTTGAGTCTTCAACTGTCAAGTCTTCCTGCAAGTAATAATAATATAGAATTTATTTCATAATGTACCATTTGTCTTTTAACCATGTAAAAGAAAATAATATTTTCTGATTAACTATGATCTCATTTCATCTGCCTGTGAAATTATGGGAGTATGTACTTTTAAAAATAATAAAACAACATGAAGTAATCCTAAACTATTAGTTTCTTTTAAATGAATACCAAAGTGCTAGATCTCATTACCTTAATTAACCATATATTTTTGAATTAATCCAGAAATTTTAATCTACACCAAATAATATAAAAAAAATGTTAACCATAATTGATGACCTGCTCTTATTTTAAAGACAGATAATTATGAAAAATTATTACATTTATGGTAATGATGTCATATATCAGAATATTTTGCTATACTTACATAGTAATCGTCATTGACTTGGATCATGGGTGCATTGACACATGCACCGAGACATTCAACCTGGAAATATTGAAGAATCAATTATTAAATGTGTATTTATTATCTATTATACAGGGTGACTGGTGAATTACTATCAATATTTAAGGAGAATACTCGGTACATGATTCTCATTCGAATTATGTAAAAAAAATGGTACTTAATTTTTGACCACATTTCCGTATAAATAAATAAAGTGTGGACACGTTCCAAGTGTTCCAAGTGTGGACGCGTGCTGATACAACACCACGCCGCCGCACGCGTTTGTGTGTGTGTATGTGTATACCTAATTTGTAGGGTGTTCACACGATGCGTAATTAATTACATAACTTTTGGTTAACTTAGAAGTTTATTAATATTTATGTTATATTAATTTTTATTTTGTCGTATATGATCGTCAAATATCACGTCCTCAAGTATCGATAGTAATTCACCAGTCACCCTGTATATGTGACTTAAAAACCATACATGGACATTGTACATAAATTGTGTACACAATGATTACTGTACCAATTTATTACTATATATGCCGTTCTACTTCAAACATATTTTATTTGGTTTTACTTTAATAAGATTACCATTTTGTTAAACAGGAATGTTATTACATCTCATATTTTAAGTAATTTATAATGACTAGCACTTAGATTTTAAATGAATATTCATATGTTCTTCATGTGAGAAGAGGCCTTTGCTCAGCAGTGGGCTCTGATAAGCTGATGATGATGATGATAAATTCGTAAAAACATAGTTAGAAATCACCTCTGATATAGAAAACTTTCCACAAGGACTGTTTCCTCCAACCTCACAGCCAGTGGCTTCCTTGATAGCATTCAACACTATATCCGAACCCCTTAACCAACATGGTGTAGTCGTGCACACTTGAATATGATATTTACCAATTGGACGCCTGAAATAACATTAATTTTATATTATTTATGGAATTTGTTGGATTATAGAGTTATGTTTAAAATCTTTATTAATTTTCTCATGTTTTTTAATAAGTACAAATTGTAACTTGTTTAATCTTGAATTAAAGAATACATGTCTACAATAGACAATGTTGGATTATAGAGGGTGCGAGATTACTATGGCTCCCCTGTATATTTCAATTGCTGATATTAATGTTTACTGAATGAAAATTTTCTTCTATCACTCACTTTACATATATAGAAATTCAATATACCTTATAAACATGGTGTAAAAGGTGGCAACTTCATACACTCTCATACGAGGTAGGTTCAATAGTTCAGCAACCTTATGCATGGCTGATATTGGGAGCCAACCACCATTCTGACGCTGAGCAAGATCCAAAAGCGGGATCATTGCTGCCCTCTTGTGGCCTTCGGGATAAATTTCTAGGAGAGCATCGGCTCGCTGTAAATTAACATATATAAAAACATTATAATAATTGTAGAGCACTATGTATGTTGGTAATAATAAACTAACAAGGATATTTTAATTTTATGTTAGTAAAAAACACAATAATTTGTTTTTAAAAGAGAACACTGACAGTTAAAATCTATTCAAGGTAAGGTACAGTAGTATTTCAAACATTTATAATGAATGTATATAAAGTTCCAAAAAGGAATATGTGGTAGAAATCGAAATTTGAATGAAATTCTAAATTCAAATTATTATTTTAAATTTAGAAATAGTTAAAAGTTCTAAACAAATACACGTCAAACCTACCTTTTGGTTTTCCGGAGTAAATTCAAATGGTATACTAGGGTTGTCCTCCGGTGTGTCACGGTGCACAAATAAGCTATCATGCTGCAAATTTGCTGTTGTTTGAAGACTTCTAGCTGATGTCCTCCACTGTAAAAATCACACAAACTTTTCACGTCTTCAAAACAAATGTCATTGCAATATTATGTAATGCGTTAATTATTATTATCATCAGGATTTTTTAAGATCAATGAACAATTGATGAAACCCACCAAGCCCTTCACTCCAGACCTTAAGCTGGACAACATTTTTATTTATAATATTTACTCCTTAATATTGCGAATCCCTGTCCGCGAACAACCCTCAGGATTTAGTATTCGTTCGGAAACGTAATGAAAACGCCACAGATAATAAATTTGATATTGTTTAGTGGCTTTGAGTAAGTGTTTTTCTTTTGGTTATATTTAATTCGAAACAGTTTTGAGACGTTTTAAAGCAATAATTAAATGAAAATATACTTTTTCGTTTTAGAACTTATATACATATTTCTTTTTTACATTACTTTGTCTACGCCTTAAAGTTTTTGATAGCAATGTAGCTTCTCATCGACTTTCTTGGTTCTTTAAAGTGAATTGTTTTATTAAATAACGATTTCCTTTATAGATTAAGAAAACCGATATATTTCGTGCCTAAACTAGTTTTATTATATTTGAGTTTCATTCTCACCAGTCTTTTATAAAATATGTGCCGTAAACATACCTATAGTAGTTATTTATATTTTTAGGTCTAAAAAGCTATGCAATACCATATTTTAAATTTATAATATGAAATGAGAAAATAAATTTAAATTTTAAATACGCCCGAGAAATGCTTTTATATGCTCCATATTTCCATTTCTGGTATACAAGTAATGCCAATAAAAAACTTATTTTTTAAAAAACCTACCATAACGTGAGGCCTCTTAATAAAACGCTATTGGCTTTCGCTTCTAAACGTTAACCCGGAGCCCATAAAAGGTATATCTGCCTGCACATGCCTACGAGTAGAAAAAAGCTAAAAAAACTAGAATAGACAGAATTGGCAAAACAACGATGTGGTTGTTATAGCGACTGCCGCACTTGGTTGCAGGCAATAATGTTACTTTTATGTTCACTAACCTCTTTGATTTTACAATGATTTTGGCGTTTTAAAACGTTCATAGCATGAACACTTTACGGTTCTAGGAAACGATAAGTATAAATAATAAGTGGGGTTAAAGTTCAACTAGATTACTTTTATAAATTAAAGTTGATTTATAATTCTCAAGCATAAAGAACAGTTTTACCGAGTCAGCTCTGTGACTCTTAATTCCAAGTGCAAAAACAAGTAACATTAATATTCATTGGATAGCTCACATTAAAAATATTAAAGAATAATTACTTAGAGATGTACGCAAATACTTCATTGATAACGCAAGCAGCAAATTGTTAAACGTTTCGCTCTAGGGCTCGTCATTGTCGAGAAATAATTAAAATATGTCGTTTAGGAACGTTAATGGGTACGTAAAAAGTCAATCAAAACGGTTTGGTCACGGGCTATACGTTCAGAAATTAGATAACGGAACAGCATTTGATAAGAAATACTATGGGCGCTACAATACATCGAAATTAGGTTTTAGAAAGCATATTGTTGCTTCTGATACAAACAGCAATCTGATAAGGAAATAATACCGTTCAGATATATAATACGTTTTAAATTGATAAAATATTAATTTTAACATATTTATTTTTAATGCAAACATTATAATAATTGTTTGATATCAGAAAATAAAATAGAACTAAGTGACGCTAAAGAAAATAATAAAAATATACTTTATATTGAATAACTAAGTTCAGTATTTAGCAAGGTAAAGAAAATGCTTTAGGTCCTGCTAAATATTTGAACTGAAGATTTAAATTTTTTTCTTTCACCAAGAGTCTAGTCTAAAGAAATATATGAACGAATGGTATTTAATGTGCATTGACAATAACATTACAACTAAATCAGTATATATTATATTACAATCTTAGGAATGCGTAAAAAATGTTTTTATACATTTAAAAGATATACATATACAGAAATAACGAAAACTTATATCTAACTATAAGTTCAGCCCGCATCTTTCCTTGCGTGAACTTTCCTATTGGCTCTGAATAGAACTGTTAAAGAAGTACAATCACATTTTAAACTCGTAAAATTGTCTATCCATTTAAACTATCGGCTTTTAGTTTGACGGTGAGAACTATTACTAAGATTACTAGAACACATCGCTTTATTTAAATTCGACAATGTACACGTAAAATGTAAATATATTTAATAGATAATTTAAGTTTTTTAACCTGATGTAGAAAGAGCGAAACGTTGCATTAGAAAACACTAAAAACAAATGTATACATCTCTACTTTCAAATAGCTTCTTTAATTTAAATGGCTTCCAAAAAATAATAATGAATTATAAGACAGTTATCATTTTAAGATCAGTGTAAACTGTAAAGTGTTCATGTTCTTTAACGACACAAAATACTTAAAATGTTTACTAAATAATAAGGTGTCGGGAAACAGGAGCATTGAAATTTTTAATTCAATTTGATTTAGAAACCAATTAATTAGTTTCAGAGTTAATATCTTCAGCATTTCAATTTAAACTAAACTCACGAATATAACTCGAGTTTTAAACAAAATAGATAGGAAAAGGAAATACGGTGAATTTCGTTTTTCGATTTTTGAGGTCACATGGTTTGAATTGTTTGATGATGGTTCAGGACTCCTATAAAAAATATATCAAACTAGTCATTGAGACTGAAAATATACGAATTGTTTATGATCTAGACAAACTACCATCACACAAGTTCAAATTTTGTTATACGAAGAAAACATTTGACTTTTAAACATACAAATCAAGGATGTAATACAGAGGGCTTTGACGTGAAGGTTGGTTTACAATAAGACGGCTAGGCCTCTAACGTCGACACCAGGGAGCTATCCCACACAGTGGAAGTAGCCAACGGAAGTCGAACTTAGAAGAGTGATTTTCCCCGGTAGCTTTCAAAATACAGTCCCAACCAGGTGGAAGCAGTATCTTTGCCACTATCGAGGTCCCTGTGACTCGATACAATACAATTATATCCTGGGTTATTTATTCACTATACAAAGCTATAACGTTAGCGTGATTTAGAATACAAGTAACGTCATCTATTATCATAAAGATGAACTAATGTAATGTTAGGAGTAGAGACATTGCTGTTACAAGGACAATTTATTTCAAATGTTTCTACATACAAAGTGAAAAAATAAATACGCTTAATTCCAAGAAAACTTATCACATACATCCGAAGACACTCAATGGACACAAGACGTTATACAATATGTATTATAAATATATTTTTCTCTTTAAATTTTCTATCAGATATCAAAGAAGTTTAAAATATTCTTAAGTTTGAAGCAGATAGTACAGAACAAAGCATACCTGGTTCCGAGAATGTCTGTAGGTCGAATGTTTTGCATAATTCTAAAAGCTCGTAAAAAGCTAAAGGTCATCGGGACCCTACAATTACGTCATCGAATGATTTGTGAAGCTCATTTACATCCATGGCAACAGCGTTCGGAAATAAATATTGAATATAATGATCATAACCAAAGCAATAAATACTCCTTTCTGACTACTCTTATAATGTGAATTTAGCATACTAACTTTTTTATTAGTAAAAAAGTTTCTTGAAGAATTTTGTGTTGTTTGAATAGCAAGTGTTAGACTTTAATATAAATTTTAGTAGGTAAAATTGATTTTTATACAATATGCCAATATTTATTTAAAAAATCTAACAAAAGTATAGTAAAAACTTTTAGCTTTATATATTTATAATTTCAACATCTCTCTAATAGTTACGAAGACTAGTCGTAATTATTTACCATTTCTCTAAACTCAAATCTCATAATAACAATAAAACTAAGTGTACAATTACTGTACCTGTCCAAAATCACATGTTACCCACTTCACACGCGATAACAACATTTACGACAGATGTACAAAGCAATTGTACATAAGTACTCCAAAATTACAGGTACAAGTGAGTAATTGATTCTTTTTGTACAAAGTTGATTGGTCTTGTCAGGGAACTTGAACGTCAGTTTTCGAAACTTGCCGATAGATGGCGCTGTTACTATATAAAGTTAATTTTTGTATTATTCCGAGTTCTTTCACTCTCTCATTGTTAAATAAGACCTTACAATATTAAATAGGAATCTGCGGGCAGTTCCGAATATTAATTAAACAAAATCAATGACTTCAAAGGATAAATGATAATTATTTAGGGTGAAAAGTAATTGTCTTTATAATGAGATAAGCAATGTATTTGTTATTAAATTATTATTTGAAAATAAGAAAATTAATTGAATATACATATAGAAAGTCGTTTTTGTGAAAAAAAGTACATAAACATACCTTTTTTCAATTTAAGTGTGACATGAGTCTTGTTAATAATATTTGTAAAAATATGTATGTCACATAGAATAAATATGCTCGTAGAAGTAAAATATAAGTAGTTTATTTTAATTTAAATGATCCTGGTTAAAAATACGTGTATAAGTAAAATGTGAACGAATCCGGTTGTTATAATAGTATCCATAGTAACGGTGAGACGAATCATTGTCATTACACGCAGCATCCGAAGACAAGAAGCAAAAGCTGCACAACTATTGTAGTACAACTGTTATGAATTGGCCACTTTAAAAATATAATACTAACATTAAAATACATTTGCTTATAATTTTCTTTAAAAATTAATAAAATCAATAGTTATCTTATTTTGATATAATAGTATAATATAAATAGATTATTCAATTAATTATATATATATGTAATTATTTTTTTATAAATATATATGTAAAAAAAGGTAATAATTTTTTACCACACTAAGCACATTAAGATAAAATATTGTTAAACTGACCAATTCAAAACGTCCGCATCGTAACCAACCGCCACGCGCGACAAGTGTTAAAGTGTCGAGATAAAAAGATAGCTGGAGAAAAATAAAAAAAAAAAGAATAGGAAAGCAAAGGTTGTCGTTATTGGTCCGCTTTCTAGCCGGCCATGCGAAACAACGGAATTAAATTGGTAAAACCTAAACTAACAGTTACTTGGAATAAGGAAACGATCTTATTATATACTATGACGCAACAATCATTCAATACAAACAAAATGCATAAAAATAATCTCAGCATCTTAACAAGGATATATTAATTAATATTTAATTCAATAATCGATAATGAATTACATAAAACACCACCTACTT